AAAAAAAGCATTTTTTTCATCCTGAGACCCAGTGGATTGTACTACTCGCCCAAGGGGAAGAAGTGAGATTTCTTTGGATCTTTCTTTAAAAAATCTATGAATTCAAGGGCCTCGAAGGACCTGACCTGCCTGATGAGCATGCACTCGAGCCAGATCTACACCGGAATCAATTGGGAGAAAAAGTACAAGTCGCCGACTCCTTGGTGTATTTCTATCAAGGTTTTTGGATTTTTGAGAAAAAGGAAATGAATATTTTTCAGTTGACGAAGCTGCAAATCAAGAATTCGCAGTACATCAAGTACATCTGTGCGGACGATGAGCTGACTTTCAGGAAATGGGTCGCCGCTTTGAGGATAGCCAAGGTGAGCAGAATTCAGAAAATCAGGAATGTTCCCTAGAGAGGTTAGGAAAAAAACAGCCCTTATTGGGAACAAAACAGTAAGCTCTATAGGGGTGTAATTTAAGTGATCCCTATAGGGACGTAGTGTCAGACCCCTCACCCGCTTAATCTTAAGCAGTCCCTATAGGGGTCTTTTGCTCTCAGCTCAAAATGGGACTTCTGAATGATACCATGTTTTCTAGATGTAGTTTTTCACGCTGATTCCAAATCCGGCTCCAAAAATTGCCAATACGTCTTTGAAAAAAAATAATGGAAAAATTGAGATTGAGCACATTTTTGGTATAGATCTTGTCCCTCTAGTCACGAAAAAAAAATTCTTTTCAAGAAAATTTGAGTCGAGATATGATTTTGTTTAGATGAGACTTGACAATTGGATAATAAGACTTTTTTTAAAAATAGTTTAACTTTGGTGAAAAATTTTTTTGAATGAAGGGGCGAAATCCCTTTTTTTAAAAGGTTTATTAATTTTCACACTCTAATTTTCATTATGAAAAAAACCTGATTTGATATAGATTTTTTTATAAAAAAATTAATCCGAGCACAATGAGAAATTAATAAATCGCTTCTTTTTATGGGGAGTTTGAAGCTGGAAAAGTCCTTAACTTTTTCAGTTCATTTTTTCACATCAACTTTTCACTCTTCTTACTGTTATAATGCACTGAACTGTATTTTTTTCTAAACTACGTGTCAATGAAATCATGGAGACTTCCATCGATCGATAAAGTAACTCAGGTGAAACAGAAAACTTGGTAGAAAGCATAAATTTTTGATTTTTGGATAGTTGAAGCTGCTTTGACGCCTTCTGAGTAGAATTCCGAGAGTTTTTATTAAATTTTTTTAGCAAAGATAAGTAGATTTTGAAACTTCACAAGGAAGGAAATTTTACTTCAGGTTGGGATTCCCTGAAAATTGACCAGTACACTTCTTGACCCACCAGATAGGGGCCTGAAAATCCAAAAATTTGAATTTTTTCAGGAATTAGGCAAAATTTCAACGAAAAAAACTCAAAGTCCGGTGAAACCCGCCATTTTGAGACTTGGAACCCTTATTTCTGGAAAACTAGGAAGTTTTGCAGTTTGAGACTTTCAGGATCTTCTTTTGGTATATCAAGAAGTGTTCTGGTCAATTTTCAGAAAAATCCCAACCGCAAATTAAAATGACCTCTTCGTCTAGAAACTTTGACCAGTTCTAGAGAAAAAATAAATGTTCAAAAAATAGAAGTTTTCTCCAATTTAAAGGCATAGGGGCAGTAAAAAATGGGGTTTCAGGTGAAAGCAGCATCTTATATAGTTTTTTATTGCGAATCGAATGGTGTACTCAAAAAAATTACAGATGTGACAACTTTAGAAGAAAAACGCGATTTCACTTTCCCGCCTTCAATTTTGAAAAAAGCTTTGGATCGGTATGCAGACAACTGTTTACAGTAGCCGTGCACGCGATGTTGCGGACGCTTCATTAGACTCGCATTTTGTATGAAATAACCGGCTATCTGCTTCAAATCAAGGGTTTCTTCTCTGAAAAAAATTGATTAAGAAAAACCGAAAACACACAGTGATAATAAAGAAAAACACAAATAATCGCTATCCCAATCGAAACCTGTGTAAAATCATCATTTTTTTCACCAGAAAAAAGCTTTTTGCGATCAAAGTTTGCAAATTATACATGAATCGAAGGCTTTGGTGACGAAAAAAACTCTGGTGACAACAGAAAAAAATTGAAAAATTAAAAAGAAACGAAGAAAAAAAGCGAAAAATCCGGGAGATGGCGAAGCCTGCTGTCCATAGAGCAACTTTACTGCAAAGCGCCCTTTTCGCGGGAACTCAAGACTTTTCCTTTCTCCGACTTTGAATTATTTTTTCTCCAAAACTAGGAATTTCTGTACGTTTCCAAGTTCACCGTTCGATTTGCAATGAAAAGCTCTACAAAATACTGCTTTGAACTGAAACACCGTTTTTACTGCCCCTATGCCTTTAAAATGAAAAAGGTCCATTTTCAGAGCGGGAGCGACTTGCTTCTGAACTACGAACGAGCGACCGGCGTCCGACCCTGCAGACCAGCCTCGCCGACGTCGAGCATCGCCGCCTCCGTCCAGTCGTCCAACACGACGGCTTCCTCCTCCTCGACGACGACCTCCATCGCAGAAATGCCGACGCGACCCCTGACCGTCGACATGCGCGTCATCTCGCCCTCGGTCGCGTCGACCATGTCCAAGCCGCCGTCGCTCCCGTCGCCGTCGCAGTCCCACGCGAGCTTCTCCTCGGTCGCCAACTCCACCGTCATCGAGTACGACGAGCAGCCGACTGGAACCATCAAGAGGGCTCCGATCGATGCGTTGAGATACGTCTCGAGGATGTCCTCTTCGTCCACCTCGCCCACCATTCGTCAGTTTTTCTGTTCTTGACTCAGTTCATACGTCGGCTGGATCCCCCTGGATGCGGTTGACCCCCGAAGTGCGCGCTAACCCCCTTCCCCCCAAAAAAAGTGCGGCTTTCTTCAGTACATTTTCAAATTTTTTTATTTTGCACTCAAAAAGCTTGGGGTGGGATCCAGCCGATGTACGACTCAGTTTTCATTTTTCTCCCAATTTATCAGAATCTAGTTCATTTCTTGGAAGCAAGACTGAGTTAGATAATCAGAAAATCAAAAAAAAAAAGGAGTTTTCTGAACCAAAAGGGGAAAAATAGGAACTCCCAGACTCCAGTACATTCACTGGTAGCTTGAAAAAAAAAGTGACGTCATTTGGCGAAAAAATAGCTTTGCAGGTTACTTGTTGAGCCATTCCCAGGGCGACCAAAACTTTAAAACGCCTAAAATTCATAATTTCAAGAGGAACCTGACGGCTAAAATTGCGTTTTTTCTTGAATTCGGTCTCAAAAGAGTATTGTGGAAGAATATTTCGGAAACTTCTTTTTATCAAGAAATCTTCTAGAAGTCATATAATAAACTCCAACGGCCGTATTTTTGAAAATAATTTGGATTTTTTTTTCAGCCCAAGAAGACACTGATTCTGATGAAGACTTCCCAGCACCTCCGCCGTCGTCGTTAGCGTCCAGAACTCCGGTTCAATCGCCACAGGTACCATTTTGTCAATTATTATCTTATAAACTAATAATTATCAATGATATACTTGAAAAATTTGGAAATAATAAAAAGAAATATGAACTGGTTTAAGCCATCCTTAAGAGCTGGAGTTAACACTTAACGTGTTCACTTCAAACACGGCGTTTTTTCGACGACGCCACTTTTTCTCCGTAAAGTTTCGTGTGTTGTGTGCATACACTGCGCCGCTTTTGCGCAGAAAATTGCTTTTATGTAGAGAAATTTCGTCTTAAAGACCTCTGGCGATACGGCGGCCTGCGCCTTTAATATGCCCTCTTCACGCTCTTAGAGACGAAATATCTGTCTTCCCATGACGTCACGTGGGAAGGGCGGATATTTTGGCTCCGCCCACCGTGTTTCTGGTTTCGCATTTTTTTTTTTATACTAACAAAAACGCCTTGGAAATTTAGCTTTCAAAAATAAAAATTTCAATCCAATGAGTTTTGGCGGAAAAAAAATGAAGATACTGGTTCAAAAACACCTTTCATAAAACTCAAAACTTCAGGGTCTTCCACCCCCGCCGAAGCCGGCCTACTACGCGACACCGCAGCCGGCCAGACCAGCCGCGATATCGCCTCTGGTCGCCCCCAAACCGTCGACCCCGCTGATGGCCAAGAAAGCCCCACCGCCGCCGCCGAAACGAAGCGAAGCGACGAGGATCCAGACCGTCTCCGCGACGAGTCCCCAGCCCCAGCAACACATGTCGGACCTCGAAGCGGCTTTGGCGAGGCGACGCGAGAAAATGGCTCAAGTTCAATGATTTTCTTACGGGCGTGGGACCTTTGCGCAATGAAGCATACTTTCAAAAAAATAGATTTTTGAGACCCTTTTCTGCTGTGGAGTACTGGAAAAATCAGTTTCAAGCGAAAAAATTGTTCTTTTTCGACTTCTCTGTATATAATCTGCAGGACTCAAAAAAAATCCTACAAAATTTCTCCAAAATCTTTCGGAATACCCCATTTCGCAAAAATCCTACGTCCCTTAAGGGATTGCTCCAGTCAAAAAGTTACTATTACGTGTGCTGTCCGGTTTGGACACTTCTCTCGACTTTTTTCCTGTTTTTTTTTTCCTTTCAAGGAGAGATCAGTGGACCCCTAAGAGACGCCAGAGAAAAAGGGATGTTCTGCTTCTCTGGTCTCTCCTCTTTTACCATTGTTATCGCCTTTTCCAAACCATCATTATTCTTATTCTGTGTGAATGATTGAAGTTCGGTTTTCTTAGTTTTGTAAACTCGCAGAAACAGGAAATTGATGTTTTTTCTTATTTTCCGCTCTAAAGCACTTAAGTGGCCCCTTGAAGATACTTGTGGTTTTTAATTCAACCGAAAAAAGAAAAGAAAAGCTAATCTTTTTATAAAAATTTCTTCCAGTTTAAGTTTTTGCGTGTTTGCGAGTTTTAAAACGTCTCATTTTTCATTTTGCCATCCAAATTTCATTTTTCAATTATTCCACACTCTGTTATTTACGCCATTCCTTACTACTCAATCTTTTTCTTTTTTGAATTTTTTTTTTCTATGAATTGAAATGACAATCGCAGCTACCGGTGTCTCTTTCTCCTCTCTCTCTCTTATTTTCCTCCCTCCACCCAATTGCCTTCCATTTTTTCTTCCTTTTTGAGTCATATGTACCGTTTATAGAGTTCATTTTCTGTATAAACTGATGCTCCAATTGATAATAATAAAGATTCATTTTTCAAAAATGAAGCGTATCGAAAAAGTAAAGTTGAAGCCAAGTACTTGAGCAAATAAAAAACAATTGATGACGTCATCGTGGAGGGTGACGTCATCGGAGGCGATGACGTCATATGTTCGAGCAGAGCGACATGCAACAGTAGCCGCACTCACGTTTCGCCGCCGTCCAGCCGCTCTCCTTTTTGGGGGCTGCAAAGTTATGGTTATTACTTCAAGTGGTCATTCAAGGGGCTTGGGAGCTGCAAAACGTTTGATGACTTTTTTAAGGGATCATTGAAGGGGTTTGAGGGCCGCAAAAATATGGGAAAATTTTTTGAAGTGGTCATTAAAGAGGCTTGAGGTCTGCAAATTTTTGGTTATTATTTCAAGTGGTCATTGAAGAGGTTTGAGGGCTGCAAAATGTTTGATGAATTTTTTTCAAGTGCTCATTGAAGGGGCTTGGGAGCTGCAAAATTATGGATGACTTTTTAACAGTGGCCATTAGAGAAGTTTGAGGGCTGCAAAGTTTTGGTTATTATTTCAAGGGGTCATTAAAGGGGCTTGGGAGCTGCAAAATGATTGATAATTTTCTGAAGTGGTCATTTAAGAGGTTGAGGGCTGCAAATTGTTCGATGAATTTTTTTCAAGAGGTCATTGAGAGGCTTGAGGGCTGCAAAGTTTGACGATTTTTCCAAGAGGCCATTAAAGGGGCTTGAGGGCTGAAAAATGTTTTATGACTTTTCTTCAAGTGGTCATTGAAGGGGCTTGAGGGCTGCAAATTGTTTGATAATTCTTCGAAGTGATTCACAAAGTGGCAGGGATCAGTTTCACTGTTTGACAATGATAAAACAGTAATTTTAAATCAAAAATTATAACAAAATTATCATTTTGCAAGCTTTATTGAGGAGAAAGGAAACTGATCTCAAATCTATCCAGAAAAAGAAATTTTTTTTGGATTTCCTGAGTGCTGTGAACTTTTTCGACCATTTTTTTCAAGTGGTCACTTAAGGAGCTCCAGAATATTTTTTTCAGCAAAAGAAGGAAAAATCGACACCTTTGAATGATCGAAAAATACTTTTATTCTATTTTATTTCATAAAAAATTTGATTTTAATGAAATTCCTGGTTTCTGGGTTTTTAATCGATGTTCTGAAGAGGTCTGATCAATTCGAATTATTGGCGATTTTCAAAAAATAAAAATATAGAACCTGGAGCGTCGATTTCGAAGGTTTCCAAAGGCTTCGGCTCCTTGACAGGCTGTACTTTGTTCGTTGGTGAAGGGGCGTGGCTCCTGAAATTCATAGTTATAAGGAAAAATTTATATTTATAAGCTGCATGTATAGTTACGAGCGAATAAATCAGTTTTTTAACCTTCAAAAATCAAGATTGAAAAAAAGAAATTTGATTAAAAAAATAATTTTCCTTCGAACTCTAGAAGGTTTTTTTGGTTTTCTTTCGCACGTGGAATGGCTAGAAGCGTCGCGGTCGCGTTGCGGTTAGAAGCCGAAAAACGAACTTTATTCGGATGGAAAGTCGTTTTTTTGGTCAGGCGCGTTTAAAAAGGAACCGTTTTGCTTCTGAGCCATTCCACGTGCGATCATCTTTCAGTGATGAAAAAAATATTTTATTTTCATGGAATTTTGAAGAAAATTCGAAGCCTCTTTTTCGCGACGGAAAAATTTGCGTTTTTTTAGTATTTTTTTGTTTGAATTTTTTTTTTTTCACCGTAAATTAAAAACAAAAAGAAAAATACCCTCAATGAATCGCAAACTTTTTCACTTTTAGACGACGGCTGATGGACTTTCGGAGCATCCGGGTCCATTTTCAACCTAGTCGTCCTGGTCGAACTGGGTCCTTCCACTGAAAAAGCAATATAATCAAGGGAAATCAAACGCGGAATGGACCGTTTTGTGCATATTTCCCGTTTTCCCGTCTGGCCTTTTGTGTCGTCGCCGTCAATAGGCTTTCGCCCATTGGAGATCGATCGAAATCACGCAGGTTCGCCTCGTCGCTTGCTGTAGAACTTTTAAAAGTTAATTTTAAAAAAAGGAGAAAAAAACTTGAAAAAGTTTCGAAAAAACACGCGGAGACCTCACTATACTATAAATTTAAGAAAAAAATCAAAAAAATGATTTTCAAAAAAATTTTTTTGATACCTCACAAGGAAGGTCATTTTATTTTTGCGGTTAAAACATCTCATATGAAATTTGAAAAAGGCCAGTTGAAACACGAAATCAGAAATAGTTCGAAATTAATTAAAAATAGTCCTTTGAATGTTCGAAAATTTTTTTGTTAAAACCTATAATTTCAAGTTAATTTTAGCTGACCTTCCAGTTTCTAGAGTAATAAATAAATTTGAAACATTTTTTCTCAGTAGTAGACCTAACACTTAATTTCTTCATCAATTTTTCCTAAATATGTTATCAAAAGATCAACTGTTTTGGAAAATTGCAACTTTTTTTGCCTTGAAAAGCCATTTTTTAAAAAGGTATTTTTGCACATTTTCGACAGGATTTTCCTTTAATGGTCTTTGAAACAATATCCTAATTGTTAACTATGTAAACAACCCTTTAATTATTGTCCGTTCAGATTTTGAATGTCAAATAGAATGACGTCATTCGAAAACGCTCTGTGGATGGCTCGCTTTCTGATTGGTTTATTTGCGCCATTAGGGGGCGGAGCTTGAGCGACGACTTGACATTTTTAATCTGAACAGACTATAGACTATATAGTCAATGTTTCCCGACTTGAAAGGCGAGGGAGGCGGGGCAGGGGGCGGGACGCGTAGCGTGTGCGTACGCGGTTCTTGGCACGTGTTCAATTCAACCACCATCTACTCTTTGAAAAGCCCGTTTTTTGCTTTTTTCATTCCTTTTCCAATTATTTATTGATTATTTTCATGTTTGCATCAAAAAATAGTAGAAAACATTGAAAAAGAGCGGTGGCCGAGCTTTTTAAATAGTCGGCGAAAAATGAATTGAACTCGTGCCACGAACCGCGAACGCACACGCTACGCGTCCCGCCCCTTGCCCCGCCTCCCTCGCCTTTCAAGTCGGAAAACATTGACTATAGCTGTTTACCTTTAGGACAGCAGGAACAAGCCTTCTTGCTGGACATCACGACGAAGACCTCGCCATCGACATATTGCAGATCGAAGGAATGGTTCATGGAGAGGCCGTTGGCGAACAACCTGGAATTCCGTCAGACTCGTTTGTCAAGGGAAAGTGTGAAGAAATTGACTTTTTTTCCGTGAGCAATTAGGAGAGAATGGTTTGTCGCAGTCTCGGCCAAACTAGCGGGTCACAAGAAATGCCCCTTTGTTGGGTAAAATGACGATTTGAGAGCTTTTTAAATATAATTTTCCCATTTTGAAGCAGGTATCTATTGTAAAAATAGTCATAGAAGCGCTCAGGTGGTCCCTATAGGAGTCAGAGCTGAAACAGCCCCGATATGGGACATAAAGTGTTCTCTGGAGGGATAAAATTTAGGCCTGACCCCTAAAGCCTAATAGACCCCTAGAGTGATCTCTTAATCTTTTTTGCTCTATTTTAAAGTTACGAAGACGAAAAGGGATCATTAGCATGCTCCCCTAGAGTGGTCCCTTACTGAAACCTTTAGAGTGGCCAGTTTAATGGCACCTGTAGAAGGAGGTAGTGGTCTCTTAAGGGAAATATATCTAGGGCCCCAAGGAAGGCTGTCACTGAAGGGACCACTCTCCAAAAAGTTTAAACTTATTGAAAAACTGTCAAAAAGGATAAATATGGTATCTCGCGTTTGAACTCGAGCTTCTCGCCAACAGCCGCGTCGCGTACGCAACGCTTCACCCTGGGTTACTGTGAAAAATTTTAGTGGCCACTAAAGGGTTTTGACGTTTTAGAGGCCACTATAGTAGTCAAATTAGTGGCCACTTTAGGGGTTAAAAATTAGCGGCCACTAAAGAGGTGTAAGTGCTACTGATAGACTAAAAAAAAATTTTAGTGGCCACTTTAGGGGTCAATGAATCAACATAACTGGTCCAATCAGTTTGTTTTAAAATTATCAGAGTCATGGAAGGAATACTGGATGAAAAACTACTGAAGTGACCACTAAAACGGAAAATAGTGGCCACTATAGAGGTGGGTTCAGGTGGCCACTTTAGTGACCTTTCCAAGTAGTCCTTGGCGAGCCTCTAAAGTGGCCACTAATAATTTTCCCACTATCTACCAATCTCGTCGCGAAAAATGACTATACCGAACTCCCACCACTTCATGCACATCTCCTGCATCTCGTCGCGTCTGAGCGTCTGGGTCCTCCGGCCGGGAACGACGACGGCGGCGACGGCGCGCAATTGTTCGTCGTCCATCTGGAGCACGCGACGCTTGACGACGTGCATTTCGCGGCGACACAAGACGACGTCGCGTTTTTCTCGTTTTTGCCGTCGTTTCCCCGCCGCCGACTCGACGCATAATCCATCCACGATTCAATAAAACGTATTGTGTACAAATATGCGACAAGTTCAGTCGGAAGAGACCATGCAAATCGCGGAGGCAAATGACGAAACCCGACCGGCGGCCCCCAAAAACACAAACTTTTTCGACGTTTCCCCTACAGTAGAACAATGAATGACGTTCCAGCATGATAAAAGGGCTTTTCGAAGATTTCGAGGGTGTGAAAATGCTTGATAAATGACAGGGTGATAAAGGCGATTAGGCCAGGACTGGGTTGATAAAAATTAAGCTTCTCGGCTCATTCTTTCGCTGTTTTTTGTCATGCGGCACCTTCTCTTCCTTCTAGGATTCCTCTTCTCGGACCTTGTCTTCGCAAAAGGTTTTTATTTTATCCGAAAGTTGAAAAGGAGTCAATTTCCCAAATTTTCGCTGTAAATTATTAATGATCTTCATATTTAAGAATGCATCAAATAGAACCTGAAAAATAAGAGAGAAACTAATCAAAAAGGAAACTGGAATCGTCAAGAAAATTTTTTTGTTTTCGCGCGCAAACCCCGGTCTCGCGTCAAAGGTGCGCTGTGGAGAATTTGAGCAATCAGTTTTTTTTTTTCAATTTTCTTTTTGCTGTTTTTATTTTCTTTTCATGGTCGTTTCAAAGTTTTCTGAAGCCAAAGCGAGCTTTTCATCAGAAATATGGGGAAAAAGTATTCGGAACTCTCGAAAATTTTCGATCTTTCCTGTTTGGGCTTTTTTTCTACTCATTGTCAAACTTTTTTTCAAAAATATTCATTGAAAAATTTTTTTGTTAAGTTTTGCGGATTAACCTTCGTTAAAAAAATTTGTGTTCAATTATTATTGTTGTTTATTTTGATAATATTAACTTTCTTTCATTCATTTCACAGGGAAAAAAACGCTTTTCAAAAAGAAAAAAGGGGTTAGAAAAATCATAAATAAAAGGGAAATTTGTCCCACAATAGGACATTTCCATTGTAAAACTTTTTCACAAAGGAACAAATTTACAAAGAAACCTGAATAAGAAATTTCGACGTTTTACTTTCTTGAACTTTTTTCAGTCATTTTAGAGTTAGAAAAGACGCATTCCGAAAAAACTGAAATCCGTTTGGTTCAAAAAAACAAAAATGAATGGAGATTTGTCCCACAGTAGGGCATTCTCATCGCAAAACTCTTCAACAAAGCAAAATTATTTTATAGAACTCGGAAAAAAATTGTTTTGATCAAGAATCTTTAAGAATGCGACGTAAATCCATGCTCCCGGGACGTCATCGTCGTCGTCGACGGCTCCACGGCCATGCAAACGACGACCTATGTTTCTGAAGTTTTTCTCAAACGAAAAATCAAGAAAAATGATTAAAATTGAAGCAAATACGAATGGTTTTGAAGTTTCTCAATGGCTGGACCTTATCCGAAACTGGGGCTAGAGTGGCCCTTGTAGGGGCTTATTTTGGTAATGAGTTTCTCGGTGGCGATTATTATACCGACAGGTTTAATTTATTCACTTGAAATTGAAAAATCAAAAAAAATTTCAGTAGCCTCATGGAAAAAAACGTCTCAGTCAATTTCGTGCAATGTCGACACAATATGGAGTTTTCAAAGGGGATTTCGACACGTAAGTTTTTTTCCCGAAGAGTACTGTATGTGAAAGTCCGCGGCGTGTCGATAATCTAATAAAATTATTCACAGTTGAATCAATTATTCATTCTAACTTATTATAAGAAAAAATATCGAAATTTAAACAAACGGAAAAAAAAAATCGCAAAGGTCCATTAAAAGTGTGCACACACCCACGTACAAAGTGCGGATTTTTACATACAGTACTTTTCGAAAATATCGCTGTTGACGTAACAATGAAACCCGTGAAAAATACGTTTCACGTGTTGTTCAAAAAAAGAAAAATCGATTTGCTAACCGTTTCCAAGCTTTACCGACTGCAGTGAACCAAAAATATGCGAAATAGTGGAAAATTTAAATAAAAGGAGGATTCTGTGTATTATCAGTTTTCCGCATTTTCAGTATATTTCCCATAATTTTTTTGAATTTTTGAATCTTTTAATTGATATTCAGATTTTTTTTAAGAGTTCTCTTCGTGGGCTTTTTGTAGTACATCACTTAAAAACGGAAGTATTGATCGAATTTTATTCAAAACGAACAAAACGATTTTTTCATCAATTCTCATGAAATTTCAGCGTCTAACCTTTTTTCAGGTTTTTGAAAAGAAATACGCTGAATTTTCGTGAAGTGCTCTAAAAAACCGGTTCGGTGGTCAATTCTTAAGCTAAAAATTGACAAAAATCGTAGATTTGAACTTTTTGAATTTTTTTCAGTTTTGAGGGTTTTTTTCAAGTATCAGATGAAGATCCCGAAATTCTCATCTTTCTCAACTTCCTATTTTTTTCGAAAAAAAGAGTACCTTAAAAATCAAAGAAAAAAACTGAATATTCTTGAAAAATAGGCCCTTACTTCTCGAAAAATAGAAAATTTTGCAAGTTGAAACCTTCAGGATTTTTTTGGTACATCGAGAAATATTCTGGACAATAATTCGTGAATAATAGGTTGATAGAAATATTCCAGAACGACCCGATTTATTGATGAACGCTACGTTTATGGCACGGCCTACGGTACGCGTCTCAACACGATGAAACGGATTATCATCTTCACCGCCATGAAGTATCGATTCTTCATAAATCGATAATAATAATCGTTTTCCAAGTGATCCCGCCGACATTGTGCGCTCCGCCGCTCGGATGCAGAAATTCAAAGATTCTGGTTTTCAAGTCTCGATCGTCGGAATCGGCTCGTCCGAGTCATCGTTTTCCGGCGTCCCTTATCACAAGGTGACTTGCCGATAATCTGGTCAACAAACTGATTTCGAAAAGTTCTCGAGAATGCTTTTTTTTTTAAAGTTTCATGATCGAATTCTTCAGATTTTCAATCTTCTTGAAGTTTCAGAGAGCAAAAGATTTGGGACTTTTAAGAGCATTTTTTGAAACTTTCAAAAGAAATCTTCGTCTAAGAACGTCTTGGTCGCATTTGGAATGACTTGAAGCGTCGCAGTTGGAAAGCTAGTTGATATTCAAGCGCGCAAACCGTTTTGGGTCGGTCGCGTTTTTGAGTGGAATTTTAAAGGAGCAAACCACTTCGAGTCCGCCGAGCCTTGGATTCGATATTAAAACGCGCAAACCGTTTCGGGTCGGTTGCGCCTTGGGATTTTAAAGTTGATGTGAAAACCGTTTTGGGTCGGCCGCGTCTTGAATTTGATGTTCAAATGCGCAAACCGTTTAGGGTCGGTCGCGTCTTGAAGCTTTTTTTATTTTTTTGACTCTACGCCTCGAGCCATTCCAAATGTAACCATGCGAATCAAAATTAAGAAAAAATCGTCAGATCTTATCAATTCAATCAAATCATTCATCCTTCAATTCGTTCAATTTTTTTAAATTTTTCAGATTTTTCAGATTTTAACAATTTCTAAGAAACCATTAGAAAAAAATTCAAATCTGGCTAATTTCCTTCTTTTTTTCTGACTTTCGGGAGGCTTTTTAAATTTTTTTCAGACAACAAAAAAGAAACAAATGATCAATTTTTTTGTCATTTTTTTGAAGGTTTTAATTTTTTTAAATCAGAACCTTTAATATATTTTTTTAAATCGAATCATTAAGTTCTTCGGTATCCCGTTTGTGAATTTGGACTCGCCGAGCGACTCGTTCATCAATTTGATCATCAACGACGGCGTCTGCTTCTGGGATGGTGATGAAATCTGATTTCCAATGGATAATTGAAAAATATAGACAACTTCCCGAAAACGACGCCTCACAACTGCCCGACCAGACAAACGACAACAATCAAGACCACGACGCGTGGAAAAGGGCCTACTGTAGCTGGAACCACCAAGACTACGGTATGGGTGTACTGTAGTTAGAGAGAGAGAGAGAGCTTCCAGAAAGGACTTTTTCACATTTTTTTGAGCTCTCGAGCCATTTATCCTTTTCAAATTCACGAAATTAGAAATTTTCCCCCGAAAACTACAAAAAATAGGATCACCAAAACTACGGTATGGGTGTACTGTAGGAAGAGAGGGCTTTTAGAATAGATTTTTTTTCCCTCCATTTTTGAGCTTTTGAGCCATTTTTCGTTTTAAAATGGCCAGGGAAGATCAAAATTCATGAAATTAAGATTTTTTTTTTCTAAAAATAGTAAAAATGGTAGTACCAAGCTTACGGTATGGGAATACTGTAGTTAGAGGGGGATTTTAGAAAAATTTTTTTTCTCAATTTTTTTTTAGTCTTCTAGTCATTTTTCATGTTAAAAATTGAGGAAAAATGTTTTTCCCCTAAAACTAAAAATGGTTATTACAAGGCTACGGTATGGGTATACTGTAGAACGCTTCAAAATAGAAAATTTATCCTTTTTTCTGAGTTTTCATTCAAAAATCGCCAAGGAAGGCTAAAGGCTATAAGAATATTATATAAAAAATTCAAAATCGAGTTTTTTTTCTGTTATTTTCTAGACCGAGTAGTCATTTTCATTTTTTTTTTGTTTATAGTCTTTTTTTTTAAATTCAATTTGGTATAGTCCGTTCACCGCGACTTGAATATTTTTGCCTGTCTGCGTCTCTCTGTTCCCTCACCGGTGAGGTCAGAGAAACAGGAAAGCATCATGTAAATATGAGAGGGCGCAGAGAAAAAAAGCAGTTTCAGGTCGCGTAAAATATAGTTTGTTCAGATTTTTAATGTCAAGTGCAATGACGTCATTCAAAAACACTGTGTGGATGGCTCGCTCTCTGATTGGTTTATCGCACCATTAGGGGGCGGAGCTTGAGCGACGACTTGACATTCAAAATCTGAACAGACAATACCACTTTTGGAAAATCAATAGTCAAATAATCAATTCTCCAGACCCGAGCCCCACCAACCCATCCGCCTTTCCCTGTCGGCGATTACCGGGACTGCGGCTGCAATCTTCAAGATCTTTTTGTGATTAAAACTCGAAAAGAAATCAATAAATCAATTTTTCTCAAAGATCGACATCGTTTTCCTGGTCGACAACTCGTTGGCGATGGGCGACGGTCTGCAGATGATCAAAGCCGAAATCAATTCCCTGGTGGCGACAATGTCTTTGGATCCGCAAAGGAAAAAACACGCCCAAGTCGGCATCATCACCTATAATAATGAGGCAAAGGTGGAGAGAAACACATTTTTTCAAGAAAAAGACGTTTTTGAGAATTTTTTTCGTAGCTGTCCACTTAAGAACTGGGAAAATGTTTAATGGCCACTATAGGGTTTGGACGTTTTAGTGGCCACTTTAGTAGTCAAATTAGTGGCTACTTAAGGGGTTAGAAATTAGTGACCACTATAGAGGTCGAAGTGCTACTACTAGACCACTAAAAATTAGAGTGGCCACTTTAGGGGTCAATGGATCAAAATAACTGGCCCAATCTGTTTGTTTTGAAATTATCAGAGTTACTGGAAGGAATACTGGATGAAAAACTACTAAAGGGGCCACTAAAACGAAAAATAGTTTTCCCAGAAAGGTGTTTTTTATCTCAAAAAATCGTAATAACTCGTTTTAAAGTTTTTTTCACATGTTGAGTTCAGGCTTTTTTTTCTTACTGTTTTTCCAGACATCTGGAGAAAATTTTTAGTAGCCACATTAGGGATTATACGGTAAGTGGCTACTGAAGTGGTCGAATTAATGGTCACTTAAGGGGCGAAAGTTTAGTTGCCTCTTCAGAAGTCTAAGTAGTACTACTAGACCACTGGAAGTTTCATTTATCACGCAAAATACCTGGGAATAATTCTAGTGGTCACTTAAGAGGTTTTTCAAGGAGGACTTGAATAGGGCACTGAAGTGGCAACTATAAAAGTTCTAAGTGGTCTAATAAAATTCTAAAGAGAACTCTCAAGTGCCCACTAATTCGGCCGCTATAGGGGTCACTTAAACGTCACAAACCTAAAGTGGTTACAAAATATTTTCCAAGCTCTATAGGGATGGTTTCAGTGGCCACTTTAGTGTCCTCTCCACGGAGGTTTGAGGAACCTCTTAAGTGGCCACTAGAGTTTTCCACTCTTCAGTTTGAAACTGAGGGATTTTAGGTCGTATTCGAGCCATCGGCCTACACGGACGAAGACGAATTCACGGAAGATCTCTGGGAAACTCCACTTCTTCAACAAGCTTCCGACATCCTCGAAGTCAACCTCCAAGCGTAATATTTCATTTCTGAAGCCATTTGGAATTTTCCTAAGAAGTAACGTTCATTTTTCACTTTCCAGAGGCCTGATCGAAGCTGGAAAGATGATCGGACAAATGCGGGTCGGCGTCAAAAAGACGATCGTTATTTATGCTTCTGCCTACAAGTGATTGTTCTCTTTTTTCGGATAATATAGAGTTTTCAGCGATGAAGACAATGATCCGAAACAAGCGGCCGCGCAGTTGAAGGAAGGCGGCGTCGAGATTATCACCGTCGCTTTCGTTCAGGTTTGTCAGGACCGCAATGTGCCCTGGGCCTACCCGACCCGCGGAGCGGTTATATTTTAGGTGGCCCTATAGGGGTTATGGGAAAGAACGGCCCTTATAGGCATAAATTAAGGTGCCCCCCCTCTCCTTTTGAAACTCAAGTGGTCACTATAGGGGTCTTTTAACTCCATTCGAAAAACGCCTAATTATCTAGTTGTTTGCATGTAAACGCTTTGAGCAGCATGTCCCTTATAGGGCCACTAAATAAAATTCCTTCAGGGACCGCTTTTGCAGCTTTAGAGGCCCCTATAGGGGTACCTCCTAATGCCTCTCAGATTGCCCCTATAGGGACCCTTTTCAGAACCGCAACGTGCCCCGCGCCGACCCGACCCGCGGAGAGGTTATATCTTAGGTGGCCCTATAGGGGTTAAAGGAAAAAACAGCCCTTATAGGCGTAAATTAAGGTGGTTTCCTTCAAAGCTTAAGTGGCCCTTATAGGGGTCTTTTAACTTCATTCGCAAAACGCTCAATTATTCAGTTGTCCGCAAGTAAACACTTTGAGAAGCATGTCCCTTACAGGGGCCCTCCAGGGACCGCTTTCGCAGCTTTAGTGGCCCTTATAGGGGTAGGTAAAACGGGCCCATCAGATAAAAGAGCCATTTTTCCTTCATTTTCCCCCAGCTTCAGACCCGGGCTTGAGGCCACAGTTTTTTTTTCAAGTTTTCAAGTTTATCGAAAAAGTTTTTCTTTGTTATCATTTCAGTGAGAAAAGAACGAAAAACGTGATTTTTTTCTTTGAAAATCATGATATTTACCTTGAACTAAAATTGCGCTTTTCGGGTCGGGCCACCCGTTGCTTAACGCCGGGCCGTGTCGGGCTTGAAAGTTGGCCGGGGGACCGATAGACGGACGGGCCGGCCCTGAAGAAAAAAACCTGGGGACGGTCCCGAGCGCACTTTAAATTTCGGGCGTCTACAGCCCTGGAAATTTACACAAAAAGATGAATTTCGGGTCAATTATAGCCCCAAGAAACGACTCTGGTATTGAAAATGGGCGAACTGGCGAGCCCCCGAATGAACTTCACTTCGTATCGAGATCGACTTCTTGTCGAAGAGCTGGAGGACGCTTTTTGCCAAGGTATGAGAGGGGTAAATATATGAAAAAGATTTCAAAGTGCTTCCGAAAGATTCAGATTAGCCTTCAGAGGGGAAAAAGATAACTAAATTTTAGAAAGAAATTTGTAGAAATTACTTCAATCAGTCAACAAGCTCATCACTAGAAAAAAATTTCTCTTCGTGGTTTTTTGAAACCTGAAACAGTGAAAAATTCGGTTTAAAAAAACTTTCACTTTTCTTAGTGTTCATTTTTTTCATTTCAAGATTGGTTTAAAAACAAATTATTATTTTTCAACTTACAAGGTTTTTCATGTTTCAGTAAATTGTTATTGCCCAATCGGCTGGTCCCAACTTGTCCTCAACGATCGAAAATACGGCGAGTGTTATTTCGAAACGATGATTGACGCCAATTGGAAGGCTGCCAGGTGATTTCGAAGAAAAAGTTGAAAAAAAGAAGTTTTTCGCGCTTTTTTTGTGCAATTTATTGTAGTTTGATTACTTGGCTTTGCAACTTTTTTCCGATTCTTGAATATTTTAACTCTATGAATAATTCCCGAGATAAACGCGATATCGCTTTCGGTACTTTGACGACATCGCAGAAGTGAATTTTTTTTAGCCGTGGTGGTCTTGCGTCTTCCTTGACGCGACATCGTATTTTCCTCGACGCGAAATCGCATTTTCCTTGACGCGATATTGCACTTTCCTTGACATGATATCGCATTTTCCTTGACATGATATCCCATTTTCCTTGACGCGATATCGCACTTTCCTTGACGTGATATCGCATTTTCCTTTACAAGATATCCCATTTTCCTTGATGCGATATCGAATTTTCCTAGGCGCGATATGTTCCTTGACGCGGTATCGCGTTTTCCTTGACGCGATATCGCATTTCCCTTGACGCGATATCGCATTTTTGAAATGTTGAACATTTTCTTGAGTAGGGAGAAACGCGATGTCGCGCCGGGAAAACTTGAGTCTGGCGCTTTCAATTTACGTCATTCCTTCAATGTATCGCCAGCGATATCGCTATTCTCGCACTAGGGAAAGTTTCATAAAAAAATATTTTCCAGACCAGAATGCGGCTTGTTGGGCCACAGTGGAAGTGGCCATTTGGTCTACATAAATTCGGGACTCAAGCAGAAATTCCTCAACGATTTCGCCGTCAAAAAGTGGACCGAAGGGGCTAAGGTACTCATTTCTTTGAACTATGGCCAGGTTTCCCAACGGGTGTACCCGTTATAAACCCTTGTTTATTGAGCGTCTCTGTTGGGCGGTAGAGCCGCGGGCGTAAGAAGAAATAGGTGACCCAGCTGTGTTATTTTCTAAAATCTCTGAGAACAAACCAAAAATTCGCCTCTACTTCGAAGCCACCTTCAACAACACAATGTAAACACCTCAGTTGTGGCAAAAAAAAGCCTATAAAAGACGGGTACACCCGCTGGGAGCCCGTGTTAGCGCGGCAGCATGAGAGAATTGCTTTTAAATAAGAAATTCGAAATTTGCAGGAAAGACCGAACTACGACATCGGCCTCTACTTCAACGCCACCTTCAACAAGTACGTCTGGGTCAACGGCGTGACGGTAGACTTTTTTTTTGCCCTCAAAGGCATATGGGCAGTAAAAAACGGGGTTTCAGTTGAAAGCAGTATCTTGTATAGTTTTTCTTTGCGAATCGAATGTTGTACTAAAAAAATTTCCAGATGTGACTATTTTAGAAGAAAAACGCGATTTTACTTTCAAGCCTTTAATTTTGAAAAATTCTTTGGATCGGTATGCAGACAACTGTTTACAGTAGCCGTGCACGCGATTTTGCGGACATCTCATTAAACTTGCATTTTGGGAGAAATAACCCGATTTCTGCTTCAAATTAAGGGTTTCTTCTCTGAAAAATCGATTAAGAAAACAGAAAAGACACATTGATAATAAAGAAAACACAAATAATCGTTATCCCTATCGAAACCTGTGTGAAATCATCATTTTTCACCATTTCTTTTTTACCATTTTGCGAACAAAGCAACTTTCTTATGAATAGAAACTTTCAAGGACGAAAAGAACTTTAGTGACAAAAGAAAAAATTAAAAATTGAAAGAAACGAAGAAAAAAGCGGAAAATTCGGAAAATGGCGAAGCCTGTTGTCCATAGAGCAACTTTACTGCAAAACGCCCTTTTTGGCGGGAACTCAAGCTTTCCTTTCTCCGACTTGAAATCATTTTTTCTCCAAAACTAGGAAGTTCTGTACGTTTTAAAATTTACCGTTCGATTCGCAATGAAAAGCTCTACAAAGTACTGCTTTGAACTGAAACACCGTTTTTTTAACTGCCCCTGTGCCTTTAAGAATTTCCTGAAAGCTGACCAGAAGCCTCCTTGATGTATCAGATCTTCAAAATTCTCGAAATTTAGAAAGTTGAGACTTTCAGATTTTTCTGGTACATCAAGCAGTCGGCCAAATTTCAGGAAATTCCAAACTTTGCCCCTTGTTAAAGCCTCCACTCAAGTAGCCACTTTAGATCCCCTTCTCGTATTATAGCAATTTTGATTTCTCAAGGAACGTTCCTTGTTCAAGGACCCTCCCTACTTCAATTGGGCCATTAACGAGCCCAACTCTGCCACTGGCGAATGTGTCAAAGCCGTTCTGAAAGACGACAACTCGTTCGCCTGGGAGACGGTCAACTGCGTCACGGACAACAGTCGCGGCCTTTGCCAGGAAATGACCTGCGACACGGATTTCTACTGCGATGGGTTCGAAATCTAACCACCGAGCACCTCTATCGGATCTTTTATGCAATAAACTGCTTCAAAACGTTTTCCCGAGCGATTACTTGCCTGAATTTTTCCAGCACGCCATGGCGCATCAGGTTGTGTGCTTGTCTAGAGTGCAAAGGGTCACAGGTTCGATCCCCGACCCAACCCAACCGACGGGTTTGATCGATAATAGTTCCCACGTTTTTTTTTACGAAGCCCCGCCCACTTTTCCGTCAAGTTTCATGTGCCGTGTCCATGCACTGCGACGCTCTCTTACAGAGAATTTGCGTACATTTGGTGAAAAATCGATTCGTCTGATTAGGTGTCGAGGTGCAGCGCAATGCGCCTTTAATATAGTCGATTGTTTACGCTCTTAACAAATTACATGGGAAGGTTCCGACTCCGCCCCAAAAAAATGTTTAGTGATCACTTTAGGGTTTTGACGTTTTAGTGGACACTATAGTAGTTGAATTTGTGGCCACTTGAATGATACTACTATAGTGGCGACTAAAACGCAAAAAACTTCTGTAGAAGTAGTTTTAGTGTCCCTTCCAAGTAGCCCTTGAGGTACCTCTCAAGTGGCCACTAGAGTTTTTCCTAGTTGATCATAATTCGCTGTTCCAAAATTCAACACAAAAAGCCGAGCACCTTTATCGGTTCTTTTATGCAATAAATGGTTTCACAACGTTTTTCCATGCTATAAATTAATTAAATTATCACTAATTCTTGGGGGAGAAACCCGTGGAACGGAATCAGACAAATATGATAAGTTAGTTAGCGCAAAAGTAGAATAAATTAGGAAAATACAAGCATTATTCTTTGATTCTGCAGCCTTCGCAGACTCGTTCCCGTTCGTCGGCAGTGACACGGACGCATCGGCGGCAGAAAATCTGCAAAATTGGGATTTTGAAATTGCTGAGGAAAATGCTAGAGATCATGCGCCATGACTTGAAAAAGTCTGACCTGTCTGCGCCCTCTTTTCTCTCATTGGAATCAGAAAAATAGAACATAAAAACGAGAGGGTGCAGAGAAACCAGACAGTTTCGAGTAGTCGCTGAAAGAATTTCTAGCTGATTCACGGTTAGCTTGGGACGCTAAGGGGGCGTGTCCTGTCTGCGCTCTCCACGAGCCAGGCGCTATCTCATGCATTATCGCGTCAGGACCTTTTTTTCAATGGTTCAAGCCAGCCGTAAACCAGCTTAACATGACTTGAAAAAATCCGACTTCTCTGCACCCTCTTTTCTCTCACCGGCGTAGAAATCATTCTAACAGGAAGATAGCACGGGAAAACGAGAGGGATCAGAGAAATCAGAAAATTGCAAGTAGCCGCAAACAGCTTGTAAATAAGCATTGAAATGAGATCAAAATTTCACTCTCAATTTGAGACTTAAGAGTTTCAAATTACACTTCCCTTAACTATTTTTTTTAACGACTCCTGAACTTGGTAGCGCAAACTAGAAGCTTCTGCGTAATTCTAGGGATCCCTTCAGGGGCGTCAGTACCCTTAAGTGCTCACTACAAAAGCTCCGGTTTGCGTTACCGAGGTCTGAGAAGATTTTGAAGGATTCGCATGCCCAAATGTTCCCTCAGAAGAGATCCTATCAATAGAGCACAATCTACGCAGCAAATATATTTTTTATCAATAGAACACAAACGACGCGTTTTTTTCTTGTCAATAGAGCACAATTGACGAATTGACGCATCATTTTTTTTCTTGTCAATAGAGAACAATCGACGCATCATTCCTCACGGAAAAATAATCAGCTAACCAGTCCACAACGATGACAATGGATACGTCGATCGATAACCGACGGAAATTCTCCACGACATTGATTCGAGGAACAGTGAGTGGCGCCTCTCAAGGGTTGCCATCGGAGCGGTCGCGTCGTCAGAACTTCTTCCTGAAAAGGCTGACTTTCTAGAAGAAAATCTACACGAACAAGCTAATTTACAACTATAAAAGGTCACAAAAAAATTTCAAAGGTTCTTTTTTTTTCAAATATCCTTCCCAGAAAGCCACCGGATGCAATGGAAATAAATAAAACTGTTCTCAAAAATTGGCAGAGGATCTTTATAATATCAGTTCAAAGTTTATAATGTTTTAAAAAGCACCTTATAGTTAAATAAAACCCAAACGCCGAATATTTTAACAATTTTTTATTCAGTTGTTAATAATGAAGTGAAAAGGTAATATGATTTATGGAAGGAATCTCAAAAAGAATGCGCATTTATTCACCCTAAAAATGATTTAAAATTTCGGTACTAGGAAGGTCATTTTTCTATAAATTGGCCAGATTGTTCCTAGATGTACCAGAAAAAGATCCTGAAAGTTTCAACATGCAAAACTTCCTAGTTTTTGAGAAAAGACCCTTAAAAGTCGAATAAAATCCTCAAAATCCATGAAAAAAGGCCATTTTGGGGCTCTGAGCCCTTATTTCTCGAAAACTAAGAGTTTGTGCAGGTTGAGAATTTCAGGATTTCTTTTTCTCATTTTTAGGAAGATCAAGTTCAAAATTTAGTTTTCTTGTATCCAAACTTCCGAACAAAAAATCCTAATCAACTCGGCTTCAATTTTTTTTTTTTTTTGAAAGAACGCTTTTTGAAATTAGATGGTTTTGCTGTTTCTTTGAAAAATATTAGTTTAAGAAGGTTTTAGTCAGAAGTTTTCAGTTGGACTTCATACCAAAAGTTGCGCTCCTTTTTGTACTCGACTATAAATTTTTACAATTTCTTGGAAAATTTTCAGTGGACACTTTAGTGTTTTCGCGTATAAGTGGCCACTTAAGTGACTGGAATTTAGTGGCTCTAAGTGGTGCAGTGACTGGAATTTAGTGGATCTAGTGGCCAGTAAGACGGGAAAGAATTTTTTAAATGACAATGATTTTAGTGGCCGCTTTAGTGTTCTCCCCAAGTGCTTCTCAAGTAAGCTTTTGAGTGGTCACTAGAGTGTTTCACATGAAAAATGCATTTACCGCATAGCCGTTCAAGTCGAGGATGCCGCTCTCGAAGCTGGTCGTTCTTTCGATTCCGGATCTTTGCAGGGGGTCGTCGTTCCCGCCGCTGCTGCTCAGACCACTGTCCAGCATGGCTGAGCTGCTCGTCGAACTTGACCCCAATTGAGTCTTCAGTTCGGCTATTCTCTGGAAAAGAGATTTTTTCAACTTTTTTTGAGCTGAATACCGAAAAATTTGGAGGACTTTTCATTTTTCGTTAACAATATGGAGAGCGCTCAATTCAATGGAAAATTTCGAGATCTGAATTTTTTGTCTGGGGATTGAACCAGGGTCTATTCTCCATCGGTCAAGACTGCTATCCATTAGAACGTCTTATAATATGAGAACTTTTGCTCGCCAATGTTCTACTTCTACTTTATCTCTTTCTTTGCTTGCGTCTTTTATTCACCTAAATCTTTCATTATATTAAAGGCGCAGATAATATCGCAAGGGTTCTGTAGCTCAGAGGACTTCAAAAATCGTGACAAGCTGGCGCAGAATGGACTATAAACATTATAAAAATCATTGAAGCGAGCATTCGCGCTCTATTGAGATACGAGATACTGGCTATTAGATTTCATTTTTTAAAGCGCATAAAGATGGCCACAACTCTTTTTCTATGACCTACACTATTTCTTCGTTACCTCACTGCGGTTATTAAATATTCATTAACTTTTTATGACTGAATATCTACCATTCTAAGAGCGGCAATGTGAGATTCCAAAACTCCGACGTGCTCGATCGACGTCATCGTCTGCTCGTCAACCCGTTCGCGAGGTAATAATCCTGAACATTCGAGAATTCGTTTCTTATGAATTATAGCCGATACACGGCTAACTTGGAACGGCGTGTCTGCGCTCTCCACCAATCAGGCACTATCTCTTCTATTATCGTATCAGGAACCTTTTCGGTGGCTTCAAGCCAGTCGTAAATCAGCTATACAAGAACGCAGAAAAGCTATTCATTTAGTCTAGAAGAGAAATTCCAAAAGAGCACGAAAAAAAAGTGAGGAATTATCATTTATTTCCACTTGGAAGGAATCCAATAGTCCCAAACAAAAAAACTATACTTCCAAAATTCTAATTTTCATATATTATATTATGCAAAATAATGGCTGCAGGAACGGTACTGAAAATATTAAAAATGATGAGAATTTTTTATATTTCTCCTTGCTTCATCACCCTTCATGAAATTTGAACGAACCTTCATCGAATCGGTTATAAAGCATGTTCCAGACGACGAATCGCGACGCCCTCGTGTCAAAGTCCAGCAGAGCGACGAAAGTCGTCGGCTTAAGAAAAAAAATTGATTCATTGTATTTTTCTTTCATTCCACACAAAAAATTTATAAAAGGTATAGAATAGGATGAATTCGAGTGGGGCAAAACTGGACATGAAACCGCCTTGACGGGTAATTTTACCGAGATCACAAGATCGAAAATGATGATCAAGCAAAAAAAAAATACTCAAAGTGATGTTAGAAACGCCAGAGTGATCACTTAAGAGGCAATCTTAGAGACCCCTGTAGGTTTTTTTTTGAGCTTTAGGAGATGTGTGGTCAGACTTCGAGCCCCTATAGGACCACGTAACTTTTACCCCTATAGGGGTCACTTTTTGTCTCTTATAAGGGCTGTTTTTGTTCCTCTCACCCAGAGCTGCGCGTTGGGCCGAGGTTGATGGCCGAATCAGCCCACAATCGTCGCAATCGCGAGCTTTTTTAATCTCATTTCATAATTTAAATCACATAATTTTCCCAAATAACACATTTTCGATCACTGACTCTCTCATTTACTCACTCTGCGAAAGTTTCGAGACAAAAAAGTTCGAAAAGTGGCAAGTTTTCGGCCGCTTCGCGACCGCGTTGCAACACTATGGCCAGCCCGGCTGGCCCAAAGCACAGCTCTGTTCTCACCCCTATAGGGATCACTGGTGATGATCAAAATTTATATAAACCTATTGAAGAAACACAGAAAGAATTTAAAAGGTTTAGTTTAAAAAAATTAAAATTTTGAGGGCTTGTGATTTCAGTTTGGTTTCCAGGTTATGTGGACGCAATTCACACGGACACGTACTTTTGCAGACCAAACTTTCCGCCCTACGACAATTTTGAAGGCTTCTAAGTACAATGGACGCCATTTACACGGCCACGCACTTTTGCGGACCGAAATTTCGTCCTATGATCATTTCAAGGGCTTCTAAATATAGTGGACGCAACTCACACGGTCACGCACTTCTACGGACCAAATTTTAATCCTACCGTCTCAAAAATGATGACGAAAAATAAGTCTACCGAATAATAGGGATTCATGTAGTCGTCGTGTCGGGCGTCCATCCAGGTCCAGAGGGATTTCGTCCTTTTCGACACATGTAAATCCTAAGTTTCGAGTCTTGCCAAGAAAGTGCGCGGATTACTGTGCCAACCCGTCGATCTTTCTCGCAGTTGCCGATGAATGTGCCGAATTGGCACGAGTAAACGTGTTCGTGCATTTCGATCAGGTACCGTTCGTTGAACTGAAAAAAACTACTTTAAATTTTTGTCAGGAGGTCCATACGTCGACTGGATCCTCCCCCCTTCCTCTTCTCAAACTTCGGCCTACCCCCCTCCATAAAGTGCGGCCAGCTCGTTTTTTTCCCGGAAACTTTTGACGAAAAGTTCTGTGAATTATGGTGCTTAGGGTGTACACACCGAGGCACATTATCGCACACTCCAGCATTTTTTTCTAATTTTAAAAGTTTTTTTCTTATTTATTTATTGTTCAAGCCGTTTTCTTTTGTTGCTTTCTCAATTTATTCAAAAAAACCTATTTGGAGAAAAATTGGATATTCCACAGGGAGAAACTCTAGCGGCCACTTAAGAGGTTACTCAAGGATTACTTGAAGGAGTCGCTAAAATCAGCTCTATAACTTTGGCCCCTAATTTCACTACTCTCTTAAGCCCTCAAAACCCTAAAGAGGCCACTTTGAATTTTCCCACTGAAGTAAAAATGATAAGAATATTTGACATATTTGAGTAGAAAAGTGTGATGTTCGAAACCAACTGCCAAAAGAATATGAAACAGAAGAAAAGAAATATTTTTAATAGCTCCAAGAACCGTAAAGTGATTTTCTATCAATGAGTACCTGGAAAGCCCTCGGTTTCTGCCGCATGATCTGCCAGACACAGTCCAGAAACTGGGAAAAAACGGGCGACACCTCCTTGGAGGCCTCGTCGTTCAGCGCCCCGACATGGCCACAACGATCGTCGAACTTGTGTCCGAATCCGAGCCAATCTTTCTCGATCAGCACCTGGAATCAAGCGGATTGGAGATTATACTTACGATCTAGAGGCGTCTTGGCTGATTGAGAAACGTTTTAAAAAATTCGAAAATTAAAATATATAATTACTCACTAACTTCCGATTTTTTAAGACCCCTCTAGTCAAATTTCCCAAATTTTCTGAAAAAGTCCGTCATTTAGAAGTCAGGTTTATATAACGCTCCTATTCTCCAAAAAAACAGGATTCTTAATACCCTCCAGTCAATTTTGTAATGTATTCAAATTAAATCAATTTAGTTCAACTCATTTTTTGAAAAATTGGCTCTAACAAATTTTGAACCAACTAATTCAGAAACCAGATTTACGGAGTGTTCCTTGAAATAAAAAATCGCATTTTCCTAATATTTTGCCAATTTTTCTTAATCGGCACCCAGAGAAAAAGAAGATTGAAGTTTATACCTAAAATTTATCGACCTTAGGCTCACTGAAAAAAGAGAAAAGGGGAATAAAAGTTTCGTTCTTTGTCATCTTTATGTTCCCATTTTAGGACCATATTTGTAAAAGTTCACTGGTTTGAAAAAAAGTAAAAATTAGTGTGATCACGGCGTTTTTTTTCACGTCAGTCGAAAAGTTACGTGAACTATGGTGTTTAGGGTGTACACACCGAGACGCATTTTTCGCAGACTTCAGCCTTTTTAAATTTTTAGCTAATAGCTCCTGAAACACACAAAAATTCTCTCTATTTGAAGACTATAATCTTAAAAAAACATTCTAACACGTATTTTTTTGAATCTTTCAGTAAATCTAGAGATATCTTAGTTTTGTGAGTCTGTCCATCAGGAAACGGGTCCTGCACCGAAAAACTACCGTAGTCGTACGATTTACGGCACCCTCCCTTGGTCTTTTTTTGTGCATATTATTTCAATGACAAGAACGTCGTGGGATAATACCAATTTCTTAGGATGACTGACTCAAACAACCAATAAATATTGATTAATATTGATTGAACACGAAACGTCCAAGAATCCAACCTGAAACCCATGGATGGTCCTGAAAAAGGGGTCGAGCAGAAGTTGAGACAAGGCGACGACTTGCGAGGTCCGGTCCCAGCCATCGGAACAGTGGACGACGCAGGAAACTCCTTGAAAAATTCGAGTTTTTCTCTTCAATTTTCTAGGTGGAACCTCTAGTCAACGACTGGGCCAAGAAAAGGCTACATTCCAAGATGGAACGGACATGTTTCAGCCATCCAGACGACTCCAACGCCTTCAGGTACTCGGTCATGTTCTTCGTCTTTGTGCAAGCTGAACGAATAAACGTTTTCTTTAGGTTTTCGAGAGAGTTCTTAGGAGATTTATTTTTCAAAAAAGTGAATTATTGTCCACAAGGAAAGGTCATTTTACTTTGTGGTCGGGAGATTTCTAAAAATTGGTCAGAACGCTTTTTAATGAACCTAAAGAAGATAATGAAAATTTGAACTTGCAAAACCTCCTGGTTTTTGAGAAAGGATACCCTAAAAATGCGGTAAAACAGGCTATATCCGGGCTTCAGATTCTTATTTCCTGAAAAACTAGAGAATTGTGCAGGTTGAAACTTTCAGAATATTTCTCTGGTACATCAAGGAGTATTCTGGCCAAATTTCAAAAAATTCTTAACACCAAATTAAAATTACATTACTTGTGAGTAAAAAAAAATTTATGAATTTCCCCTTTTGAACCTTATTAAAAGCCGAAAAGGTACTTTAATTTCTTGTCAAATAGAATCAAAACGCTTATTCACTAGGAAAAAAGGTTTTTCTCTAAAAATTGTTTTTTCATACCACTTACGAGATCATTGTGGTTATGTAGTGAAAAAAACTTTTGGCTATCAGGAAATCAACGTTAAAAAGAGCATTTCCTTTTTGAAGTTTAAATGAAACGCCAATGCTATGAGAAATAGGAAACTTGGAAAGAAAAACTATTGATCGGAAATGGGTCACATTGTGAAAAGAGTCATTTTTGCACTATTTTTTGTTTTCAACCAAGTTTCTCCATTTTGACGGACGGGCGACCCACGGGCTCTTGAGCATTTTGAGCGATACCCAAATTTTCACCTTCAATCAGCTTGGCCTGACTGTTGCGCATCACGTGGATGTTCTCAATGTCGAAAAAGTGGAATCGCATGTTGGAATAGTTCCTTTCGTCTTCGAATCCCTTGCCCTGCACTTTATTGACCATCGCGTTGACCCGGGGTCTCGTGTCGACCAGGTACAGCGTTTCCGAGTTCGGATTCGCCTTTCCGATCAATTCCATCAGCTTTTCGTCTTCGACACATCGAGCTGAGAAGCCGGTTAACGGTTGGGCGCATCTGGAAAATTTTTTTTTAATTCAAAACGTTCACAAAATTAATTGATTGATCCTCGGTAGATCTTTTTCATTAAAATGAAGCTAATTATTTTGTTTTTTGCATGGAAATACTCCTTCGCAGAGAGCTCATAACAGTAATCCGATAGCATTTCCTCTCTAGGGACTACTTTTGCAAGCTTTAGTGGCCCCTACAGGGAAGGGAAAGTGGTCCCTAGAGGGGAACCTTGAAGGGCCCCTAAGGTTGTCCCTATAGGGACCACTTTGCCGTTCTAAGAAAACATAGATTCACGAATATAAAATTCACAGCGGAAAAAAAAGACGAAAGATTATTTTGATTGAAACAAAATCCAATAAATAAATACACAGAAACGGTAAACAAATCTAACAGAGCTGAATATTTTGTTGAAAAAACAAAAAAAAATTTCAAGCTTTTTTTCATAAAGCCGATCACCCAGAATCATCAAAGTGTATCCGAATTCGCAGAATTGGAGCAAAAAGAAGTTCGAAATAAACTTTTTCAAGTGGTCGGTCTTTCTTGGAATCTTGTGAACTAGTTTAGAAAAACCGAAATTAGTTTTTTTGAATTAAAAAATCCCTTATATTCCACATATTGCTCTATAAAAATCATTTTTTTGTTGAAAAATAAAGCCTCAAAACCTGGACAACGACGCTTCAAAAAAATACAAGAAAGTTCACTTTTTTTCAAAAAAATGATCCAATTTCTCTATATTATACAAAATGATCCAAAAAAACGTGACAGAGACAAATTTTAATAATATTAAAGCTCTAGATCCCTGACAACTATGTTTCAAAAAGCCTTTGAAAAACGTGTTTTTTTAGCCCGAAAACCGATAAAAATCATTCCAATTTTTTGATATATTTTACAACTTGGCACAAAAAACTTGATAAGGCTCAAAAACCTAAACAAAAGAGCTGTAAAAACACAAGAAATTATCATTATTTGTGGTTTGAAAATAGTCACTAACTAGTCGGTTTTTTTTTTGCTTTTCTGTTTTGCAATGGTTTTTGTTCTTAAAATTGGTACCATTTTTCTATAAAGTGTCCTAAAAAACCGAATAACTTGGCAATAAAGCTTTCAAACTTCTCAGGCTCATGATAATTAAGAATCAACCTTTTCCATATTCCAGAATTAAATTCAACTTATTTCTGTATATCCTAAATTTTAGACAAGAAAACCCGTATTTTAACGATTTTTCATTGACAAAACTTCAAAAACCTGTACAATGATCCATTAAAAACACAAATAATTTGATTTTCAGCCTAAAAAATGTTAAGAATGAACCTTCTTTTTCTATATTGAAAACCTTGTCATAGTAATGTCCTCTTCATATTTACTTTCTCACCCTTCATATTGATTAAACACACTGAATTGTCACATATTTTTTACTTAATGGTAAAACTTAAAACCTAAAAAGACATTTTTTATTAAAAATGATGCCTTGGTATCTGTAAAAATGCGCTTAAAAACAAAGAAAATTAAAAAACTAATCCTTTTTTTCTCTGGCTACTATACTTTAGTCTACGGAAAGGCCTTTCTACGAATTTCTTCGATAAAAAAGCTGCAAAACCTGCACAACGACGCTTCAGACTGTCGATGGAAGTAGGACAAAACTGGAAGTCGTCCTCGGGATCTGAACCGACAGGATCCGATCAAGGTGGCCGTCGAGGCCGAGGCCGGCACCCAGAGTCTTTCCGGATACGTGTCACAACTCTAAAAAGGCCAAAAATCGTTCGATTCCGTTTGACGGTTGATTCTTCACGTCTTTAAAGGCGGGATAGGCCAGGATGGCTTTTGGCGTTTCACGATGAAATAAAATTTTTGAAAATTGTAAAAACAAAAGGAGTTTTATATTCTTTTATTCATTCAAATGGAACTTTGAAACCTCGAAAAATGAACAAATTATCGAAAAACTATGGAAAATAAAAATTTTTCAAGATTTTTTTTCCAATTTTTTAACGGAATACGGTGCCTCGGGACTAGAAACGCGGCAAAAATTGAAAAAAATAGTGAGTATAATTGGTTCTAAAATCATTATTACACTAAAAAGTGGCCTAGAATCGATCAGGAGTTGAATAATATGCTAAATAAAAGTTGATTTCTGTACAGAAAATTTTCTAATTTTTTGTTCATTTTCATTTTTTTTCATTGTCACAGTAGAAGGATGGCGAAAACCAGAGAAACAAGGAGGAGAATTTTTTGAGGAAAACGAAAAATTCTGTTTCATATCGCCGTTCCAAGCTCAGAAAAATAAAGCTATTGCCAACCGAAAATCCGGAGTTGATGTCGGTCTCGACCCAGGTGTCCGGCGGGACTCCCTGTCGCGACATTTCGATGCCCCAGTCCATTCGGGACCATCCCCGCGCGTCTTCCACCGAGTCCCGATTTTCGAAGGCCAGCAGTTCGTTGACGTTTACTGAATGGCAAATTTCTTATTTTTCCAAAAAATGTACAAAAAATAAATTCTAATTTTCCTACGTGGACTTTTATTTTGAGCTTAATTTAGAAATTTTCATTTTTTTTTAATGTAGATTTTTTTAGTCTCAATACTCGAGAACTTTAGAGTGATCCCTATAGGGATCAAGGAGAAAAACAGCCCCTATAAGAGCCGAAAAATTGGTACCTATAGGAGTAAAATCAAGGTGGTCCCTATAGAGGTTTTTTTTTTCTTACCAAGAGAAAAATGATAAATTCAAGAACTTTAGAGAGGAAAAAGTCACAAAAACTACGCAACGAAACGCAAGGTTGCTCTATGGATAAATAACATATTTTTTTGATTTTTAAACAAGTTTTTCTCTCTCATATCATGAAAAAAACCTTTAAAAAAACAGAAGTAATGGAATTTCAAAGTAAAGAATTGAAGAATCGGGTAAAAAAACAAAATTTTTTTATTTTTCTTGTTTCATGTTGCTTGTTGTGTTAGAAATTTGGAGAAAATTATAGATTATTCGCATTTTTTTTTTCTGAACAAACTTACTCGGTTTGGAGCACCTGAGAAGGGTCTCATAGAGGTCTTGGCAGGCTTTATCACGGCTGATAAGCAAACTGATAGTCTGAAAAGTCACAAAAATGAGGGCTTTGAGATTTTTTGAACCTGGAAATGTTTGCATCGGATGGTCAAAGGACATCCGGCGGCGCTCAAGGATCCTCGTTCCACAGAAGCGATTAATCCAGTTGCCAACTGAAACATAAAAAAATTTACACTGATCAACTTTTTCGTGTTCTCAAGTCTATATATAAAAATTACAAAAAACTTTGGCTATATTTTTGAAATTTCAAAATCGTAAAAAGTCATTATTTCGACATCATTCGGGAACTCAGGAGCTTTTAGAGTGGTCCCTCTAGGGCTCTTGTAGAAGAATCCCCTCAAGGGATCGCTTTAATTTTCCTATAGGGGCGCTAAAGTTTGCAAAAGTGGCCACTCTAGGGGTTTCAATTAGTGACCTCTCGAGGGAAGCTTGCTAGTAGTCCCCATACGTACTTCATCTTTCAAATCATAACCAAAATTTGAAAGATCACTTAAGGAGCCACTCAAGCTTCAGATATCACTATTATTTCCAAAAGGGCGGCAATTTCCTCTCTAACCCCTATAGTGACCACTTCAGCGTTCCGGACTTAAAAATATAGCTTGTTTCTCTTCCTTCAGGACCCTTGTTTTTTTTCTCAAATAAGACCAAAATAGACGGACCCAGAGCTCTTTGGAGCCATCTTCGGACCGAAATATGATATGGGTTGTGGTGACGTGGACGGTTCCCAGCAAGTTGGCCTCCACTCCAAGTCGATCCACCAGCTGCACTTTGTCCACCTGCAACTTGATATTTTGGATTGAAATGAAGCGGAAGTTTCATGGAAACTCTCTAGTCGGAAGCATTTTTTTTCAGTTTTTTATAGCCTGTGTACCACGACTTAGAATTTCACCAAACGACATTCCGCTGTGCCGCTGCGCGCCTTTGCGAACCTTGATCGCGCTTTTAACTTTTTTTCTTTTATAAGGTACTTTACTTTCATGTGATCTTACAGCAATAACAATCAATTGATTCGAAAGACGCTTCGCGACCGCACGCAGCGGAACAGCGGAATGTCGTTCCGTGAAATTTCAAGTCGTGGCACACAGACTATAACAGAAGCCTAGAGTCAATCTCGTTTTAACTTCTGAAGCTTCGAAAAATATTTACTCAATTTGTTAATCTTCTTTCGAAAATATTCAGCATGAAGGCTCCGCTCTATAAAACTGAAACTTTTCTAAAAAATATTAGGTCATTGGAGAAAAAAAATAGGAAGCACGGATCAAGAAAAGGATGATCCGCATCAGGCCCATTTTCATCAAAAATTCAACAAAATTTCACTTCATTCTTTTCCAATTCGCCTTAGAAAAAATTTTCGACGTTTGTAAAAAAAAAAAATAAGAGACCCCTATAAGGACCACATACGCTTTAGGGGTCAGAACCTGAACCGCTACAAGGACCACTCAAATTTTGGCCTCCAAGGGAGCCCTATTTCTAGGGACCGCAAAGCCACGCCCCTTTTCGCGATAGAAAAAGTGGCTTTTTTTTGGTTTTCAACTTTCATTTTGCTGTAGTTGCAAAATATGTGGAACTAGATAATAAATTTTGACACGCATGTACAGAAAAGCTTCCTCTTTCGTTTAAAAAACATTTCACGCTTTTTTGATGCGTTCGCGCGGAATGTCGTACAAAAACGTGAATGGAACTAAAAAATTTTGTCATTTTTTGCTTTTTTATGTGTTTTCAGATCGAACGCACTCTTTCTTTTTTTATATAATGATTTTGATTCAAGTAACGGTACTTTTTAAAACAATAAAAATAAAAAAATTCGTCTTTGCCAAAAAAATTTTTAGGGAGCGCCGAAAGTCATAATTCAAAAATATCGTTAATAAGCGAATATAATCGAGTATTTGTTTTTTCAGAATTTAGACCATGGTCTTACTTAAATTTTTCTCCACAGCATCTGTGCTTGAAAAAGTTGTTTAATACGCAAAAAAATGCTCTTGAAACTAGAGAACAAAAATTAGCGGCGTTTATCACACAGAAAAGCGGTCGAACGCAGGTTTTTTTAAACGATTATATACATTTATTAGTAGAAAAATCTTTCAATTAAAAAGAATAAAAATAAAAAAATTCGTCTTTGCCAAAAAAATTTACGGGGACCGTTTTAATGCAGCGATCATTAAACGAGGCAAAAAAAGCACTAAAAAAACAGTTTTTTTCGAAGTGAATTTCCACGAAAAGTTTGAGTAAAGATTTGCGAACATATTTTAATAAAAAAATAGCTTAATTACTTCAAATTTTTTTATTTTTTTGATATAGGCAATCTGTGCTATTCAAACGGCTCAAGGGTATGGCGGATGGAAGCTCCCCGCGTTGGACCTAACAGCTTGGCGCAGCGCGTGCGCTGCGATTTTTCATTTTGAGGTCGCGAGTTCGATGCCCGCAAGCGGAAGTTTTTTTGTTTTCTGGAAAATACCGACTTTTTCGGCAAACTAGCTGATTAGCATCATTTTAGCACTCTTTTATGATTTGTTACATTATAATAGACCAGTATCAAAAATTGTTCTAGAAGAAAAATCGAGGAAAATGTCAAAAATGGATAATACCAAAATTTCAGTACTAAAAAAATGGTGCGCGGCGCGCCACATTTTCCGTCATAACTTTTTTCATCCTCAATCTTTTTCGAAAAACTAAACGGTTCTGAGTTTTGAATCGGAACAGCTATCAAACCATACAAGGCTCAATGCTGAAAAAAAATTTTTGAAAATTCGTCTGCGGTCCCTACCTATTTCGTCCATTATAGCGGTTTTTTGCCCTAGCCCCTCTAGGGACCACTTTTTTATTTTTAGGGTTCAATTTAGCTTTTATTTCATATTTTAGAAGTTTAGAAAACTTGGAAGATTCAAAATATGTGCTTGATTTTTTTATAAATGAAGTTTAAAGTTTATTGTGTTCGTGGAAGCTCTTGAACTGAAGTAAAAGTTGAAAATGCCTAATTTAAACTCAAGTTGAAACCTATCTTGTCCAGGTTTTTACACTGGTTCCAAATCTGTGGTTTTATTTCTCAGATATCTGGCTTGAAGCTTATTGTGACCGTAGTAATCATAAAAGTGACGTCAAAAGTGAAATAATCCTCAATTTTAATGCTAGATTCAAATTTGGATGCCTATCTAGTTCAGAATCGGGCTGTTCCTAAATCTGTGTGTTGATTTTCCACAAAATCGACTTCTTTTTTTCAAAAATACGAACGACTATCTCATCTTTGGCAACTCTTTTTTTTTCATAGGAAAATTCAAAAATCGCTGCCATACTTAAATCATTCCTTGAGACTGTAAAATAGCTATGAGTCCCAAAAATCCAAAAATCGTAAACTCCTTAGTGGTACCGTTTTTTCAACTTTTAAATAAGGAAAAAAAAATTGGAGACCCCTATAGAGACCACTCAAGCTTTAGGGCCTTAGAAATCTGGCCCTATAAGGACCCCGGCCCAAAAACTCAAATTCTTTTCAAGTCGATTTTTTCGTTTTTTTAACGAGAAAAGTGGTATTTTTTTGCTCAGTTTTTCTCATAAAGTTATTAGAAGCTATGATTAAGTAAAAAAATAATTTTTTTCGGTGAAATTTTTTTAAAAATAAAATTCAAGATTTCTTTTCGAAGCCCGGCTTGGCCCGAGCACACGCAGGCTTTTTTTTTAATTTAAGGCCCAAAGCCCGGCCTGGCGCACAAGCTTGTTTCCAAGACAAAAAGGGACCATCATGGCGATGCGGCCGTCCTCGCCGTAGCCACAGCCGCTCATGAGCGACTCCTTGCCGAGGATCGAGTCGTAGAGACCGGCGATGCGGTCGCGAAGCAGCGAGCCGACCACCGTGATGTCCTCCGTGTAGGTGGCTGACGACGACGGCAGCAAGTGCGACATCGCGTCGCCGCGCCGCCACTTTTCCCCTCCGGCTGCTTTTTCCTTACAAAAGGGCGACGTGAACATTTGGGAAAAGAAGTCGATATCGCGACGATGACAGGAAAAAGCGGGTCGAAAAGTGACGCGAAATACAGATTTTGAGGCATTTTCTAGCTTCCTCTAGCTGCTCATAGTCATATTCTCAATGTCAAGTAAAATGACGTCATTCTGAAAGAGACTCGCCCTCTGATTGGTTTATCGCATTAGGGGCGGAGCTTAAGACTATTAAATTTATTATTCAATCCTTGATTTCTATTTATCAAATTAGTCAAAAAAATACCGCCAAAAAAATATCCGAAAAACAAAAAGAAAAATCCTTAAAACAAGAGAACTTCAATATAAAATTCGTCTCACGAAAACCTCAATCCAGAAAAAAAGTTGTTTTGAAGCTTGAAATTTCAGGAATGCGACCAAAACAGCAAATATTTTCGAGAAAAAGTGTAATTTATGCCGTTTTACTCGAAAAAAATTAGGCGTATGAAAAAAACACAAGCGAAAATTCAAACGGCGACTTTTTCCGATTTTTTTCATATCGCTAGGGAACTTTCCGACGGCCACCTTTCCGACGAATCTTTTTCCGACTTTTTTTCTCGATAAAGTCTCCGTTTTAAATCTTCCTATATAAATTAGGTAGTTGGTTCATGATTAGGACACAAAGAAATAGGAAAAAAAATGTTTATAGATGTTTTATAAACCGAAAAACATAAGGGAAAAAAGTCGGAAAGGGATCCGTCGGAAAAGTGGCCGTCGGAAAGCTCCCTAGCGAAATGAAAAAATCGGAAAAGTCGCCGTTTGAATTTTCGCTGGTGTTTTTTTCATACCACCAAAAATTAAACATGGAAATGCAAATTCAAATTTTGAAAATATCACAATTTGAAAAAAAGCAACGGAAAAAATCAAGAGACTCCAGATAAACTTCAAGAAAAGAGTTATAAATAGGATGCAAAAAAAGAGAAAAAAAACAAGAAAAACTTCATTTTTCGCGCTCTTTTTTTCTTCTATCTATTCAATTCTCTCAATTCAAACGGCTTCTTTCTTATTTTAAGCTGTCTCAGAACCCGTCAAAAAGCCAAAAATATAAATGAGAAGTTAATAAAACTGATAAATGCCAAATTCAGACTTGATGAAAAATCTCAAAGCAAAAAAAATAACTTTCACATTATAAAAAAATTGAAAACTAACATTACTATGTTTGAAAAATAAGAGAAAAAAATCAAAAGTCAAAAAAAAAAATATTTTTATAAAAACCTGTAAGTTCTTTCTGACCAAGAAAAATTCTAGTAAGTGTTAAGTTTTTTCAAGGGTTTTTTTCAATTCGAATAGTTTAAAGCTGATTTTTTTATTAACAACGGAACTCATCGAAAAATTTTTTTCAAAACTGAAAAATTTTTTTGAAATTTCAATTTTTCTCTGGAACCTTCTCACTTCTTATTCATTACACCTTTCTTAGTCAAAAAATTTCGTGAATTGATTAATTAAGGCTTATTTTTAAAAAAACCAAAAAAATAAAAGTAAACTAATCCTTACGTCACTCATTCATTCTGCCTCTCAGTTGGTCGGACAATTGAAAATTAAACGAATTAGGCTGTCTTTAAAAAAACCCGGAAAAAGTAAAGTGATCTTAAAGGCATAGGGGCAGTAAAAAATAGAGTTTCAGGTGAAAGGAGTATCTTATATAGTTTTTCTTTGCTAATCGGATGGTGTACTCAAAAAAATTACAAATGTGACAACTTTAGAAGAAAAACGCGATTTTACTTTCCCGCCTTTAATTTTGAAAAATCCTTTGGATCGGTCTACGGACAACTGTTTACAGTAGCCGTGCACGCGAAGTTGCGGACGTGTCAATAGACTCCCATTTTGTTAGAAATAACCGGATATCTGCTTTAGATTAGGGGTTTCTTCTCTGATAAATTGATTGAAAAAACAGAAAACACACATTGATAATAAAGAAAACACAAATAATCGCTATCTCAATCGAAACCTGTGTAAAATCATCATTTTTCACCAGAAAAGCATTTTTTTCGATCAAACTTTGCAAATTATACATGAATAGAAAGCTTTTGTGACAAAAAGAACTTTGGTGACAACAGAAAAATTGAAAATTGAAAGAAACGAAGAAAAAAGCGAAAATCCGAGAAACGGGGGAGCCTGTTGTCCATAGAGCAACTTTACTGCAAAGCGCCCTTTTCGCGGGAACTCAAACTTTCTTCTCTCCGACTTTGAATTATTTTTCTTCAAAACTAGGAACTTCTGTACATTTCCAAGTTCACCGTACGATTCGCAATGGAAAACTCTACAAAATACTGCTTCGAACTGAAACACCGTTTTTTACTGCCCCTATGCCTTTAAACGGAAAAAAAGAGCAGAAGAAAACTGGTTGATTCTGAGTGAGAGGGGAACGAAGAGCCGAAGGTTTATGTCACACAAACGAAATTAAAGGGGGGCTAAAGTGCTTATGGCGGAAACGGCCGCCGTCGCTTCTCTTTTTATTTTGACCAAAAGGCAGCCGAAAAAGTGGATAAATATGAGAGCGGCGGGAGTGGAAAAAAAGAGAGCAATATCAACCCAAACGGGCATTTATATATGGAAAGAAAGGACTCTGAGGAATGGGCGAATGCCAAATGGAATACGACAAGTCGGGCCGAAATGGCGCCGCTGAGTGCCCGGAGCTCAAGTCGGTCCATTCACCACTACATCAATCAACAGGAAAACCTCCAGTCCATGGCAGAAGGGCATGTCAGGGTTCTGGATGAATCTATGGAGCAAAAGGCTGTGAGAAACGACCTCAGAGGTACAAAAAAAAGGGGAAAACCAAAGAAAAGACAAGATAAGCCTCAAAGATGAATCTATGAAGGAAAATGACTTGAAAAACGGCCTCAGAGGTGCAAAAAGAAGAGAAGACCCGAAGAAAAAATATGATAAGCCTTCCAGATGAATCAATGAAGAGAAATGTCGTGAAAAATAACCTCAAAGGTACAAAAAAAGAGGAAACTCAAGAAAAGATATCAAAAGCCTTCCAGATAGATCTATGAAGAAAAAGGCTGTGAGAAACGACCTCAGAGGTATGTAAAAAAAAAAGAAAAAGCCAAGAAAAGACATGATAAGCCTTCCAGACGGATCTCTGAGGAAAACGACGAGAAAAAAAACGGAACAAAGATCAAAAAAAAGCAACTTGAAAAGCCCTAAAATGCTGCGGCTTGAAATGGACTGTCAAGTAGTTTTTGGTCGGGTGCAAACTGCTTCTAACAAGGCAAAGCTACATTCCAGCTTTCCGGATGGGTCTATGAAGAGAAAGGTCGTGAAAAACGGACTTAGCTTGGAAAATAAAACCTATTTTTAATTGAAAAAGCGTAAGCCGGGTGTCGGTCGGGTGCAGCCTTTTGTTACTCATTGAGCCATTCCCCGTGCGGCCAACGTCTTTCAAGCCGTGAGACATTGAAAAAAAGAATTCACACTGAATATAATGGAAAAAGTGTAGAACACAAATACTGAAATTAAAACTTAAAGAAAAACTTTTTTCGAAAAAAAAAATTTAAATAAACGACTAATCAGTCGTTCTCTAGAAAATCCGTGCATCTTTAAATAATCCCTTCTTAGATTCTCAGTTATTTGAACATTGAGCAGAGACAGAATAGAATAATATCCTTGATTAAAAATAGGGAAGCTTCGAAGCGTGAAAATCGCCAAAAAGCTCGAAATAAACATTTTTCTCATTAAAAACAGCCAATATGGAGGATTGACAGCTTCCTGAAATTTTTCCTATTCAAAATATATATATAGCTCCGCTCATTTTCTTCAAAAAACTGTGAAATCAGGAACTATGCAAAGAAAATGTATCAAATTACTAAATTCTCCCAAAAAAAGCATCAACTGGACATTTTTTCTATAAAAATAGCTACGTATTTATTTAGAAATGACAGTTGTCAATCAAGGAAACGATTAAACTGCGAAAAACTCTAGTGGCCACTTAAGAGGTTCCTCAAAGAGCACTCGGGAAGGACTCTAAAGTGGTCACTAAAACCTTCTCTATATAAATCACTAATTTTGAATCTTAGTGGTCACTATAGTAGTTTTTAGTGGTCTAGTAGCGCCACTTTGAGTTCATAGGGAGCGTCTGCCTCTTAAGTGGCCACTTTTTAGTCTCTTATAGAGGCCACTAAAAGTCAAAACCCTAAAGTAGCCACTCAAAATTTTCTTCCTGTACTGAAACCTTTTAAGAAACACAAATTTATAAAAAAAACGGGTTAAGTTAAAAATAAGCTTCAAACAGACATTTTCTCATTAAAAACAAAAATGACAGCTTCCTGACATTTTTTTTTTCCAAACCCATCGAGGAAACGAAGGCTACGCATGCCGAAAACGACTCCCCGGGGGGAAAACGAACGGGTCAGTCAAATCCAAAGTGTCACCAGGCTTCGTTTTTTCGTGGAGATAAGCTAGGAGAAGCTGAGCCAAGAATTTCGAGAGAAAACGGCGAAAAAAAAGAACGTTAATGAAAGGCGACGTTCCGACGAATTCGTGTTCATTCATGCGGAATTTCAAAGCGGCGATTAGGCTCTGGATTTCGTTTCGAAATGCTCGAATTGTACTGGAAAAGAGTTTCTTTGAGCTTTCTCAAAGGGGGTTTGTACTTTTTTCTGTAGAAAACCGGGAAAAATTCACTTATTTGGGGATGAAAAATTATAAAATTGTGGAATTTCAAGGGACCCGTTGCGTACGCGGCGCGGCCTTGGAAGCAGCCATTTTTTTCTTTTTGACTTTTTTTCATTTTGTATAAGTTTTAAAAATAGTTAGTAGAACAAATAAAACCCTGCAAACGATAAAAAAATTCCGCTAGAAAAAAACCGAAAAAAATTCAATACATCAAAAAAATTTTTCTGAATAAAGCTTCCTGATTCAACACCTTAATAAATGGATAATTTTGTTTTTTTAGAAGTTGTACACCTTTTTTTCTCCAACCTTCAAATTCAATATTACGCGGTCCAACTTGTGATCATTTTCTTATTATTTTGTAGAATTATTCTTTAACATTATAACAATTTCAATTAGTGACAAAAAAATCCCCTTATTATAAGTTTCTCCGTGATCAAAAATCAGATAAAGAAAGATGGAACATTTTATCAGATCCAGTCCCCAAAAATTACCGCCTTTTGGATTTCGTTTCGAAATGCACGAAATAAACTGAAAAGAGTGTTTTTGAGATTTCTCGGAGGATATTTGAGCTATTTCATACAGAAATCGGAAAAGAATAGGCTTCAAGAATTGAAAAAAAAACGCTTTTTTGATGGAAAAATCTTCAATCACTGATTCAACACTGCAACGAATGAAAAAAAATTTTTTGTGCATATTATAAGTTCTTGTTCAATTCTTCGAAGTGGCTTCTTAAGAGACAAGATTTGTAAGGATATTCTGATTTTTTTGTATATAAATGGAGAAAAAAATGGATACCATCTTTCCGGAGTCCAAAAAAAGTCCTCAAAAATCAATTCCGTTTTTGGGAACGTTTCAGAACTAAAAAATCGCTGGAGCAGAAAGAAAAAAAGGCCCAACTAGAAAAAATAGTGAAAATTGTTCGAAAATCGTTCTTTATTTAAAAAAAAAGTATCTCACATTCCCGCTACAAAAGCTTTTCAAACATCTTTTTCAAAACCGACTGCTCTGTTTTTAGGGATTCTACAGGGCGTTAAGAGCTACTTGAAAACATCGAAGTGACCACTAAAGCCCATTTTAAGTAAATTCAGGGAAGTCCTCTATTCTGAACTCCACATTTGGAAACCATTAAAAAAAAACGGAACAAAAAGGGTTCATTTTAACATCAAAGGGAATAGAAGAGCCAGAAAAAAAAATAAATAAAAATGAATTTCTCCGGAAGATATAAAGTTCTAAACTATGAATCGCTTCGAAACATCAAAAAAAAAAGCAAAAATTCATTTTCCCAATAAAACCACAAGAAGAACCTGAAAATGAATAAAATTGACCAAGTGGTCATTTAAGGATACACAAAATTTCTACAGAAAGCTTTAAACTTCACATTTCCAGTTGTTTCGAATCAACAAAAAGTAAAAAAAAAGCTCATCAGGATAAATTTTTCAAGTGGTCATTATAGGGTCGTCAAAGTTTCTACAGCAAGCTTCAAAATACTATAATTTAGTTACTCCGAACCAAAAAAAGGTTCATTTTCACATCGAAAGTGCAACAAGAACCCGAAAAAAACCCCAAAATAAATTGGAATCCGGGTAAATCGGTACGGCGACGGATACACGACGTAATGAATTCTTCAGCGTGCTCAGAGCTCGTTTTCTCGAAAGACGAGCCCCGGAAAAATGAGCTGCCCCCAGAAACCCGGAAAGGAAAGAAGAAAAAGGACGGCCGAGCAAGTGTGGAAGGCCGCCGAAATCGATGTTGTTCCACTTCCAGCCGCCATTTTTGGGTACCCATAAACTTGAACTTTTTCCCGCTCAAAACAAGTTCAAAGTTTTCTTGCTTGAGGATGCAATAAAAAAATTTTTTGCGTTGGTAAAACATTTAAGAGGATATATTTTTAAAACCGGGAAGTTTCTAGTAGCCACTTTAGGGTTTTGACATTTTAGCGGCCCCTATAGTAGTAAAAATAGTGATCACTTGAGTAAATAAAGTTTAGTGGCCTCTTCAGAAGCCTAATTAGTGCTACAAGACCACTAAAAACTACTATAGTGGCATCTAAATGGCTTCTATAGAGGTAGTTTTAGTGGACACTTTAGTGTTCTCTCCAAGTAGTCTCTTGAGGAACCTCTTAAGGAACCCCTTGAATTTTTCCCAGTGAAAGGAAAATTGACCAAATTCAAAAAATTCAACATTTAGTTCCTCATCAACATCCGTTCGAATTATATTACTATATTGTTCATTTATGAACTTTGAAACAGTAAAGTTGCGGTTTGTATTTTAAACTTTCAAAATGCTCGAAAAAAACTCGCGCTTAAAATTTCGTTAATTTTACATTTCAGTAGTATAAAAACTGGCTAAATAAGCCAAGTTGAGATTTAAAGAAACTGTTTTTCCATCTATTTCTGAAATAAGAGCTTTTTCAATAACTAGCTTCTAAGAAAACACTCCGGCAAGTTATTTGATCCAGCTAAAAAGGAAAAAGACAATATTTCATTTCTGAAGGATTTTCAAGGATAGCTTCCTTAAAACCTTTGAAAACCAAGGGAAAAAAAGCCGGAGAATGGCAAGTTGAAGGGCGAGAATGCTCCAAATTAAATGAGAAAAAGGCTGTTTGCGGGTCGCCCCTCGTCCACATAAATATTCAATGCGAGCAGGGAAAACTAATGAGGTTAGGCGGGAAAATGATGAAATAAGCTGGATTTTCGGGGATTTCATGGGATATCATTCGGTTTTTAATGGATGCGATGATCAGAAACAGTACAAATAAAATGAAACTTTTTCTTAAAACATAACTTTCGGTTCTCAAATTTTCAAAGTAAACTTCTATTGAATAAAAAAACTTCCTAGGTATCCTTAAAAAGAGTTTCGGAAAAACAGTAAAATGAGTTTCAGATTTTATTTTTTTATTTTTTTCAATAAAACTTTTAATTCTTACTATTTTTTTGAAGAAAAATGTTTAACTTTAAAGGAAATCTTTGAAGGATGTGAAAAACAAAAAAACATGAATTTTATAGTTTTTCGCTCATTTAGAACTTTCGAAAAGTTGAATTTTTTTATTATAATTCATTAATGAGGGTTAATTAATAAATTATCGAGAAAAAAATGACATATTTTTTTATTATTTTCTAGCCTGAACCACAAATTAAGAAAAAAATTTATTTTTTTCTAATCAAATCAATTTGAAACGGTAAACTCCAGTTCTCAATACTTTGACGAAGTCTTCAAGTGAATTTCCGAGAAATGCAAAATTATATCTGACTCTCCAAAAAAATTAGTTATCTCTTTCTTTCTCTGGCGGCTAATTTTAATCTTACGGAAAAAAATTTTTCCTTACTGCATGAGAATAAAAATTCGTTTATTATAACCTAAGCTTGAAACAGTAACCTGTGAATCACCAGAAAAACTAAAAATTAAAAAAAGAGTAATATTTCTCCAACTTTAATAACAGCTTATGACTCCACCGTCTGACTTCCTAAATATTCACTTAATCAAAAAGAACTTATTTTGAAACAGGAAAATGGGATAAATTTTTAGAAAACTTCAATAAAATACCAACATTTTTCATATTGTACGAAGTCGACATTAAAATTTCAAATTAACCAAAAATTACCTTTTTTTTTTACGAAAAAACACCCTTTGAAGTAATTTTAAACCATTCTTTAGCTTCAAAAGCTCAAGTTTGAAATGAAAAACCAATGAAAAAAAAAATTATTGAAAAAAAACGAACCCTGGGCGTGATGATGTCTTCGAATCGCATTTCGGTCTCAATGTATAATATCCATCTACTGACGATCTTCAAACGCCTAAAAAAATCAATTCATTTAAACAATTTTACAACTTAATTCCAGAAAAAAAAAGAGAAGAAGAGAAAATCGATGTTAGAATGGGAACACAAAAGCTGCTTTGAGAAGATGAATTGAACATAAATTATTCGAAGAAGCGAAGAAAAACGAAAAATTAAAGAATGGGACTCGAACTTAAACAAATATTTTTAATAAAATATTTTTCCAGATTTATCAGTCATTGAATTCCCAATTTTTCAATATATTAATCGAGAATTCTTTAAAAAAAGCAAAAATTCCCCGTTCATATAGATCAAAAAGAGCCATATTCTTATTTATAACTCAAAAAGACTGTTGAAAAAAATTCAAAAAAATAACTTCAGAACATTATTTTTCTGAAATTAGGGGTTGTTTACCTTTATTTTAATAGAAAAAAACGAGTTAATCAGAGAAAAAAAGAAAAAAACTCTGTCCATAAGGAAAAAAAGGACCATATTTATAAGTCAAAAAGAAGATAATTAAAAAAAGAAAAACTCCGAAGTATAAAAAAATTTTTTTAAGAAATCCAATGAACTCTTAGAAATATGAAAATAACTTCAGAAAAAGGCTATAAATAAAAAATCGACTTCTAAATTTTGAAAAGTCACAATAAAACTAGAAAAATTACCTTCAATAAGGAGTAATTGAACTTCACACTACAAACATTTTCAAAAAAAAGTTTTCAATAACTATATGTCGTACGATTCTGCGCCGAGTCCGCAAGCACGCCGCCTCAGACGTGTTCTCTACAACTTCTCCAAAAAAGGCAAGAAAAATGTTAAAACTCGTTTATTCCGTCAAAAAAGAAACCAGTCAAAACTAAATATACAAGAAAGGATACATATGGCAATATGTTAAAAAATTGGAGCAGAATTTAGACTTTTTCGAAGAGGATGGCGATTCCTTGGCCTCCTCCGATGCAGGCCGATCCGATTCCGTACTTGACATTGCGGCGGCTGAAATTATATATTAAAATTATACGTTTCATGACGCAATTTGAAAAAAATACAAGATTAATAATTGCTCAGAAGATTCCGGGAAATGTGAAAAACCGTTGGAGAGTGAGAAAGATAACTAAATTTTAGAGAGTCAGAGATAATTTTGAATTTCACGGAAGTTACTTTGAACAAGGCAATAATGCCATTCGTAGAAGTAAATTTTGAAAAAGATCATTCCGCAGGATTTTCGGGCAAAAGAGCTTTCAATCGATAAATTTAGAATTTTCAGGGTTTTTCTTGGGATTTTTCTGCTTTCATAAAGTTTCTGGTGTAGGTGAAAAACTTGAAAAAAATTGAAATTTTGGAAGAATTTTAGTCTTGACAAACTAACATACAGAAAAAAATTGAATAGCTTTAAAATATGCAGAGAAAAAAATTCTCAAAAAATTCAATATATTCATATGCAGCACAGCTTTCAATTTATCGAAATTGCCGACTTCTTTTAAAGTCCTAAGTCAAATTTTGAGCCATTTTCGGTTCAAACCAATCATTTTCCCAATTTCATCACTCACTGGAGCTCATGAACAATATGGGTGCTGATTCGGGCTCCAGAAGCGGCCAAGGGATGTCCGAGGGCGATAGCGCCTCCGTTCAGGTTCAGCTTCTCCATCGGGATTCCCAACTCGCGTTGAACCGCCAAAGCTTGTGGGGCAAAAGCCTCATTCACCTGAGAAAATTATTCAATTTTTTCGAAACTCTTTTCAATTAATTTTCCAGAGAGTTGAAGAAATCTCTTTATGCAAATTTTTTTCCTATTTTATTGAAGTTTTGAAACGGCAAACAGTTCTTCCGAATCGCTCATTCGACTTTTTTTCATCAACTTTTTATCAGCAAAAAAATTCAAGTTTTCGATGTTAAACAAATCAAATTTGGAGGTCAAGAAAAATTTAATTGAAACTCATAAAGTTCAGTTAAACTGTCAAGGCTGTAAATGTGAAAAATAATTAGGATTAAAAAAATTCAAATGAAAAACCCTTGTGATAATATTTTTTGGAAATTCTGATTTTCCACTTTTTTCTATACTCGTTGGAAACGATTTCACGAAATACGCGAAATCAGAATTTCGGGAGACGTTCGCGCGCAAAAGTCGTTTTCTCATTGTAAGACTCTAGTTTTTTATTGGATAACCATTTCTTTGATTTTGGCTCTTTTTTTCCTCTTTCAAATCCTTCAAAGATCTAAAAAGCACCTCAAAGATGTCGACATCGCTGATCTTGAGGTTGGCCTGCTGGAGGACCTGGCGGATGGCCGGCGCCGGCCCGATGCCCATGATGGTCGGGTCGCAACCTCAAAGAGGCATCTTTGTATATTTCCTTATTCTTGTCGGCTTACCAACGGCGGCATAGGCCACAACACGTGCCAGAGGCTTCAGTCCCTTCTGTTTGACGGCTTCTTCTCCGGCCACAACCAAGGCGGCCGCACCGTCAGAAATACCCTAACAAAATTATGAGGTTTAGAAAAGAAAAAAAAATTTTCGACCCATGATTTTTTATAAAACTTGAGAATCCAAAAAAAAAAACTGGTTTTTGAATAAATACAATTTTTTTTTGCTGTTTTTCTCTCAGTATTTAATCAAAGAGGATATTGGAATTTTAATATATTATTTTCTAAATGTTCAAAGTTAATTATCATGAAAGTTATTCATGTTATCAACGTCTAAATAGGATAAAAGGTCAAAAATAATTTCTCCGGTTGTAATTAGTTTTTTAGAAAATCGATAAAAGCTAACCGAGGCATTACCAGCATTGACCAAGCCTTCCTTCTGGAAGACCGGCTTCAGTTTGGCCAAACTTTCGGTTGTCGTCGGTCTCGGGTGCTCATCGATCTGAAATCGGCTAACTTCTTTTTTTTTTCTTTTTGAATCTGAAACAGGACTGCTGACAAGCCCCGAGGCGACCGAAACGTGCTCCGGGACACCCGCCCAGATTTACCCGGTTAGAAGATTTCTTCATAACTACTCAATGATATGAATAACATTATTATTCTTGCCCACCAATACACTTTTCTCGGCGGATTATTTTCCTCAAACTTATTTTCAACATATCTACTTAGCGGGCCCCGTCAGCAGCTTTGCTCTGAAAACTCCACCGACCGATTTTAAAACGCAATTTTCGATCTTATCCCTTACAAATAATCGTAATCTTCAGTCTGACCACCTTTTAGGGATTTGAAAAAGCTTTGGAAAGACTTTACTTTAAGAAGTGAAAGAGAATAAAACCTAGCTAATTTTAAAAAAATAAAATTGTCAAAAAAAGTATGAACCTGATTTTCAAAAAAACAAGCATTTCAGAACCCCCTCCCCGCAAATAATTACAATTAATCGAAATCTACAAACTGAACAAAAATTTAGGCCATTTGAAAAATCTTTGGGAGGATTTTTTTTTGAGAAGTGAAGAGAATAAAATCTAACGAACATGAGAAGAAAGACAATACAACTCTGAATTTCATAAAAAAAAACTACTACAAAAAATCAACTTATGACCTAAAAGTCAGCCGCCACTGATAAATTCCCTGACATATTGAAAAATCCATTTATAAAGCTTCTATATAAAAGTTGAATAAATTCAGTAGATTTTATGGTTTGAAAAAGAATCTCAGGATAACCCCTCCAAATTTAAAACATTTTATTTTTCTCATTCTCACCTCGAAGCTCTCCTCCCCCTTGCGTCCCTTGACAGTAATCGGAGCGATTTCGGATTTGAAGATTCCCGAATCTTGGGCCTTTTTCCACAAGGTTTGCGAGCGCAGAGCGAATTCGTCGGCTTCTTGTCGGGTGACCTGAAAATATAGAAATTTGGGAATTTTTCTTTCAAAAAAAACCTTGTATTGAGCTCCAAGCTTCTCGGCCGTCTGTCCCATGGCCAACTTGGCATAGGGATCCGACAACGAATCCCAAAGCATGTCTTCGAACTGAAAAAAAGTAATTAAAATTTATAAAAAAATTATTGTGAATTTTTCGAACTCGAGTTTTTTTATTCACCCTAATGAAATTTGAACTGATAAATACAAAAAAATATTGTGTTTCAAAGTAAATAGTGCAATTTTCAATTGATATTATATTCAAATATAATTCCGAAGTTTCAAAGATTAAAAAGATGAGAAAATGAAGCATTCTCTCCATTTTCACTGTTTTCGACTGGACTATGAAAGTTTAAAATTTCGATACGAATTTTCGGATTCGAAGCCCTTTCTCTTACTTAAAAATCGTGAAAAATTTGAGCTTGTACATCTATTTTATCTCCCAGTAAAAATAAGAAAAATTTTTCCGCAAGAACATTTTGTATTTTTTTGTCCCAAAAAGCTGTTACAAATCAAATATTTCTGATGGCATTTTTTTCTATAATTTCCGTCTTACTATTAAAAAAACCAATTTTAATGTCAAAAAAATATGATCAAGGTACAAAAAAATACTCGAAAAAAATTTCAGTTCAAAAAAAGATCCTTACTTCAAAAAAATATAACGTTTTTTTCATTTCAATGAATTTTTTTCAAGTTGAAAAAAATATTTTTTTTCGGTTCTAAGCCGGATATTTTTTTGACAGCATTCCAGTCATTTTCATTCCGCGCTCAACAAAAATACTTTTTCATGCCAAAAATATTTTAATGGTACAAAAACCCCCAAAAATCACCTCGTATTTCTGTCCCAAGGCGGTTCCAAACCGGATATTCCTGACGGCAAATGGGACCATCGACATGTTTTCTGTGCCTCCGGCCAGGACAATATTAGCCTCGCCGAGTTTGACGTACTAAAAAGGTATAGATAAATTCCAGTTTTTGGTTTCAGAAGGACCTGGGCGGCGTTGACGACGGCTTGGAAGCCAGAACCGCACAGTCTGTTGACGGTCAAGGCGCCGACGTTCTGGGGAACTCCGGCTTTGAGGCCGATGTGTCTCGTCAGATAGATTCCGTCGCGGGAGCTGGCGACAACGTTTCCTAAAAAAAATCACAAAATATCGAAAAAGGCTCTCAAACATGCTTTTTATTCAGGGATTCGGAAAATATTTTTAATTTCGTCATGAATCTTTCTTTTTTTCGATTTATTCCCAAAACGAACCGAAAATAACGTGATCGACATTGTCGGCCTTGACATTGGCATGGGCGAGAGCCGCTTGGGACGCGGAAACTCCCAACTCCGTCGCGCTGATATTCTTCAGCTTTCCGCCGAAGGTACCGAAAGCCGTCCGCTTGGCCCCGACGATGAAAACACCTACAGATATCCGAATAAAATCAAGGGATTTTTGATGAAATCACCTTTTCCAGCCATTTTATAGTATATAGATACAGAGAAGCCGGCTCTGATACCCTGAAATCAAGGAAATTTCGATATCAAAGCTACTTAGGCACGCCAGAGATGTCCGTATAGGGGTCAGGGGGAAAACAGCCCCTTTAGGGGACAAGAAGGGGCTCCCTATGAGGGCTTAAGGGTCTGATCCTTAACTCCCAAAGCTCAAGTGGTCCCTATAGTGACAAAATAACGGTCGCAGCAATTGAGATGTACAAGGTGAAAAAAATCAATGAATATCCGTGAAAAATTTTACCGTTCACTCATATAATAAAGTTCAAAGAAATGTTTTTTTAACTTTCAAAACTTTAATGAACATTTAATTTATTCACTAAGTTCTGAAAAATATTCCAGTAATCAGTAGGTTGATAAAAATAAGGCTTTCACACAAAATAACCTGAAGAAATTGCTTTTTTTCAAGCTTTCATTGCTATCACAAAAAAATCTTTTTCATTTTACCTCAGAATGCTTCATTTCACAGCTCGAATCTTCAAATAGTTTAAAAAAAGACAAAAAAATTGCGTCATGTGAAGAAAAGTTTCCAAAAGGTCAAGTCTTTTCGTATTCCCCTTTTGAACCGAAAAATGATAATTTATTGACTTTTAGCTTTCAAAACTTTCAAAGAAAACACAAATAGAAAATTTTACAATAAAAATTGACCGCACCATAGCAAAAATTACGCAATTTCCCTTCAAATTCACAAAAAAAAACTGCTCTAAAAGAAAGTTACTACGACTGAACTATATGACAAAGGACAAAAATGGCTCTGAAAGGAAAAAAAGGTACCGCCCGTATCAAGCCCGCACATGGCGAGGGGAAAAGATAACCAGAAAAAAGGGTCTTTCGGACTTTGGACCATGTTACAGCGTAGCCGGGGCCGCGACAACTTGCAATATTGGTCACCAACCTATTCATCAGATAAACGACAGAAAAAAATGGCAATCAATTGGAAACAAAACATTTATTATCGTTCGCAAAAACAAAAAAATCTTTCAAGGCATAAAAAACGAACAATGAAATTCCCAGTAAAAGATAAAAATGGGTTCTATTTAGTTTGCGAGGGAGCAAATATAGACAACAATAAATATCTTTTTTTCTCCGCTTGAATTAAGTTCTTTCCGGGAGATCGACAGCACTGATTGAAAGTTTAGCCTGAAAAAAGATTATTGGAATTTTCAAGTTTATATATAAGAGTTGAAAAAAATGAAGTGGTCCCGGTCCCTTAAAAGCTTTTTCGAGTGACGCATAGATAGTAACACACAATATCAAGATGTGAATAGAAAAAATTTCAAAGTTGGATTCATTTAATGATGGATTGAAATCTCAAGTGGCCACTTGAGTGAATTATTCCCAGCTCTTTCTAGGGGCATTACAGTTTATAACTTGCTGGTTCGAAAAATTATTCATAAACCAAAAAAAAAACAATATTTTTCTGTCATCAACATCTCAAGTGACCTCTAAAGTGATTAATCTCCCCCTTCACGATATTTTAAGTGGCCACTTAAGTGGACCCTCTTCTGCTACTTTTAGTGACCATTATTAATCATTTGCTGGCTTGAAACGATATTCAAGGATGGTAACAAGGACTCGGACAAAAAAGTAAAGTTTTTCAGAGCTACATTTCAAGTGGTCCCTAAAGTGATCTATCTCTCCCCGCGATAATTTCAAGTGGCCACTTAAGTCTTTCTCAATGCTGACCCATTTTCTGGATAAAAATATTTCTTATGAATCTTTGAAACAAAAATTTAGATATCATATAAATGTGATCATTTTCTCACATTTCAAGCCTCGAAAACCTACAGAAATTACTTTTTTCATTATAAAGTACTACGATAATCACCTTAACAGTACTACCGCTCTTCTTCTGACAGCTTTCATGGTCCTCGTAGCGCAAAACGTCGAACAACGGCTTTGGAATGTGCTTGGGGACGTCGGCTCCAAGTAGTTTGTTCTTCAGAACTTGTCTGAAAAAGTCAAATGAATCAGGAAATTCACACTATTCGAGTACCCAATCTTCATGTTCGTCTCGTCGTCGTTGCTGTCCTTGGTCCATACGCTGATTTTGCTGCCCTTGTTGCGGACGTTGCAGACGATGCCGCAGATGGAATCCATGGCGTCGCCGAACTGTTCGCCGATGAGCGCCATCAGAATCTCCAGCCATATGACGTCCATCAGCTCCGCCGGTCGTCCCTTTTCGATGGTGATTAGCCAACGACCGCCGCTCTGATTTTCTTTCACCTGGAAAAAATCGTGATTTTCATACAGGGGCACATAAAAAAAAACATGAAAGGAGGCAGGGAAGGGGCTAAACCACCTGAGATTTTGATTTGATTTCAATTTTGCCAACAATAGCTCCTGAGGTAAAAAATATTTTCAAGCCTAATTTATAGAGATTTTTAAACCACTTTTCCTTGACTAATTAAGTTTTTCATCTCAAGTAAAAATTTCAAACTAAAAATTACATTTATTAGTCTTTCCCACAACGTAACTCCGCTTGTTCCATTTTTTTCTACTTTGTACTCTAGGAAGGTGTTTCGAAGCAATCTGATCACGAAAGCCATTCTTATTTGAAAAACACGTGAAACCGGATATTTTGTTAATTATTATTCTAACTTTTCAAGGACGTTCTTTCCTAAACAATATCATTCACTTTAAAACCATGTTCAATAAAAAAAACCTCCGTAAAATGAGCAATTATTTCACAATCTACAAAAGAACAAGTTCTAAGTGAAAATTTTTTTTTTGGGTAATTATTGTGTTCCGGAAAAAAGACCTTATACTGAATTTGACCAAAATTCGGCTCAAAAACTTTGTTTTTGGCTGTCCTTTGGCAGTTCTTGAAGAGCAGAACGGTATTTACGGCGGCTTTTTTTTTCAGATGTGCTTTTGGAAAGGGACAGTTTCGCGCATAACACATTGTACTTAGTTTTCTAATTATCCTTCTGGGTCAAAATTTTTTTTTCGATGATTTCAGACCACCTTTGCCTTCAATATTTCTTCAATTATATTATATTCTCTACGAACCTCCCACATGGGCTGGATTCCGTCTCTGAAGACGTTGTAATCGCAGAGGGCGTTAAGACCACTTGGGGGACGTATGGCGTCGTACAGGGCCCAGAATTCTGGGACACTCGAAAACGTGTACACTTTCTTCAGACGGTCTTCCCAGTCCTTGGCGCGCTCATCATTCAGATACCTGGAAATGGTCGTTTTCTAGTAGTAAAGGTGGATAAAGTTTTGAAAAGAACGAAAATTCATTTGCAGCTTTGAAAAGCTTACTATGGACCTTCTGAAATCACATCACTATTAAGAAATTAATTAACTATTTTTTTGGAAGGTCATCTATTCAGAAAAAAACTAAAAACTGCACAAAATATCCAAAAAAGACACGCAGAACTACAAAAAACTACAGAAAAACTTCTCGTTTCCACGTTTTCACAAATAGTTCAATTTTTGAAAATTATTCGATTTCAATGAACAAATCAAGACAAAAAGGCACGGGTAAACTGGAAAAATATCAAATTTCAGGCCAAGTTAAGAAAAGAGTGAATCTCCAAAAAGAATGCCTAACTTCTCAAAAACTTACCACCAGGTCCAGTTTCTCTTCAATGGATAGAGAGCTCTTTGACTTTCGAGCAAATCCTTCTCATCCCTGTCACTGTCACCGCCGGCAGCCATGTTTTGTACTCTTGGCTGCAAATTATATACTCAAAAATCAAAATCAAATCAAAGGACAAACATAATGAAAAATAGTTATCGGCCAAGGACCGCATACCAACAACAAAAAAGAACTTGGCAAAAAAACCTTGTAAACTTTATAAACTCACATCACAGAGAAAGCGACTACTTCAGAAATACACGACCTTATACAATGATATTGACAAGGATAAAACCGAAAATGATATAAAAATAAGCGAAAAAAAAACGTGGAACTTTTTTTTTTTAGAAATGAGACCGCAAACAATTGAAGCAATGCCACGTGGAGGAAAAATATGTCATTTATTTCGAGAAAAAAGTGTGCAAGGAGTTCCAGATGACTCGAGAATAAGTGGGTGAAGGTTGTAATATACATCTTTCAACTGTACAGAGATCATATCGAGGAATATTAAATATCATATTCGTCGTCACGGGAAGGAGGTGCGGGGGCGGCAAACGTTCCATTGGCGGCCAGATCCATTCTGATTTGGGCTTGGGCCGCTTCTTGCTGTCGCGCCTGGAACAGAAAAGTTCAGTAATTAAGATTTCTAGATTCTTCTGGTTTCTGCGTTGATAGAAATAAATTCCTTCGTTCAATTTTCAAAGCTATGTCCTAGACTAATCTAACAAGAACTTTCAAACCAATCAGTTGCGGGTTCTTTGAGAAATATAATCTGCATGAGATCAAATAACCCAGGAGAATGATCTTCGTTTCAAGACCTTAAAATATTGCTTATGCTCCTTTAAATTAAAATTCAGCAAATATAACTTATACCTCAGTGACATTTTTTGTTTGATTTTTCTGCGTCAAACTTTTTTAATCAAGCAAAAAATGATTTTATTCGTGCTTTTCACAATTTTAAAAAGGAGAAAAACTCTGAACAATAAGCTGTTTTTTTCAATTCAAAATTGACCATTTTAGGACTCCAGGAAAGTTAATTGATTTTTTTAAAAATGAAAAAAATAACATTTTCGAAGTTTTTTTAAGTTGAAAAATATGCATTTTTCGGATTACCTGCTCAATGAGCTGCTGCTGCATTTGGTACAGCTGCTCTTCTGGAATCCCGCATTTCTCCAGTCGTGAGTTTTTTCTTTTCAACCGCTTCTCAGCAGCCACCTGAACTATTTCTCGAATTAGACCAGTTTTCGAAGGTTTTCGAAACCTTGCACTCGCCGAGGACGCTATCCGCCGCTTCGATGTAATCGGCGGGAAACTGGAGATTCGAGAGAGCTTTCTGGACGTGTTCGTGGTAGATGGTCTTTCTCTGGTCGTGTCCAGCTATTCTTTGCGATTCCCGGGCAATATGCTTCACGAATTCGACGCAGCACGCATTGAAGAGCTCGCGGCTTTCGTTTGCAATCCGCATTTCTGGCACGACTTCCTGAAACTAGAAAATTAGTTTCAAAAATTATTTGGAGCGTATTTTGGATGTCAAACACTCCTCACTAGTTTTTTTTTTAGGAGCAGAGGAAGGTTTTTTGGAAGAAAAAAATATTCTAACAAATAAGTTTCAATAATTACTTTACTGTAACTTTCAAGGGTTAAATATTATTTTAAGAATAAATTTACATTAGGATTTGCCTTCTACACTTTCATCTGCTCAAAATTACCTTTTCCTTACCTTTATAATCATGTTGATCCCCTTCTGCGGCAGTCCGACCTCATTGTCGTCCTCCATTCCAACCTACCTATTTCTGAGCATAATCCATAGGGAAAGAAAATCAACAATTCATGAAATAAATAAGAAACTGTGCTTTAAACACGGGAACAATCGAAAAACAAGCAGATCAATAAGTTAAAACGTTCATTATAGCAAATTCAACAAAATCAGATCAGATGGGAATTACGCGATTTTGGCCTGAGAAAAGTCCATCTCCGGGTGCTGGGCCATGAACCTGAATCAGGATTTTTCTTTGGTTCTTTCTTCCGAAGTCTTGGCTGAAATGGATTTGAAGGTGCCTAAGCCTTTCATGGTCTGAAAAAAAAAACCCTCGAAAGACCTCAATTTTTTTTTCCAAATCTAATATTTACACCTTCAAACTCTTCACCTATATCAAAAAATAGCAAACTTCTTCAGAATATCCTGCTTTTTCTTCTCCTCGCTGGTGGGCAGTCCAAGTTCCTTCTGCCGTTGATCGTACATCATCTTCTCCACCATCGCCCTCGTTTCCCCATCCAAATCGCTCAATTTCGAATTTTCCGGCTGTACTTTCTTGGTATCGATGGGATCATCGGTTTCCAGAAGCTTTGACCACCATTCCATATTATTACTCTGAAAAATAAATACACTGATTTATTTTGGATTTCTAAAAACCTTCTCGAAAGTGATGACGATGGCTTTTCCATTTTCAATCACCCAGTTGCAATTTTCGACTTTAACCTGAAATTTCTAGAGTATTCGCGAGAAAAATCAATTAAAATACAGGGGCATGAAGTTTTCCATCGACGATTGGAGGTTGTCCTTTCAGGCCGACAGTGAGACGAGTTTTTTCGATTTTGACAACGACATCCCTGCCTTTCAAGCTGAATCCGACAATCACAGGAATACGAGCCTTGAATTGAATAATTGATACCCATTATTATTTAACTATTACCTCAACTTCCTCCAAAGTTTGGGTCCACTGATAATTTTTGCAATCAGCTCCATTTCCAGCATTTGGCTTGATCAAATTGCTATCTTCGTCGGATTCCATCGGCTTGTCATCCGAAGAGCTCGATTGTGCGTTTCCAGAAGCTTCTCTGAAAAAAATGAGAATATTTTGAAGAATTGAAAATCTAAGAATTACTTCAATTTTTGCTCCTTTTCAAACTCTGCAGCTTCTTCGTCGGTGATTTCAACGATGTTGGAAGTGGATTTTTGCGCCTCCAAATAAAATATTTTAAGAAATACATGTTTGAAATAAATACATTTTCACGGAGTTCAGCTTCTTCCTTCGCTTTTTGGGCAGCCCGACGCTCAGCCAACTTTTTCTCTTGCTCCTCTTTTTTCCGGCGGTTTTCTTCGGCTTGCTAAAAGTCCAATAAAAAAAAATAGAGCACAAAGTTCAAGTTACCTTCACAGCATCTGCACTATGCTTGTCAAAATACTTAAGAACCAGAGATTTGGCTTCTTCAATTCCAGCGCCGTTATAGAAATCTGTCTTTCTAAAAAAAGAAGAATTTTGAATTTCTTATATAACTAAGTTAAACCTTGACAAGAAACCGAAAAGCACATCAAAAAGTTGTGGAACGCCACCGGGCAATTGCTGCGCCAAGGAAAACAGAACAGCGTCGAACTTTTCTGTATCCGACATCTGCAATTTTCAGCTTTGAAAATCAAGAGAAAAAATATGAGAAAGTTTGAAGATAAATTCATATAGTCGGTTTAAAAAGATATTATTGAAAAAGGCTCCTCACCTCAAAACCTTTTTTTCCCAAAAAGATTTTTTGAGCACCAAAGAAAGGAATTTCTTGCAAACTAAACGAAAACAGGCAAATTGAAAAAAAAAATTTTGAAAAATGTCTCTGCTGATTCTCCGTTTTGGACGTCAAAGGGAAAATTTGAAACAAAACAGCCTTTCAAGAAGAATGCCAACGAGGCAAAACCCATGCTCAAAGTAACTTCCGCGAAGTGCAATATTTTTTCTGACTCTCCAGAATTCAGTTATCTTTTTTTCCTATTTAATGGCAATATTGGATTTTGCGGAATCACTTTGAACACGGAATAAAATTAAATTATTGAGGACGTGAAAAGAAAAAGGCATTTAAAACGCCGTTTTCAAGACATCAGGACTAGTAATCCTGGTTATTTAACTGAATACACATATGACAATATATTATCGTCAATTTCGAAAAGAAAAATGTAAAGTGAGCAATTTTGCATTACCAAAACAAGTTTGGCGTCAACGCCCACCTAAAATTTTTAAAAAACGTTCACCTGAAGGACGCCACGCTCCTAACGCGTGGCGTATATTTTGAACCGCCTCGTTTTCGCGCCTTGATCGGCCTTTTCGACTTTTCCAGAGTTTTGGAAATTTGTTATCTTTTATTGAAGTGATGAATGAGACTAAAGACCTGCTCAATTCACAGATAACGGAAATTATTTTTTAGATTTCTTTGTTTGAAGATTTCTTCTTGTTCTAGTTCTGATTTTGATTTTATTCAACAAAAAGCAAAAGAAGCAGCGTATTTCTCGAAACCACACAAGGAAAGGTCGTGAGCCGGGCAGCAATGTTCTCCATCGCATTTCGTCTTGACAAAAACGCGACGACCCTCACAATCGAGACTGGAAAAAAGTTGCAGACATCCTGAAATACAACATGAAACTGTAGATTTGAAAGAAAAATTCACCAGGGAAGGGTTTATGCTCGATGATTTGCACTGAGCGAGTTCTGTACATGAAATCGGAAAGGTCGTGGCAGAAAAAGTCGGGAAAGCTGAACATTTTGCTTTTTTTCTATATGAAAAATTCAGAAATGTATGAGAGAATCATCAACTGACAACGGAAAATTTCTCGTGTTGAAACGCACATTACTGTTGTTGAATGAAAATTTATTTCTTTAGTAACCACCTATAATCAATGAAAAAACGTTTGTTGTAAGTGTTTTATTATAATATTCAAAATGTTAGCAAAAGCTTGAGATTCCAATCCTTACCAATGTTCTAAAGCACATGAAATTTCACAAAAACACTGTTTGTTTCCAAAAAAAGGCTAGTCTATTCTGTTCATTACAGAGATTTTTCAATTAAAAAGTTGAAAATAAGAGTTTCGAATCGGAGGAAAAAAAGCACCTTCCACTATAATCCGTAACTGGGGGAAAAAATCCTGGAATAGGACGCAGAGAAACATAATCTGTTCACATTTTGAATTCCAAGCAATCCCTCAAGTTCCGCCCCTCCAGAGAGCATTTTCGTATGACATCTATGGCTCTCAAAATCTGAACAGACTACACTCAGAAACGCCACAGTGCCCTTGAAGCTTCCCCTCTAGGGACCACTTGACCTCCTTCTAGAGGGGACAATATAGCTGGCAAAAGTGGCCTTTATAGGGGTCTTAGTTAGTGACCATTCTAGGGGAGCTTGCTGGTCGATTACTGTCATGAACTTTTTCATGTTAATGCTTCTGCCCATGAACTCTATGGGCAGAAGCATTTTCATGACAAAAATCAATAAATTAACGTAATTTAATAAAAATATCAACAAAGGATTAATCGAAAAAGTTTTATTAAATACGTATTTTTAATTTTTAAATCATAACAAATGTTTGAAGAGCCCTATAGAGACCACTTAAAAAAAAACACACACACTGGGACCACCCAAGTTTACCCTTATCAGAAACATTTATTTGTCTCCATGTAGGAGGTGTTTTCCCCCTAACCCCTATAGTGATCACTCTGACGTTCCTAACAAGCTTTTGTGACGAAAAGAACTTTGTTGACAACAGAAAAAATTGAAAATTGAAAGAAACAAAAAAAAAGGGAAAATCCGGAAGATGGCGAGGCGTGTTGTCCATAGAGCAACTTTACTGCAAAGCGCCCTTTTCGCGGGAACTCAAGCTTTCTTTTCTCCGACTTTGAATTATTTTTTCTACAAAACTAGGAACTTTTCGAGTTCACCTTTCGATTCGCAATGAAAAGCTCTACAAAGTACTGCTGTGAACTGGAACACCGTTTTTGGCTGCCACTATGCCTTTAAACTTGCGACGACTGGAGTATACCAAATAAACGTGCTCAAGATAAGGTACCTCTGACGAGACTGAACGCCGACGAAGGACTTCTCGGCGAAGAAGACGACCTCGCCAGCCAAGGCGACGCCGGCCAAAGCCGTCAGAATTGTCCAGCGCATCGTCGGTTCCTCTGTGTTCAAGAATGCTTTGGTTTCCTCCGTTGGCAGCAAAGTTTTCAGGTGGACGGAAAGGCGGCAGGCGGCCCGATCAGAAACTTGTTTCCTTCACGAAAAAAATCTCTGCCAGCCGTTTTTTTTTGTTATCATTGCACTTTCTGTTTTGGAAAGAGTGTGGGGAAGGCGTTTTATTTTTCTTTATTTTTGTTCCTGTTGGATGGGGCGGTTTGATCAATCGGTTAGTTCTCGGGAAGACGAGGAAGAGACGTCCGAGGTAACCTCCGAGTCGCTGAAATCAGTTTTACTTTTGGATCGAAAGGTAGAAAATGAGAAATTAAGTTTTTTTGTCGCTATCTTGATGGATAAAATCTTAAAGTTCACTCAAAATCCTTTCTGAAGTGTTTCTATAGCTCAGAAGTCACTATAAATCTCTAAAATGACCTAAAATCTCATCTCTTAAACAGGCTTGTGCGTCAGGCCGGGCGGCCCGGCCCGGGCCGGCCTGGCCCGGGCTTTGGGCTTCATTTTTCAGAAAAAAAGCCCGCGTGGTTTCGGGCCGGGCTTCAAAAAAAATTTAAAATTTCATTAAAAAAATTTCACCGAAATGTGACTTTCACTTCGGAAATCATCGTTTTTATTAAACTTTAGGTTTAAAAAAATGAGCAAAAAAACGTAATTTTTTTGTCGTAAAAAAACTTGATTTCCGACTAGAAAAAAATTGCGCACTTCGGGCCGGGCGGGCTTTTTCTTGAGGCCCTAATAAGGCCGGGCCGGGCCGGGCTTACGAAATGGTCGGGAGGCCGGGAGGGCGACGGGCCGGCCCTCGCACAAGCCTGCTCTTAAATAGGCAGAAAAATAAAAACTTTGAATTAGTCTATTTATCGCGGCTTGAAAGGGACTTCTCTGCGTCCTCCTCGTCTCTCGGCGATCCTCTCATCTTGACGTGCTATTTTCATGTTTCTCTGACCTCGCCGATGAGAGAACAAAGAAACGCAGACACGCAGACAAACCTGTCAAGTCGCCGTGGTCAGACTATAAATGAAATGAAAAAAATTGGACTTTACTCAAAAAAAGATCAAAAAAAAAGTTCAGATGGAAATAGAAAAATAATCCAAGTCCTAACTAAAAGACCGATTTGAAATCCGTTACTGAAACTTCCACAGGCAAAAATTAAAAACGTAAAATGCAGAAAATTCGAAAAATTATTCAGAACAGTCATTTTTTCATTGAAAACGTAGAGCCCATTAAAAGACATCGAGTAAAAATTACGTTTATAAAACCGTCGGAACAGAAAAATAGCGTAACTTTGTTAACATGAAAAAAATTCGTTTTTTTACCTCTGGCTGAACTTTTTTTTTTAGTGAATAAACCCGAAATGTGCTCCGAATTCAAGTTTTCACTTCTGGAGTGACTACTTGACGAGTCTTTAACAGGTTTTCACCGATTTACATTTTTTGGCTTTTTTACAGTGCTATTTTTTAGAATAAACTCAGATATTTCTCATTTTCGCACTTTTTCTCTTCGGTTTAAATGAAGTATAGTACGTTCACCACGACTTGAAACTTTCTGCCTGTCTGCGTCTTTTTGTTCTCTCGCCGGCGAGGTCAGAGAAACGTGAAAATAGCATGTTAATATGAGAGGGTCGCCGAGAGACGAGGAAGGCACAGAGAAGTCCCGAAAAACGGACATTTCAGCTTGATTTTTGAATCTGAAACAAGAAAATACCTTGAAGAACCCTCCACGTCTTCTTCTCCTTCAGAACTTCCAGAACTCGAGGTTCTGCTGCTCCTTTCCGCCGTCGAAGTCGTTGCAGAACTTCTTGTCTTTCGATTCCTCATCACTTCATCGATTTTTTTGGCGATTCTGATCCTCTTCTCAAGGTTCTTCAAGACTTCCATTCTCTCGGCAATCAAGGCGTCAAGATCTCTCAATTTTGAAAGTCTTGGAACGACATTGAAGCCGATTTCCGAGGCTTTTGCCATGGAAGGACCCGGGTCTTCCACGATTTCTTCTTCTTCTTGATCTTCTTGATCTTCTTGTTCTACTGGAATTCTTGGCACGGGTTCAGTGTTCTGCTGATTTTGAGATCCAGAAGGCTGGGAAGTTTGAGATCGGAGTTTTTGAAGGAAATGATTGGTCAGCATTTCTTCGACTTCATCCATATTCATGACGGTTTCAGTGGTATTAACGGCTCGAGATACAGTTTCCGTGGCGTTTGTCTAGAAAAAATGAAATTGAATTATTTTTTCATCAAAGTAACGTTATGGGAGCACTAAACTCTGTGAAAAAGGCTTCAAGTTTTGAAAAATTGAAGTTTAAAATATATTTTTCAAGAAAAAAAGTTTCTAGTCTCCCAGTTTATTAGCTCAGGAACGCCAGAGTGGTCACTAAAGGGGCGACCTTAGAGCTCTTGTGGTTCCCCCCTAAAAGGACCACCTTAAATTTTTCTATAAGGGACATTAAAGCTTGCAAAAGGGGCCACTAAAGGGGTGACCGTGAGTGCCCACTCTAGGGGAGCATTCTAGTGATACCTACACGTCTTTTGAACTTTTAAATAAGAACGAAAAATCAAAAAAACTACTATAGGGGTTACTTAAGCTTTAGGGACTCAAAAACCTAATATTTTATAGGAACGACCTACGTTTTACCTTCTAGGAAACGCTATATTGTCCCTCAAATGCTTTTTCTTTTTACCCCTATAGTGACCACTCTGCGGTACCTAAGCTATTATATAAAAACCGGCCGAAAATTGACAAAAATTTCAGTTTTTCATTTTAACTATGAAAATTGTTTGGCTTCTAAAATAAAGAAAATTTACGTTTCGAGTTATAACAGTTCCTTGAAACATGAAACTGTCTTCAAAAAAAGGCTTTAGAAAAGTCAGAAACTCAACTATGCGCCAATATTTTAGTTTTTCGAATTATTATATTTTTTAATATTTTTAACTCACTTGATATATTTCTTTTTCCCATAAAAAATCCTCCTAACCTCAGTCATTTGATGCATTAAAAGCGGCCCAGCGGGAGTTTGGGTCGCAAAAATCCTTACAAGGAGCTCTGGGAAGCTTTTCCGTAACGACAACCGTACACTGGACGTTCAGGACATTTTCCTGCAATTTATAAATGATTTTACAGTTTCTCGATGCTTTCGAATTAAAATTCACGATAATAGCCCATCGTGAAAAAACGGGAGTAAATTTAATTAATAGAAATTTATATCCTTCAAGATAATTTTTTGAAGTTAACCGTTGAGAATTCAATGCAAATATTCAAAAAGTGCCGATTTTTCGAAATTTTATTATATCATCACTTTTCACGACATCCAAATTCACTCCATCTAATCGAAAAAAAATAACTTTTTTTCTAAAAAATTTTTTTTTTGAAAAAAAGTTATTTTATTTTTCCATTTCCATCTAACGATAGATTCATCAACCTATCGTTAGATGGAAATAGAGAATATCTAGAACCTCACAAAAAGAATTGAAATTACGAAACAGGAAAAATGATGAATTATATGAAATGTTCCTGTTAAGATCACTGTTTCGTTCAATCAATAAAAAAATCTTTTTCAAATAAGATATAAATTTCAATTTTGCTTATGAACGTCAGAGTGATCCCTATAGGGATTAGGCTGGAAAACGGACCCTATAGGGGACAAAAAGCGCTTTCTGTAGGCGCCACTTTTGAAAGCTTTAGTGGCCCCTATATGGTAACTAGAGCGGTCCCCAGAGGGGAATCTTCAAGGATCTCTAAGGTTGCCCCTATAGCGAGCACTTTGGCTTTCTTAAGCTACTAATAAAGACGCAGAGAAATTATTCTTTTGATTTTTAATTTTTAATCTTTTTAAACCTCGCATATATGTAGGGGGCGCAAAGCCCCGCCCCTTCACGCCACCAAAATGACGATTTTTTTGTTGCAAAAACGGTTTTGAGGCGTTTATACTAGCTAAAGTCCCACTTTAAAAATGAACTGCTTCTGTTAATCTATGTAATCGACAACGCTCTACAAGACTGAATATTTTAAAAACTATGTTTTTTTCAAAAATAAGCGAAAAAGTAAGATTTAACACGAAAAAAACTGACAAGTTTCACAAAATCGTCGCGTTTCAGAAAAACCAAGTGAGGAACGCTTCTAAATTTTAAGTATGTTATACATTAACACTTTCTTTATTTTTTTGAGTGAAAATAAAAAAATCTACCGACGCGAAAAAAATATTAAAAGCTTGTAAAGTGACACCAAACTTTGAAGCTGAAATGCGAAAAAAATTTCAGCGACATGGTATACTTCTTTATTTGATTTTAAAAACTAACAGTGTGTCCAAAAAAATAAAAAAATTCAGAAATGAAAAATAATTATTGGGACAGCGAATTAAATTATATTTGAGTTTTACCAAAACCTCCTTTTTTCGTCTGCCTCGTTGACGCATGAGAGAATAGGATCGCGTCTATATTTTTGATTATGTTATTAAGCGTTCAAAATTCTATCAATGAAAAAATTATGAAAAAAATCGATCGACGCGAAAAAAATAACGGCTTTGAAAACCTCGAAAAAATGGCAATTTTTTTTGAAATTTCGGAAGATTTTGTGCAAGTGTCCGTAGCAGTGTTTGCGTCAAACACACCGATGCGTCCTTTTTAAATGTCGCAGGAGCCGTTTTTTTCGGAGTCAAATGGCACTTTTTTTCCTGTTTTATTTCGAAATAACATTATTTTTTTCATTTTTTTTCTTTTTTTCCAAATCGAATGATAATAATTTTTTTCTGAGTAGAAAAAAAGAAAAAAATAAGCTGAAAAAAATCCCTTTGACCTTTTTTTCTAGGTAGTTTTTTTGATATTTTATCAAAAATTCTTATGAGGATTGTACAAAAGATTCATACCAAAACATGAGGCTCAGTTCGGACAACCTCTCAGAACAGAAAACCGATTTAAAAACGGTCCAGAAACGCGCAAAAACATTTAAAAAGAAAGCGTGCGGCAGCGGGTAAACCGTGAGATTTTGCCTCCAGTTGTACGCCGCGCGCGCTCGTTTTTTGGCCATAACTTTTTTCTTAGTGGAGCTTTTTTCAAACACTAAACGGATTATGAAAATGGACAGTCTCCTCTATCGAACAATGTGAAAAACATATTTTTTGAATCGTTCTGAAGAAATGGCTTGCGGTCCCTACATATATGGATGCAATTGGAGATTTTTTTCGAAAAAGCCGCGTGAAAGTATTCGATTTGAAACAGAGAACATTTGGAATCTTTTTCTTTTTTTCCTGATTTTTTCTTTATACTCAAACCTAATTTACAACGTTTTATAGAAAAAAATGTTTTCAACACAAAAAAAGGTTTGAAAGTTTAAATATCGTAAATTTTAACTAAATAATCAAATCATAATTGTTTTATTATAAACTAGGACCTAGGAAAATGGACATGCCGGAAAGTTTGGTAAAGGGGGCATTTTTTTGACATTTTCAAAGTTTTTCAGTTTAAATTCAGTTAAGTTTCCAAAATATGCAGAATTCTCAAATGGGGTTAGTTGAAACTTTCCGAAAAAATCAAATTTTGGCGGCCAAAAATGGGATTTTTTTTTTGAATGAATTTTGGATCAATTCTATTTTATTTGACTTGAAATTCAAATATATTGTGCGAAAAAAATACTTTTTAATATAATTTGAAAGCATTCTTTGAGAGCAAAGAAAAAAATTGAGAAAAAAAGAGAATTTTTCTAAATTTATTCAACGGATTTTTGAAAAATCGGACTGAAACTTTTCATATTATGAAGAAATTTGTACTTTATAAAACCCTGATGTAGTCCAAAATCCTTGAAAAAAACTCAAGAACTCGGAAAATAGTCATTAAAAACCGACCGACTTTTCAAAAACGCAAGAGAGGATAATTCCAAAATGAAGATACAGTTTGGGAAAATTAAAATGAGAAACTGTAAAGTGAAATAAAAAGTGAATTAATTCCATTTCAAATTTCTTTTTTTATTTTTTTGAAGTTAAAAAAATCAGGACCTTAACCGTGGTACTGTAGAGTTGAGTCCAGCCGCGCGCCTTCTGATAATCGTCCAGAAAAAGTCTTCCTTCGAACTTTTCCTTCTCCGTCGCGATTCTAACGTCGAATTTTTTCTCCGCAGACCAAATCACCGTGTCCAAAAGCAGCGGGAATTGAATTCCGACGGGTAAATCTTTAAAAAATCGCCATTTTTCTCAGAATTTCTCTTGAAAAGTTGCCTTTAGAAGTGTGGTTTCCAACGGGAACCCATTGGAAGTCGAGAATTCGGACATGAACTGAAAACCAGGCTGAAACTGGAAAATCCACAGCTTCAAGGATGAATTGAGCGTCGTGGAGAAGCACGTTTTGCATGGAGAATCTGGAAAAATGGCAATAAATATTTTTTTTGAAGAAATAAAAAAGCTTGGAAGATGATACCGGAGGCAAGACAGTAAGAAAATGCAGTCTGGAAGTTTGAAAGGTGGCAAAAATTTCTAGTGGTCACTTTAGGGGTTTGAAGTTCTAGTGGCGACTATAGTAGTCGAATCGGTGGCTAAAATTTAGTGTCATCTTTAGAAATCTGAGTGGTACTACGAGGCCACAAAAACTATTATAGTGACCAAGTGTTTTCTCCAAGTTCCTCGAGGAATCGCTTAAGGGGCCACTTGAGATTTTTCCAGGAGCTTAATCCGCGACCATTTGAAATTCTAATTATAAAGAGCGCGAAAAATATTGATTTAAGTCAAAAATAAAACTCATTTATTTCTGATAATGGCACTGAAAGCTTATCGAAAACTGAGCAAAAAAACTTTTTCAATTTTTTTCAAAATTATTCTATAATTAAAAAGATTTTTTTGTTCGTATTTCTTGGGAGAATTTCAAAAAAACTGTTACTCTGAATGAAAAGTTCAAAAAAATCAATTTAATAAAATATTTTATTAAATTCATTTGAGGACCGAAAAAGTTCTACAACTAATTTTTTTCTCGCTGGAAATAATAAATAGACCCGATAACTTCACAATGGATTTTTAGTGGCCACTTAAGGATTTGGAGGTTTTAGTGGTCACTTAAGTGGTTAAAACTCAGAGACATCTATAGAAATCATACATGTATTACAACTAGATCACTTTAGGGGTTCTATTTTTTTTACTGGCCGCTTAAGTGTCTTCTTCAATTAGTTCTAGAGGAACCTCTAAGGTGAACACTAAACAATTTCCCAGTAAGGTTTAAAGAACACTTCTAAAATCTTTTCAATCCAACTCATGGTGAGAAAAACTTCAAAAGGCTTCAAAACGACCCTAAAACAAAAAAAACCGATCCTTTCAAAAATTTTAGGTTCTAAAACGAAAAAATACCTTAAAATAAAATAGACTTTCATTTAGACTACTTATAATATTCGAGCTTCTCCCCTCCATTGCTCATGTTACCATGGAAACCCGTCCCTTGCCGTGGGGCGCATTTCCTCCGAGTTACGGTAGCTCTTCAGGACTTAAACTGGAACCAGTTGGCTAATCGGATTGAAAGTCGCCGATTTCGGAGACAAAACGAATATATTTTAAAATTTTTATACGGGCGCGTGGTCGATCGTTAAAAACATCGGCCGTTTTGTTATCTTTTTTTCGTCCAATTCTTTTTCCATTTCCTTTTTCGGCGGCCGCTTTGAGGAGAGAAATGAGTTATGTTTGGCTTGAGCTTAAAAATTTTTTTATAAACAAAAAAATTTGGTTTTTTTGAGGGGGGGAAGAATAAACAGCCGCCGCTTCTTATCTTTTCTTTTTTTTGTTCAGTTTCTCACTCGACTCGGTTGTTTTTATCGATGGAATCATGTTCTTTTGAACAATTTCGTTCCATTTCGTTCTCTTTTTCAAGAAAAAAAGAAAATCTTCCGTTTCTCGAATAAACTTCAAACTTTGACCATATTTTTATAACGTTTCTTTTCCATTCCCATAAAAAAAGTTAGTTCTTATCACTCTTTTCTCACTTTTATCAGTCAATTTTCGTCGTTTGATCAATAAAGTGTTCAGTTTTATTGTCCCGCCTGGCAGTTTCCCAAAAAAGATGACCCGTTTCTCGATTTCAATCTAATTTTTAAGAAAAATTCAACGGTTTGAAAGTTTTGAAACACTCTGAATATCCAAAATGTTGCGAACCGGAAAAATTCTTTCAAAATAGCCCAATTTTCGAGGAGAAAAATCAAAATTGGACCCATTTTTTTCCTTCAAACTAGTCTATTTTTCTGACCCAATTTTTTTCAATTTTTTTATTCTTCATTGTGTTTTTGTTATATTTTGAAATTTTTTTCTATATGAAAAAAATATTTTTTTTCAAGAAGAAAAAAACTGAAAAAAATCAAGAAAAAAAGGTCAAAATCATAAAAAAATTAGAGAATATATCCAAATTTTACTCCTTTTTTTATATTTCAATTGATCGAATTTTCAATTTTTTTCCATTTCTCGGTACGGTTTTTTTGACTTTTTGTTCTGTAAATGCTTCGAAAAAAATGTGCTTTTGGGAAAAAAATAAAAACTGGATTTTTTTCTTGAAAAAAACATTGAAAAATCTCTATTTTTCCTATTTTTTTCCAATTTAAAAAAATTCTTCCTTTCCTTTTAAATTGAAAAAAATTTATGAAATCGTCAAAAAATCCTCGTGAAAAAAATCTACCTGTCATTTTTATTACCAATAAAAATAAACACTCTTATCAGTGTATTTCTGACGACGGGAAAAAGGCTTCCTACCTATTTTTTTCCTCTCATTTTCATTCCCAAAAAAATTTCCATTTATTTATGAATATATTTTTTTTATTCGAGTAATTAACTCGATAAATTTGTTAAAGGAACAGAAAAATAGGGCGAGCCATCAAGAAAAACACTTTTCGCGTCAAGATTTATTGAAAAAAATGCTCCTGCTCCTTTAAATCAGCTATTTTTTTTCATTCTGTTCATTTTTTTATTGATTTTATATGTCTTTATGAACTTTTTCGATTAAAAAAATAGAATTTTATTGCGAAAAATAGTCAATTTTGATGAAAAAAAGAGATTTTTTTAAATTCTCCTTTTTAGGTATCAAATTTTCTAACCAAACTAGTTTCATATTTTCGAATTACACTATTTTCTTCTGACTATTAAATTTCCTCATCAAATCATCTCATAAGTGAAAAAAATATTAGTAAAAACGATTTTTGTCAAATTTTTAAAAACTTATCTTTTTAATTTTATTTTTTTTGATTAACAAAAAAATAGTTTTACCCTTAAAAATTTGGCTTATTTTTTTCTGTCAATCATCTAGTTCATTATAGTCAATTTCGCCATGAAAAAAACTGAAATTTCAAAAAAATGATTGTAATTTTTTTCAAATGCAATTTTTTTGAAGATGGAACCGAAAAATTTACAAAATTACATTTATATTAGATTTTTTTATAACAGTAATATCGTCTCGTTCAGCCATAAACCGTATCTTAGAAATCAATTTTTTTGATGTACAAAATTTAAAGGTTCATAGACAAGTTTCAAAAAATGTTTCGAGACGAAAGACCATTTTCATTGATAATCGTATGGAGCAAGTTTTTTACACTTAAAATTTAGAGGTAACGGAAAAATATTCTGGAAATTTACTTAAAAAAGTTTTCTGTTTCAAAGCAAATATAAAAATTAAAAAAAAGTTTTTTTTTAATGATTCGGTGTTGAAAGATAACAAAGTAGTGGGGTTAGTAGTGGCTGAAACGAGAGCTACTATAGTGGCCACTAAGACGCAAATTAGTGGCTCCTATAAAGATGCGCTTACTGGGGAAAATTTTAGCGGGCTCTATAGGGTTTTGACGTTTTAGTGGCCACTACCGTAGTCAAATTAGTGAGCACTTAAGGGGTTAAAAATTAGTAGCCACTATAGAGGTCTAAGTGCTACTACTAGACCACTAAAGTTTTAAGTGGCCACTTTAGGGGTCAATGGATCAACATAACTGGTAAAATCTGTTTGTTTTGAAATTATCAGAGTTACTGGAAGGAATACTGGATGAAAAACTACTGAAGTGGCCACTAAATAGAGAATCTCTTAAGTGACCACTAGAGTTTCTCCCAGTAATTCACAGTCCAATTCGTCCAAACCAGTCACTTTCTCTCGAATTCTCTCATTTTGATCTCAAAATTCTCTCTCGAAAAGCAGAAAAAAGAGAAAAAAAAAACGGAACATCAGTCTCTTGTGTGGGTATGTGTAAGACGGATTCTGGGTCCATCCATCATTCCAGACAGACCCATCGATTCGATATTTTTTTGCCCCCATCATAACTGACTTTTTTTTCCGGCTTTTTGACATAACTTTTTTGAAAAAAATATTTTTTTGACGACGGGGAAAAAAATTTGAGAGCCTTTTTGTCTTTTTTTCCTTTTTTTCTGTTATCAATAAGGAAAAAAATGTTCGAAAAAAATCACGGGAAACTTCATTTTTTTCTTGTCTTCGTGTCATGATCTTAAATTCACAATTCGAACAAAAATTTGATTTTTAATTTTTAGCATTCCAACGAAAGTTTCAACATTTTTTTAAGATAGTTAAAAAAATCATTAACTGTTTTCCAGATGGAAAGAAAAAAATAAAAAAATCGATCTGAACTTTTTTTCCGGAAAAATCTATTTATATATTTTACTTCAACAACTGCGTTGTCTAGCAAAATATAACATTATATACAAATACTACGAAACGATCACGTTGCTAGTTTAAAGTCTCATTGAAGGGAGCTTCTGACTTTACTGACTCGGTATCGAACACTGAGTTTATGTAGGATTCCTCTTCTATCTCCTTACGGTAGAATTTTTCGAAGGTAGAACCTCTTTTACTCCAGTTCGCTGCCTCCAATATTTTATTGGCGGACAACCCGTTTGCACTAGCCTTTGACGTGGACGCGGCCCTGGTGGAGTGAGCTCCAAACCCAGAGATACCCGCTGCCTCAATAAGCGTACGTAGCCATCTTGCCATGGTTGGTCCCGACACCGGTCCATGGGGGTATACATACGAAAGAAAGAGTTCTTTCCTGTGGCTTCTATACATTATAGTACTCTTAATGTACGCTTCAAGAGTGATCACCGGACACAACAACTCGTCTTCCTGGAGTCTTTCCAGGACCGCTGAGTGTGCTTTCCCCATACCCCTATTCCGTGTAAAATCTTCATTCCGTGTAAAATCTTCATTCCGTGTAAAATCTTCACTCGAAGTGGTAGCTCTCATTCTGAGGCTTCCACACAGAGCACGGTCTCCGGGCTTCAGCTACACCATCCACTACACCCTGAGCTCGTCAAGGCGCAACTGGATAGACTACGCGCAGAAGAACGATGCGAAGGACCGTAAGACCATGCTTTCAACTCTTTCGACTACACGTTTGGACTTCTAGTTCGCCAAAGGCGGTTGTTCGTTATAGCTTTTAAAGTTCTTGTTGACCGCCTAGTCGATTACATCGGACTAAAACAACAAAATAAATGATTTGATTTGATATAAAAGTGAATACGAAAAAAAATTTTTTTTTCATTTTGTCCTCTCTTTTCGTGTCATAATCTTCACTAAAAAAATTAACAATATTTTATTTTTGAAATTTTTAGCATTTGATCAAAAATTTCACGGATTAAAAAAATTTTTTTAGAATTTTTTTAAACAGTTTACTTGTTGAAAATAAAACTTCAAAAAAATGAGAAAAAAACAAAAAAATTTATTTTTTTCTACATGGTTTTTTTGAGAAAAAAATAGAAAGGATTTTTTTCTTTTTTTCACGCTTTATTTAGTTATCAATAAAATAGAAAAGTTCAAAAAATCATAAAAAACCTCATTTTTTCATTTTCTTCTTGCCATGGTCTTCACTAAAAAATTCAGAAAATCTATTTTTTTATTCTCTTCCTGAAACTTGTATCTGCGTTTTCCATCTTTTATTTTTCTAATAAATTTTGCTTATACCTTTAAAAAAAGGTCTTTGAACAACATTTTTTGTTGGAGTCGATTATATGACAAATGACGCAATTTTCCGTATTTTCAGGCCTTTCGAGGGCTCCGGAAGGCCCTGACCATGTGGTTCGACATCAACCGATTCCACTTGCTCGTCCTTTTCACCTGGCAATTTTCCATTTTTTTCGCCTCCCAACAAATTTTCCCCATCTTCTCCAATTATGTACCTCAGTGGCAGTGTGGTGAGTTTTTTTTTCAGGTTATTAGGTTTCTTCCTTGTTGTGGTGAGAAATGAGGAAGTCTGGGGGAGAAAAGAGAAGAGAAGAAGAAGAAGAGATTGTTTTTTTCGTTTGTAAAACATCAATTTCAACAGCTGTTTGTATGGCGGTCGTGTTCGGAAGCTTCTCCACAACTTTTCGAGAAATGTTTCTTTTGAGAGCAAGAGAAATGAGCCCGGGATCATGAGGCTCATGGAAATCGGACTCGTAGATTCAAAATCGATTAGAAAAAAAAAAGTTTCAGCTTGTTTCATTTAATTCTTCTCAAAGTTTGCCAGAGAGATCGTAGAAATTCAAAAAAATAATACCATTTGAAATGCCACAGTAACCTGAGGACTAGCATCTTTCTTTCGTGGCGAGACCTCGTTTTGATTTAGGGATTTTTTTATAAAAATAGATTTTTTTAAAACAAAAAGAAATGATTTTTTTATAAAAAGGAGAAAAAAATGACAAGGAAACAGAAAAAGATAGAAAGTGTGAAAAGCTTTGAAAAAAATTTCTAGTAAGAAAAATAGGAGAAATCGTGATTTTTTTCTACTATTTTTCCTAATAAAGGACCTACTTTCTGATGAAAAAAAGATTTATAAGCTGTTAAAAAGCAATCAAAAAGATCCTTTGAAACGAAATTTTCGCAAAAAAATGATTAAGAAAAAACTTTGAACAAGCTGAATACTGTGCCACATTTTTTTTTTTGAAAGTGACGAAAATAATCATTTTTCAGTTTGAAAAGCCTTCAAAGCGATCGAATAAATGATTAAATTTCAATAATCATTTTAAATTTTTCTGTCAAAAAATAAATTCCAGAAGACGAGCCACCATCGAAAAACTGCGCAGTCTACGAAAAATGCCAAGGAAATGTAACTTTTGTCAATCCCGCCTTCCAATCGGCGGCCATGGAGTTTGTTTTTTCTTTTAAAAAAAAAGCTTAATCAAAATATTCCAGGTACAAATGGATCTGTGGGAATTCGGCCTACTTTGCTTCATTATTTTCACAAATACAGTTTGCCGGCGTTTTATGTGGTGAGTGTAAAAATGATGGCTGTTTTTGTTGGATCAAATGTGCTCCACCGAACTTTCGGTAAGATCTAAAAATTAGCTCGCATAAAAATTTAATTCCGAGAAAATATTATTCAACATAAACCATGGAAATTTTGCTAGGAGGCTAATTTCTCGCTTCAAATGCGCTCCATCTAATTTTAAGCGTGATCAGAAAATTGATTAATCATAAAGATCAGAAAATCGAGAGCAAAAAAATCTTTCACTCATTTTTCTTCAAATCAAAACGCTATTGAATTTTAAGCCAAAAAGCTATTTTCTACTTCAAATGCGCTCCATCGAACTTTCCGTAAGATCAGAGAACCGAAAGCTGTCCAAGCTTTTTCTTTTCAAAATGGTCTCTATCCAACTGAAAAAACAAGAAATTTCTTGCCAGAAAGCTATTTTCCGACTTCAAACGCGCTCTACAGCGAATTTTTCAAATATTGAGGATTTTTACTAAATAACATTACGGCTACTTTCTCTGTGGAAAAGGGGATTTTAATGAAGGGTGCTGATACTTCTTATTACAACAGCTGTATGTAAACTCCCTTAGAATAAAATCACGGCCAATTTATCATAGGGAAATTCGCTCCAGCGAGCATTTTTCATAATCAAGATAATTTCTGACAAAATTTTGACTACTCTCTATGTTGAAAATGCAATTTTGATGAAGAATCCTATGAAGGGCTTTTTTCTCACCTCAAGTTTGCTCTATTAAAATTCAATAAATGAAAGCAAACGGCCATTTTATCACAAGAAAATTCGCTCCAGTGAACATTATTCTTCCAGGAACCTTCTCATTTGGCGCTCTTTCCGACATTCTTGGCCGGAAGCCAATTGCAGTTTTCGCTCTGTCACTAGGAATATTCATGAACTTTGTGACAGGTAAATTTTGAAAATTATTCTCTCCGGTCAAAATTTTTTCAGGCCTGGCACCTAGTTATCAAGTTCTGATGGCTATTCGGTAAGTAACTCTGAAATTTTCAAATCTGGTAGCTTTTTTTTGGTTGATACAGCAAAGTGTTGAAGTGTGCGCGGAGCGGTCGCGTTGCGTTTTTTGGCGCCAATTCAAAAATTATCCCGTCAGTGGTACTATTTTGTAGACATTCCTTTTCTTTCTTCAGAATACCTTCTTCCGATCGTGTCTCTGTTAAATAAAAACTTCTAAACAGGAAACTGCGGGAAATTTAATTTTTCGAATTTAAAAACGCGTTGCGGCCGCTTCGCACACACTATAGTCCGTTTCCCGCGACTTGAAACTGCTGTTTTTCTCAGGACCCTCTCATGTCGATGTGCTATTTTCATGTTTCTCTGGCCTCGCCGATGAGGGAACAGAGAGACGCAGAAATGTCTTGTCGCGGCCAAACGGACTATACAGCCCATTCTGGCTCGGTTTAACTTTCGCGGCGAAGGTAGATCGTAAAGACTCCTCATGCGCCTTTAATAAGATCCTAACTATGGGCCTTTAATAATAGTCTACAAATGCGCCTTTAATAAGATTCTGCCCATGCGCTTTTAATAAGAGCCTCGTTTTTTGATTCATTTCCGTTTCTATTGAATATAGTTTTTATTCAAATTCAAATCGACGGATTTCAAAAAAAGGGCCATCAAATGAGGTCTTATTAAAGGCCCATGGAGAGCCGCCGCGATTTATCTCCGCCGTCCCAAGCTCTGTACCGCTCAATGCTATTTCAAGTCAAGAACAGAAAAGATTATTGAAAAATTCAGATTTTTCGTGGGTTTGTCCGTTGGAGGGACCCTAGTCGTGGTGTGCACCTTCGTCATGGAAATGCTGCTCCCGCAACAAAGAATGGCCCTCCGTGCGTTTTTCAATTGGGTAAAGTCCGAAAAGAATCCGTAAGAGGTCACTAAATCGTGATTTTTCAAGGGAGTCGCCCGACTTCTGATGACTTTGATCTGTATGGCGTTCCCCGAGTGGAGAATGTCTTCGATCGCTTGCGCAGTCGCTGCGTTGCCTGCGCTCATTATCATCATTTTTGCGTTCCCCGAGTCTCCAACTTGGCTTCATAATAAGGTTTCAAAGAAAATCCATAAATTTCATTTATAAATAAAAACTTGAAACGGTGAAGTTACTTAATTTCTGTTCTTTTCAAAAAACAAAATTTTTGAATTTCGAAATTTAATACTTTTTATGATTTGATGATTGATAATAGAGGCTTATTTTAAAATTTTGATGGGGAGTAAAACAAAATTTACACAGCTTTATCGTTTCACCGGCGTTTAATGAGTTTTTTTACGCAGAAATTCGTTGAAATATTTATTTTCTAGCCAAAAAAAGCCTTTTGCCTTCGATAAAAAAATCTTGAAAAATTCTTTCTTTTTGTAAATTTAAACTCACAAAAAAATAAATTTTTCTCACATTCATTTTTTTCAATTTAATTTCTGTGTATGAAAAAAAGACTAATTTTTAATTATTTTTCTAAAAAAACAAGTACATCTTCATTTGATTTTTTTCCTGATCCAGAACTACTTTTTGGTAAGGTTCATATCAACATTAGAAAAAAATAAAGTGATTTATGTCGATTAAAAAAATTGAAGGGTCGATTGGAGGAAATGCGCGCCAGCGAAAGACACATCGCCAAGGTGGCAGGAATCCCCTACGTTCCAGTGGAGCACAAGAAAAATAGAGCATTCAAAGGTGAGCTTTTTTTGAAAAATATATTAGGATTCGGTTTTTTTTCGAAAAAATATCTACAACTTCATCAAGAAAGGTCGGAAAAAAATGGCAAAAAAATTTGCATTAGAGGGGTTTGAACTTTAGACGTCGGATTCGTAGACTAAAATGTTAACCATTATACCATGCTAGTTTGTATAGGGTATTAAAAAAAAATCATTATGGAAAAAATAAATTTGATCTTTTTGACAGTTTTTTTTAAAGAAAATTGAGCATTTAAAGGTCCATTGATCCTATAATTTCATCTAAAACCTCGAAAAAATGGCAAAAATAAAATATTATGAGAGGGGTTTGAACTTTCGTCACCGTTTGCCAAAACTGAAGTGATAACCATGCTCAACATGAAAAACGTCAAAAGTACGAAACTTGAATCAAAGTTGAAACTAAAGTCACCTTGAAACGGCAATTCTCATTAAATCCCAATTTTGAGCTATGTTCAGAATTTTAAGTAGGAGGACGTCATTCGAAAACGCTCTGTGGATGTTCTCCGATTGGTTTATTGGGCTGGCGGAGCTTGAGCGAGGACTTGACATTCGAAATCTGAACAAACTATGTTGCCTGTTCAGATTTTAAATATGAAGTCCTCGCTCAAGCTCCGCCCCCTGATGGCGCGATAAACCAATCAGAGAGCGAGCCATCCCCAGAGCGTTTTCGAATGACGTCGTTGTACTTGACAGAACGGACTATATTTCATGAAGAATTTCAATTTCGAAAAAAATCATTTCAAATTCGATTTTCAGACAATCTGTGAGATGTTGCAAACAAAAGGTCTTCTCCGGAGGCTATTCGTACTGTGGAGTATGTGGTTCGTGGCCTCGATCTGCGGATACGCCACCGATCTCAATTCGAACACGATTTCCGGAGATCTGTTCGTCAATCAGATCCTTTTCTCCATTTTGATCGCCGTTTCCAAAATGGTTGGTTCAAAATGAGTGTCTCATCTAGTATTAGTCGCCAAAAACGTCTAACCTGTCTGGGCTCTCTTTTTCTCACAAGATAGGTTATTTCAGTGCGAAATTTGAACTTAATGAAAGATTCGCTCAAAAAACCTCTAGATGAAGAACCCTCGTGCCTTCTTTTAGTTTTGGGAATAAAAAAATAAACTCGAGCATGATAATTCGTACTTCAAAGATCAAAATTCCCGCAGGGGTTTAGGTTCACACTAAAATGACCACGCTTGTCGCAGGAGAGGTCATATAGTCTGTGTGCACGACTTTAAATTTCACCGAACGACGTTCCGCTGCGTACGGTCGCGAAGCGTCTTTGCTTTCGCGGGTCCAGGTCACCCTTCCAGACTATTTTTATTGCTGATAGTTGGATCGTTCCACTGCGATATTTGAATGAAAGAAGAAATTGAAAGCGCGACCGAGATTCGCAAAGGCGCCCGGCGGAACATTCGGTGAAGTTCCAAGTCGTGGTACACAGAGTATAGAAACATGAAAACAAAAGAGAGAACAGAGGAATGAAAAGTTCACAACTTGTTGCGAATATGGTATAGGCATAGGGGCACCCACATTAAACCCTCATCAGCAAAAAAAAAACACTAAAAGTGCGAAAATTCGACTGCTTCACGACCGCGTTGCACATACATGGCAGGCGCAGTCGACTCCGGAAAAAAAAAATGGATCAAGTCTAATAACTTTTTTGCAGGTCCTGGTAGCCGTGGACACCCATTGTCCGTCTTTCAAACGGCGAACTTTGCACCAAGGGGCCCAGGCAGTGGTTTGCCTCTGTTTCTTCTGCCTCACCATCATGACCTACTACGGATACTTTGTCAGTTCATGTTCATCTATATGATAAAATAACCTTTATAGCGTAGTTTCTTCGAAAGTACGGCCTAGAATGAGTGAAACCATCTTAGATGAAAACAAGTCCTTTTCTACTCTCAAGTCTCACTCCACTGGGAAATTTTTCAGCGGCTACTTGAGGGTTTTGACGTTTTAGTGGACACTACAGTAGTCGAATTGGTGGTCACTTAAGGGGTTGAAAATAAGTGGCCACTATAGAGGTCTAAGTGCTACTAATAGACCGCGAAAATTTTAGTGGCCACGTTAGGAGTCAATGGATCAACATAGCTGATCCAATCTGTTTTTTTCAAAGTTATCAGTTACTGGAAGGAATACTGGATGAAAAACTACTGAAGTGGCCACTATAGAGGTGGGTTTATCGGCCACTTTAGTGTCCTCTCCAAGTAGTCCTTGGCGAGCCTCTATAGTGGCCACTGAAAATTCTCCCAGTATAGCGGCTAATTGAATATTCTGACGCCTTAGTGGCCACTATAGTAGTCGAATCAGTGACCACTCGAGTGCTTGAAATTCAAAGGGCTTTCTAAATGTCTAACTGAGTGTTAGTTTTACTACTAGATCATTAAAAAGCGGCTCTAGAAAGATTGTTTCAGTGGTCACTTTAGGGTCCTCTCCAAGAAGTGTCCTCTTAAGTGACCACTACAGTCATTCACAGTACATCTCACCAACTCTCTTCACCAGAAAATTAACTTTTCATGCCTTATTCTCAGGGCCACGCCTTCCTGGTGATCAACCTGATCGGAACAGTCTTCATCGAGTACACCTGGGACGCTTGTTACCTGTGCGCGGTCGAGTCGATGGAAACGGCGTGTCGGGCGAGTGCCACCGGGACTTGCAGCCTCGTCGCCCGCATCGGCGCCATCCTTTCCCCATTCGTACGTCATTTTGTCTTGATTCTGAAACTTGGAAGTGATGAATAACAAAATGGAATGAAAAATCATATTTTGTGCTATAGTCCGTTCAGATTTTGAATGTCAAGTAGAATGACGTCATTCGAAAACGCTCTGTGGATGGCTCGCTCTCTAATTGGTTCATCGCTCTATTAGGGGCGGAGCTTGTGCGACGACTTGACATTCAAAATCTGAATAGACTATAAAGGCATATGGACAGTAAAAAATCGCCTTCCGGGATTTATGATAGATCTTGTTGTTCTGATTGCGAGACGCCGATGCACTTTTGAAACTGTCCAAGTTCCATATAAAACCATGAACGGCAACAGCGAAGTCATGCAAAATTTCTGTGAAATACAATTATTCCCTTTTTCAGCTCAATTTCAAATAGCAAACCGGATATTCAAGCGGATTCGTCGAAATTTTGATTTCCTAGTCTCCGTAATGCTTCTTTCATTATAAGTTTGTATCCAAAAAGGTGTGAACCTCTCGAATTTTACATCATATTCCTAGTAATGTATAAAACTCCGTTAAATATTGATTACCTTTCCCGAAAAGCATTCAATTATCGACTAAGTGGGGAAACGCTTTTTACCCCTCCCCAAATTCTCGCAATAAATCTAGTTTTCGAGTAAGACGCTTCAAAAACCTTAAATATTGCTTTTTTGCCATATATTGCGTATTTTACGAACTTGGAAGCTTCATAACTTGAAAAAAAGATCTATTTCGAGCAATTTTTTCTTGGGGGGTGAAAACGGTCCATAGTAAGTAGTGATAATCAACTTTTTTGCGATCCTCCAAAAACAAAAACCTCCTATTTTTCTTTCCAGCTGAACTACGCCAACGTCTGGTGGCCTCCATCCGTGTACCTGACCGTCGTTCTTCTCGGCCTGGTCAATCTAGTCATTTCCTATACTTTCCTAGTGAGTCTCAAGCCTCACAATTCATTCCAAAATTCGAAAATCGCAGGTCGAAACAAAGAATATCAATCTCGACGCGGTTCACATCGACGACTCCAAGGAGGAAGGCACTCCGATGCTCGAATCCGTAGAAAAACAATAAAGTACGGCTTTAATCGTTTCTTCACAAATTGACAGTTCATTTGATCGATATCTTACAGTTTGTTCACCAAAAAGCTCAAAACTGAAAAAAATTGCGCTCAAGACGATTAACCTGATTGGCTAACCACGCCCACTAATCCTCAAAAATCAATTATCCCCTCTATTTGATTGGTATCCAACAGTTTGTTCACAAAAAGCTCAAAATGAGAGTAAATTCAAAATTAAAGTCAAAAAAGAAGACATTATTCATCTCAAAATGCGCTCTAGCTGACGATTTACCTGATTGGCTGGCCACGCCCATTATCATTATTCTTATTTTCTTATAAACATATCTTATTAGCCACTTCTTGACGCCTTCTAGTCCAGTTAAAACGGCTCGATGCGTTGCGGTCGCGCTGCGGTTTGAGTGAACCTTTCGATGCCATCAAGCGCAAGTCGTTTCTGGTCAGGCGCATCTTCTTATCAATCGCTACACGCTGAGCCATTCTCCGTGCACCCAAATCGTTTCAATCGCAACCTAGTCCTTTTCCCTTGGCTCTAAAAAGAGCAAACCTGACTTTTTTTTAATAAAATTATTTAGGGTCCACTTTAGCGGCGTCAGCACTCAAGTGATCCCTAGAAACGTTCAGAAACGTGCGGTTTCCGTTACTAAGTCCGAGAAAACCTAGAGACGTCTAAATCTCTTGTTTTTTTGCGCACTATTTTGCTAATCGTCTAAAGATCTTGCGCCAATGACCAATTAACTAAAAAAATAAGTTCTCATTTTTTTCAAAAAAATTTTTTTGGAAAAACTATTTTCAATTTGGTGAACAAACTTATTTCTCAAACAAAAAATCCCCCACCTCCAAAAATGTACAAATTTTCTTGTCCTCATTCATTTTATAGCTCATTTTTGATTGTTACTAGAATTTGACGCCTAATAAAGATTGATAATTTTGCCAACTCGACAAGAAAAAAAAAGACGTGAGATTTGGCATTTCGAGTCATTTCGTGAGAGATTCACTGCGGGAAAAGGATGCAAATCAGCCGGACGAATGTCGACGAAGAAGCCATGGAAAGGGCCGCCGAAAATCCCATCGATATTCAACTTCCCGATGGTCGACGGGTCATTCAACACGAGGAATCCGGTAACCGAGATCTTTCAATTATTTCTAGATGGCTCAGATCTAGATTCTAACTTTGTGAGAAAGAACGAAGAAAGAGAACCGTAAAACAGTTAAAGTTAAAAAAAGGTTTATTTTGCGATAAAAGGGAAGAAATCGACTTATAGCAGTTTCATGAACGAACCAAAAAAAAACAAAGCAACTCATTTAAGAGCCCTATAGCAGCTACTTAGATCCGAAGACACCCAAGTGATCACTAGATCAGGAAAATCAAAAAAAGGTTCAGTTTGGGATGAAGTGGAAGAAATTGACCCTCAACAGTTTCACTGATTTAAGAGCCCTACAGAAGCTTCTTAGAGACTTTGGAATTACTCAAGTGATCCCTAGACTGCTCAGAATAATCTAGATATCTAATTTTGTGAGAAAAAAAATAAACCGAACAGAATTACAGCTTTTGAGAGTAACGTAGCAACTAGAGTTCTCAAAACCGAACGTTCAAAAAAATGACCGTTTGAAAAAAATGAACTTTTTTTCATTTTTTTCGATAGTTTAGGATATATCATTTTCAAACGTTCAACCAAAAAAAGTTCGAAAAATCGTTTTTCTTATAATAATGAACGTTTGCTTTTTCACATAAAAACGGACGTTCGTTTTTTTGAACGAACTGTTTTGAAATGGAAAAATGAACGTTCATTTTTTTGAACGAACTTTTTTTGGAAATGAAAAAAATGAACGTTCGTTTTTTTGAACGAACTTTTTACGAACGAAAAATGAACGTTCACTTTTTTTGAACGAACTTTTTCACGAGCGAAAAATGAACGTTCATTTTTTTAAACGAACTTTTTTTGAAAATGAAAAAAATGAACGTTCATTTTTTTGAACGAACTTTTTGGAAATGAAAAAAATGAACGTTCATTTTTGAACGAACTTTTTACGAAATGAAAAAAATGAACGTTCATTTTTTTGAACGAACTTTTTGAAAATGAAAAAAATGAACGTTCATTTTTTTGAACGAACTTTTTGAAATGAAAAAAATGAACGTTCATTTTTTTGAACGAACTTTTTGAAATGAAAAAAATGAACGTTCATTTTTTTGAACGAACTTTTTAGAAATGAAAAAAATGAACGTTCATTTTTGAACGAACTTTTTTTGAAAATGAAAAAAATGAACGTTCATTTTTTTGAACGAACTTTTTGAAAATGAAAAAAATGAACGTTCATTTTTTTGAACGAACTTTTTTGAAAATGAAAAAAATGAACGTTCATTTTTTTGAACGAACTTTTTTTGAAAATGAAAAAAATGAACGTTCATTTTTTTGAACGAACTTTTTAAAAATGAAAAAAATGAACGTTCATTTTTGAACGAACTTTTTACGAAATGAAAAAAATGAACGTTCATTTTTTTGAACGAACTTTTTGAAAATGAAAAAAATGAACGTTCATTTTTTTGAACGAACTTTTTGAAAATGAAAAATGAACGTTCATTTTTGAACGAACTTTTTTTGAAAATGAAAAATGAACGTTCATTTTTTTTGAACGAACTTTTTGAAAATGAAAAATGAACGTTCATTTTTTTGAACGAACTTTTTTGAAAATGAAAAATGAACGTTCATTTTTTTGAACGAACTTTTTAAAAATGAAAAAAATGAACGTTCATTTTTTTGAACGAACTTTTTGAAAATGAAAAAATGAACGTTCATTTTTTTGAACGAACTTTTTACGAAATGAAAAAAATGAACGTTCATTTTTTTGAACGAACTTTTTAAAAATGAAAAATGAACGTTCATTTTTTTGAACGAACTTTTTGAAAATGAAAAATGAACGTTCATTTTTTTGAACGAACTTTTTACGAAATGAAAAATGAACGTTCATTTTTGAACGAACTTTTTAAAAATGAAAAATGAACGTTCATTTTTGAACGAACTTTTTTGAAAATGAAAAAAATGAACGTTCATTTTTTTGAACGAACTTTTTAAAATGAAAAAAATGAACGTTCATTTTTTTGAACGAACTTTTTAAAATGAAAAAAATGAACGTTCATTTTTGAACGAACTTTTTTTAGAAATGAAAAAAATGAACGTTCATTTTTTTGAACGAACTTTTTTGAAAATGAAAAAAATGAACGTTCATTTTTTTGAACGAACTTTTTGAAAATGAAAAATGAACGTTCATTTTTGAACGAACTTTTTACGAACGAAAAATGAACGTTCATTTTTGAACGAACTTTTTGGAAATGAAAAATGAACGTTCATTTTTTGAACGAACTTTTTGGAAATGAAAAATGAACGTTCATTTTTTGAACGAACTTTTTACGAACGAAAAATGAACGTTCATTTTTTGAACGAACTTTTTTAAAATGAAAAATGAACGTTCATTTTTTGAACGAACTTTTTTAAAATGAAAAATGAACGTTCATTTTTTGAACGAACTTTTTGGAAATGAAAAATGAACGTTCGTTTTTTGAACGAACTTTTTACGAACGAAAAATGAACGTTCATTTTTTTAAACGAACTTTTTAAAAATGAAAAAAATGAACGTTCATTTTTTGAACGAACTTTTTTTGAAAATGAAAAATGAACGTTCATTTTTTGAACGAACTTTTTGGAAAATGAAAAATGAACGTTCATTTTTTGAACGAACTTTTTGAAAATGAAAAATGAACGTTCATTTTTTGAACGAACTTTTTGGAAATGAAAAATGAACGTTCATTTTTTGAACGAACTTTTTTACGAACGGAAAATGAACGTTCATTTTGGTTGAACGTTCAAAAGCAAACTTGAACCAAAAGTTTGGTTTCAACATTTGTTCGAAAATGTTTGGTCGAACGTTCGTTCGAACGTTTGGTTTTGAGAACTCTAGTAGCAACTCATCTAAAAACCCTATAGCAACTTCTTAGATCCAAAAACACCCAAGTGATCTTCTGAAAAAGTAAAAAAAAAGGTTCAGTTTGAGATAAAGTGGAAGAATTTGACTTCCAACAGTTTCACTGATTTGAGAACCCTATGAAAGCTTCTTGAAGATTTCAAAAACACTTAAAAGATCACTAGATTGCTCAGTATCTTCTAGATACCTAATTATGAAAAAAAAAATCCGAGTGAACATAATTACATCTTATATAAACCTGTCTACCGATGGGAAAGTCAGAAAAGGTTCAGTTTGCGATAAAAGGGAAAAATCGGTTTATAGAAGTTTTATTAAAGAAATTCTTCCCAAAGAAACATAGCAACTCATCTGAAAACCCTACAGCAGCTTCTTAAACTTTAAAAACACTGAAGTGATCCCCTGGGAGTCAAAAAAGGTTCAGTTTGAAATAAAAAGGAAGAAATTGACTCCCAACAGTTTCACTGATTCAAAAGCCCTACAGCAGCTTCATAGAGACTTCAAAAACCCTCAAGTGATCACTGGATTGCTCAGCATCTTCTCTAAACATAATTACAGCTTATGAGAACCTTCAAACTGTTGGAAAAGTCAAAAAAAAGGTTCAGTTTGGGATAAAGTGAAAGATATTGACTTCCAGCAGTTTCATGAAATTAGAAGAAACTTCGCAACGGATTTGAGAACCCTACAGCAGCTTCTTGGAGACTTTAAAACCCCTCAAGTGATCACTACATACCTTAGACTTATCATAAAGCCTTCACTCTGAGAAAATAGCCAATAAAAAACACTCAAATGATCCCTAGATTGCTCAGAACCACCCTAATAGCCGATTTTGTAAGTAAGAAGCTGCTTAAACACAATTACAGCCTATGAAAACCTGTACACGGACGGGCGGTCGTTCGACGACGTCGACGGCTCCGGAGACTCGCTGAGCTTCAAGTTCGACTTCAAGCTGCACGGCGACGGCGTCCGACAGATGGCCGACGTCGGCAACTCGGTTCAGTCCAACTCGTTCATGCTGCAACACGGCTGCGTCATGTACTCGTTCGCCTACAGCCTGACCGTCATCGGCAAGAGGGACGACGGTCCGTTTAGTTTATTTATACCTTCTTCCTCTCCTATTCGGGTCGGTCTGACCTTCCCGCTCTTTTCTCTCGACAGTGCTCCCACTCCCATGCTGATGAGGGTAGACCAGCCGTACTTACACGGGCTTCCAGCGGGTGTACCCGTATTGAGCCCGCATAAGGACACCTGGTAGAACTTTTTGCATTTTCTACCACAGCTGAGGCATCATTTTTGCACATTCGGTTCTCAAATTTCCGAAATAAACACAGCTGGGTCCACTTGCGCCCGTTTTTCTCCCGTTTTAGCAGAACTGAGTCCCCAATGAACACGGAATTAGTACGGGTACACCCGTGGAGACGCCTGAGCATTATTAAGCGTTTTTAACATTTCTCTGACCTCTCCGAGTAGAGAAAAGAGAGCGCAGACAGGTTAGCTTGTTCCGTTTGAAATCCTATCGATTTTACAAGGATTTTTAACGCAAAAACGTCTAGATTTCTTTTTTTTTTTCATTAAAAAGTACTTTTTTCTTACTTCTGTTACAAAAAATAGTTGTGAGAAGTTTTTGGAACTTTGATTGAGTCTTAATTTAAATCATTCTGCTTCAATTTTTTTTTTTTGGGAAACTTGATTTTTGGTAGGGTCCTCACGGCTAAAAAAGACAAAAAAAAATCGCTTTTCCACTGAAATTGATTTTGAGCCGCCTTAACTCAATCAGAAAACAAAAATATGAAAAAATTGTATTTTTGTTGAAATTTGGCTGCTCGAAATAATGCGGAAAACCCTTGAAAATGGTATTTTCACATCATTTTTGATATTTCTAGGTTCAAAAGAACCTAAAGTTTTCAAATCACGATTTCAGACCTCATCTGCGAGTTCCGACTGTTTCCGATCGACTTTTCCTACCGCTATCCTACAAAAGCAATAGCCGGAGGTTTACTTGCACAAAAAAGAATCAATGAAATATATAATTTTCCAGGAGTTCAATGTAACGTCAATCAACCGGCGCCAACCCTTACGAAATGCACCCTTTCGCTGGCCGATTTCGAAGGAAAAAGTAGGGTTATACAGGAAGATGTAGTTGATTTTGAAAGCTAGAGTCTTGATTACGCGGACCGGACCTTTCTGAGATTTCTAGTGACCACTATAGTGGCGTCAGGACTCTCAAGTGATCCCTAGAAGAGCTCAGAAACGTCCAATTTGCGTGACAGAGGTGTGAGAACGCAAACCGGATGCTTCTGATGATTTCTAGTGGCCACTTTAGTGACGTCAGAACTTTTAAAGGATCCCTAGAATACTTTAGAAACGTTCGATTTGTGTTACTGAGGTCCGAGAGAAAAAAACTTCAGAGCGGAAAAAAATAAATTTTCGAAAAAGTTTGAAAAACTTGAGGTAGTGGTCACCAAGGTACAGTTAGTGGTCCAATGGAGAGTTTACTACCAAAAGTTTTATCAATTTTTACTGAAACTGTGAAATAAGTTTACACTTTAAATACTTTCTTTTCAGTGAAATTACATATTAACGAAAAAGGAGAATATAAGCCGAGCGTCATACTTCCTCACAAGCTTCTCTGCATACTGACTGAGGTTTTTTTTAGAAAAAATTATATTTTTAAAAATTGCCCTTTCAGAAAGCATCAACTACGCTACATGTCACTGTGCAAGTCTCTGAAGGATATTTTAAATTGGAAAAATATTCCGATTTGAAGCCGTTAGTTGCAATTTTGCATTACAGAGTCTGAACACGGCGTTTTTGTTAGTGGGAAAAAAAAGGGAAACCAAAAACACGGTGGGCGGAGCCAAAGTATCCGCCGTTCACACGTGACGTCATGGGCAGAGATTTCGGCTACAAAGGCGTAAATAACAGGGCATTTTAAAGGCGCAGGCCGCAGTTTTGCCAGAGGTCTTTAGGACGAATCGAAATTTCTCTGCATAAACGCAATTTTCTGCGCGAAAGCGGCGCAGTGCATGCACACTACACACGACACTTTACGGAGAAAAAGTGTGCGTGGCGTACGCGAAAAACGCCGTGTGAAATCTATATAAAAACAAGCCTATTCTACAATTTATCATTAAAAAACTCTTATGATCCTCAAAAATGCCTTTTTAGAAAGGTAATCGAAAATATAGTCTATCTGTCGCGAATTGACAGTTTTGAATTGTCTCCGTCTCTCTGTTCCCTCACCGGGGAGGTTAGAGGAACAAGGAAACAGCATGTGAGCATGAGAGGGCGCAGAGAAAAACAGCGAGTCGCAAAAAACAGACTATATATGAATTAAAAAAACTTCCTTGAAAGGAAATAAAAAAATTTGAAAAAAATCCATGAATTTGAAAAATTTGAATAAAGATCGCTTTACACAAACCTGTCATGCTATAAAAAAATAAATCGGAAAAAAACTGTTTAAGAAAAAAATCGCCGTAGCTCCACCGAACAGCGACGCGGTGATTTCGGCGATTTTGAAGGGAAGAAAGGTTCCAAAATGTGATTGGGTGATAACGGTTGGCGAGGGATCCCCCAGGGATTTCAATGTCCACGGAGTTTTGCTCGCCGAGTCGAGTTTGCTTTTCAAGGTGGGTTTGGATGGAAAATTCTCAAAATTTATGTATCTTTATTCATTTTCGAGACAAAAACTTCATGCCTTGTTCGAAGTGATGACGCGAAATTTGAAATCGCCTCTCTCTGAAAAACTGGGCCTCAAAACTTTCTAGAAAATTTTTCAAAATTTCTGATACCTTGGTCTTCTCGACTGAATAACTTATTCGGAATGTTTTTTCGATTTAACTTCGAAACTGTAAACTAAACTTTAAAAAAGTGTCTTGAAAGGAACCACTGCAGTTCCTTCAAAATTCCACTTAATTCAAAGGATCAGTGAAATTTAACAAAAATGTATCCTAAAAATACAGGAATAATAATTACACCGTAATCTACAAAATTTCTTTGAAAAATCACGAAAATTTAATTAAAAATGATTTTCAGATAGCAGTCGCGCAGCACATGAGCTCCTCGGACAATCAAATTTTGATGGTTTCTCACGAAAATCGAATGATTTTGTCCAAAATCCATTCCCAAGACATGGAAGTGGTAGGGCCTTTTTCTTATTGTTTTTTAGTCAATGTTTCCCGACTTGAAAGGCGAAGGAGGCGGGGCAAGAGGCGGGACGCGTAGCGTGCGCGTTCGCGGTTCTTGGCACGTGTTCAATTCAACCGCCATCTACTCTTTGAAAAACCCGTTTTTCGCTTTTTTCATTCCTTTTTCAATTATTTATTGATTATGTTCATGTGTGCATCAGAAAATAGTAGAAAGCATTGAAAAAGAGCGGTTGCCGAGCTTTTTAAATAGTCGGCGAAAAATGAATTGAACTCGTGCCAAGAACCGCGAACGCACACGCTACGCGTCCCGCCCCTTGCCCCGCCTCCCTCCCCTTTCAAGTCGGGAAACATTGACTATATGAGCCATTTATGGAAAATTCCAGCTTTTGCACTACATTTACAAGCGTCAATTTGTTCGTCCGAAATTCGATTCCTATGCTCGTGTTGGCCGATTTTTGACCTGTGTTTTCAGGTTTTCCTTTCAAAAATATTTAAGAAAGGAAATTATTTTACTCTGAACTGAAAAAAAATTGAAAAAATCAGAGTTCTTTTTTAACAAACTAGAGATGATTCTGAAAGTCTTAGCCTTTTCGATTCTCTTATTTTCAATTGAAAAGACGATTCAAGGTCTGGAAATGACCGATTTTTACGGATTTGGATGAGTTCCTGACTTGCAAAGAAGCTCCAGAGTGGTCACTAGAGGGTTAAGGGGAAAAAAAACACCCCTATTGTGGACAAAACAGCGCTTCAGAGGGCTAAAACTTAGACGGCACCAGTTCTTAAAAATTGAGTGGTCCCTATAGAGGTACTTTAATTTTTTTGTTGATTCGAGTTTTTGAAACACTTATGTCTTCAGCCATTAACGAGCTTCTCTAAAGTGACCACTAACTAAAACTCCTAGAAAGACCCCTTTTCCAAGTTTCAGCGCCCCTATAGGGGAGGAAAGGCGGTGTCTCAAGGGTAATCTTCTACAAGAGTAGAGGCTGAGGTTAACCCCTCAAGTGACCACTCCGGCATTTCTGATTGAGTCTCGAAACAGCCTATTTAAAAAGTGAATCATTTTCAAGGCGCTCCTTTTTATGAAAAAAGAAGTCCTGCATGATGAGAATTTCAAGGTCTTCATTTAAAAAATATTATGACCGATTTTCTGGTGTGCAAAGTGAAAAACCATCCTTATAAATAAATAAAAGAACCAAACAATTTTTTTTCAGAGATGCGATTGGAGACTTTTTCCTGCATTGGCAAGCCCAAATCGTCGCCGAAATCTTGAATCTTGACGTTTGAATTTTTTCTTGAAAAATTCGATAAGTCAAAATGTTTAGAGATCTGATTCGCTAAACACGTTGACCAAGTGTGTTCAACACCTGGTTTCCGTGGCGAGTTCTCCTCCCGGATCTCTGATTGTCGCTTTCAACGTCGCCATGACTGTTGCTGCCGATGCGGTTCATTTTTTTTTTTTTCGTGGAAATTTCTGATCTCTCTTTTTCTTTCAAGTTTTAAAACTCCAATAAGCAGCTGAAACACATGTTTATACGTGATAGAATTAATCCAGTCAATGAAATTAGTGACTTATAATCGAGGCTTGAAACAGCTTAATGAAGTTTTTTTACCTATTTAAACTGAAACTGCACGATTTCTGTCGTTCAAAGCATAATTTAACAGTAAAATAAGTGAAAAAAATTTTTTTCATTTGAATGAGTTCCCCTCAAAAAAATAGAAATGTTTTCAAATTTTTCGATTTAATTTGCCTTTTTTACTCTGAAATGTGTGTTTCAGGCCTTCTCTATTTTCAGGAAAATCGCGGATAATCATTTTTTAATTTATTTCTTACGGCCTCAGAACACAAATTATATAGTTCATATTTTTAAAAAAATTTTATTTTATAGCAAATATTAAACCAAAATCTTTTTGTATTCAAAATCCTGATTTCCAGGGTCAAAAAAAAAAAACTAATATCTATGACAAATATCTAACCAACCTTTCATTCTCCTCGAAATATAAAGTTTCAGTGGCAAATGGCCGAAGCGAAAGGCGAGGAAAAGTTGAAAGAACGACTTTTGAAAGCGGTTCCAGGCCTCGGGATCGTCGAGAGTATCCTTGACACGTTTTTTTTTCGCAATTTTTCTGAAATTATTCTTCTTTTTTTACAGGATTCAGGAGTTCAAAACGGTTCTTTGCGGGGTCAAAAAGACGAGAGTTTGAATTTTTTTCTTGATTTCGGACTTGTTTTATTTTTACTTGATGATAAACTTTTTCAAATAATCTTCCTTTTTTAATGGAATATATTTTTAAACCGCCTTCAAAAATAAAAAAATAAAAAAATAGAAATTATTGTCATCAGTATTTCAAGATCGAAAATCCTGTGAGTAAAAAAAGTTGCAAGCTTCAAAAAAGCTGGAAAAAAAGTTCCATTTTTATTGAACATTTTTGAAAATTATAAGTAAAAAAATGCTTACCGTTTATATAAAAACTCCTTTTAATTGATGCCAAAATTGTTTAAAAATCTACATTTCTCCATTTAAAATCCAAAAAATTACAAGAAAGAAACCTTCGACCTTTTTTCTTCAAACCCACAAAATTTCAAAACTTTTATTACAAAAATCAAAAAAAAAGGATAATAACAAAAATTCTAGCAACAACGTAGAATATTGTTCGGGAAAGACGAATCATTGAGCAGATCTTGTACTTAATTTGATCTCGAATGGTCAATTTTGTGTGGGAAAGCAAAAAGAAAACAATAAAATACAAGAAAAATGAATGAAAATACCGGTAATCGAACAATGGTGCAACAAGAACATGCAAAACGTGCTAATACTCACTCGTGACACGAATTAATATATAATAATGCAATCGGAAAAGAAGTCGACAGAAAAAAGGAAAAAAAAGCACGTGTGGGTCGTAAATAGGAATAATACCTGATAAACATCGGTTTCTAGATTTAAAAAGACAGAATTTTACTAGAAGAAAAATAAATTATTGTGGAAAAAAATAACAAAAATAGTTTTTTTGGCTTGGGAAATTTTGATGATTTCAAAAATGGAGATTGGGTCAATGGCGCTCCCATTGATAATGTGGTTCAAATCGGGGAAATTTGGATTTTTTTGCATTTTTTTAAAAATTTCTTCAATTTTCCGAGAAAAAACTTGTGATAAAATTAAATTTGGATTGAAAAAAAGACCAAAATCTGATTTCTCGTTTCAAAAAAAGAGATTGTGTACACATTTTTGAATAATTTCAACGATAATATTTCGCAATTTTTCCAGTTCTGTTAAAAATAAATTTTGAATGTTTCAGATTTTCTTTTAATGTAATCATATCTTCCCAAGCGAAAATCTCGAAAAATTGACAAATAAATAAGAAAATCAAGCCGCAACCTGTCAGTAGCGCGGCTCAATCATTGAAAAAAAGAAAGACGTTGTAACTTTTCAAGTCGGAAAGTACAAATCCCGAGTCGGTTCGACTTTTCGTTTGTTGTACTTGAGTTTGGCTCTCATGGGGAACATTGGCGGGTTGTTGGGGTCGCGTTCCTCGTATTCCGGCGGCTGTGAGGTCGAGGAGGAGCCGGAGAGCTCCCGGGGCGGAGCCTGACCGAGCTGTCGCATCGGCGGCTCCGTCGACGGCGAGTTCGTCGCCGAGATCGCCGGCGGAGGTCCCAGAGGCGGCTTCGTCTTCCGTTGGTACTCGAGGCTGGCCAGGGAGTACTCGGTGGAGGCCGGCAAGGAGTACAGGTCGGGATTGCTCAGGAATTGTATCGAGGCCGTCCGCGCCGGGTTTTTGTACTGCGCGTGGAGTTTTCGTTCGATTTCCTGGAACGAATCGAACATTATCTTCTGGATTCTTATCACTTATAGTAGTCTTAAAAGGCAAATTTTTGATTCACGGCTAGCTTGGGAAGGGGCGTGGTCTGTCTGCACTCTCCACCAACCAAACACTGTCTCCTTTTTTATCGTGTCAGGACCTTTTTTTCCGATGGCTCAAGCCAGCCGTAAATCGTCTTGAAAAGAGCCTTTTTTCTGATTTTTTCCCACAATTTCATGGATTCTAAGCCACCTCAACATGCTCTTTCGAAGATTTCGACGATGTCGATGATCCACAGAAGAACATCGACAGCAGAACTGGGAGGATGACGAGGCCATGTAGGGCTCCTTAAAAGGAAAATACGTTTCCTTTGAGCTGAAATTCTCAAAACCGAGCAAAATTACAAGGACGATCGTCTTTAAGAAGCTCCGGAAGACGTAGGATTCCGCGGAAGCCATGAAAGAAACGCCGAGAATCGTCGAGGAAGCCGATTGGAGAATCGGCGCCCCAACGGCATACAGGGCGTTTCTCATTCGGTCGGCTGGCAGGACATTTTCGCCCTGGAAAGAAAAATTTTGACATGATGGAAAGGGTCGGTTGGTTCTGCCGGTGACGTCAGAGGGGTCCCTTTAGGGGTTAGGGCAAAAAAGAGCCCCTATAGGGGAAAAGAAAAAGCTCTTCAAGGTAAAATTTAGGTGATCCCTATAGGGGTCTGATTTTTAATTGGGAAAAAATCTAGTGGCTACTTGAGAGGTTTCTCAAGGACTACTTGGAGAGGAAACTCAAGTGACCACTAGGATCATCTCAATAGCCACTATTCTGCGTCCTAGTGACCACTTTAGTAGTTTTTATTGGTCTAGTAGTAATACCTACAAATTCAAAGAGGCCTAAAGAGAATTTTAGCCCCTTAGTGGCCACTTTTTCGACTGCTAGAGTAGCCATTGAACTGTCAAAACCCTAAAGTGGCCACTAAATATTTTCCGAGAGTTCCTAAATTTTTAATCGGAGGTCTTTTCGTTTTTTTTTTTGATTGTAGGGTTGCTGACTGAAACTCTATAGGGGTCACTTTTGCGAGCTTCCGTGGTCCCTAAAGGGAAGGGAAAGTGGTCCCTAAAGCGGTATCTTCAAGGACCCACTATAGGGACCAGAATAAGAGTTATCAACTCAGGGATTGCTCAAAGATAACTATAACATTATTGATAATGTATCACAACCATATTTTAAACATACTTTGGCAAAGTTATAAGCCAAATGGGCGGCGAAATCGACGCAGAATCCGATGGACATGACGATCGTGACCATCGAGATGAAATCGAGGCGGACGCTCCAAAATGTCATGAATCCCAAGATTCCGATGTTGATTGAGACGATTGAAGAAAGATACCTTCAAAAATATATGATTACTGTTTTCAGGGGGTTTTTAAGAGCCTTTTATGAGAGCTCTTATTACTCTTTCCATAGCTTACCGGAAAAAATTGTTTCACTGAATTTTTTTCAAGGTCTCACTTGGGAAATTTCAAGAATATTCTTTAAATGACCTTTGTTTTTGAGAGATGTTTCCATTCTAAAAGTTAAAACTTCACGAAAATTTTTATCAACTTTTTCCTGAATAACTCACCCATAAGCTGGCAACGGGTTCCGGGATCAAAAATCAAGGAAACGGCTACAACAGCCACTCCAGCATAGGCGATCGAAGACAGGGTTCCAGGAAGTACGGCGTTGTACTGTTCAGCAAACTGGAAAAGTCCTCGTTTTTCTTTTTAAATTTCAAGTTTCACTAAGAACAACTGTCGCAATAAGAGCGATATCGCTAGAAGTACATTGGCGATGTCGCAAAAGTGCTGCTTTGTAGCCGCGCCGGTCTCCCTTTTTTTCGCGAGCTCGCATATTGAAAACGTTCAAATTTTGAAGCGAGAAAAGCGCGATGTCGCGCCAAGAAAAAGCGAGAGAAAAGTGCGATATCGCGCCTAGAAAAAGCGAGAGAAAAGCGATGTCGCGCCGAGAAAACGCGATATCGCTTTTCTTTCGCGTCGGACAAAGCCAATTTTCCGTGTTTTTTTCTGAAGAAATGAATCAAAAGTTCATAGTGAGTCGTCCGCAAACTTGTAATAATTTTAAAGGAAAAAACACAGTATATCAGAAATTTTAGCGCGCTTCGCTTCAAGACCTTTGATCGGAAGGTATACGGTATTTTGGCCAGAAAAAACGAAATCACCAATTATAAACACTCAAAACTCCATTGAGAAAAATGAAGACCTGGAAAAAGTCGGCATAGACGCCAGTGTTGAGTTCGGAAGTCTCGGCGAGGCGTCGGAAAAGATGCATGGCTCGACTTTGATTCGCCGACCCGACATGTCGGAGTTGAACTGGGATTCTGGATGCGTCGAGGTTCGCCCCGGCAACGTCGAAGACCACGTCTCTGAATGAATTTTCCGTGTTGAAAAAAAAAACAAACAAGGAAATTTATTCTAACAGGCATGAAGGCAGTGAAAATTCGCCTATAGGCTTTACGGTATTGAAATTTTTTTAATGTAACTTTTTGATGTGATTCCAGAAATCGGCTTGAAACTTTAAAAAAACTCTAGAAACCGTAAGAAAAAAATTTTTCAGGGGTGGAAGGAGTTAGTCAGAACTTATTTTAAAAAAATCATACATTCATTTTGTAAAGTTCAATTGATTCATTAATAAAAAAAGTGATCGGGGGAAAAAAAGCTCTTCATTTTCAGTTTCGATTGTGCTGTAATTAACCGATTAAACGTATTTTTTCATAAAAAGTAACTAGTTGAAAAAAAGATAATATAGCCGCAACGCAAACGCGCTCTACTGCTAAGAAAAAATAATTCTTCAAATGATAAGTAGAAAAATTGATTGAAAACACAAAGTTTTAAATGATTTTTCTGAATCAAACCATTTTCAAACTCCAGTTATTTTTTGAAACGTTGTTCCTAGGTCATCTGTTTCTCAATTACCTGGCATACTTGGCGAACTGTGGCTGGGACAGGAAGACATTTTTCAGAATGTAGACAAAATTTTCCGGCGTGATTAGAAGCCCAGCTTGTTTCACGAAAGCCAAAAAGGTTCTGAGCCTGAAAAAATCAGGATGTATTTTCAAAAGGGTCATTTTTCAATGTACCATGAATCACTGCTGCCAGTAAACTCGGTATGTTCGTACAACTCGATTTCCTTTTCCAAGACGACCCAAACTCGTCTCGGAGCCAAACTGGCACTGGACAAGTTGTACATCCAAACGTGTAGAGAGCTACCGTAATCTGAAAAAAATGAGTACAAAAATGACGCCTGGGGCAGTAATCCGGTTCAAATTGAGCTTTTCCTGAAAGATTCTACGGTGAATTATTCCATTAATGGTCAAAAAAAAACATGAAAATTGCATGTAAAGTAGAGAGAGCGCAGAGAAATCAGAATTTTGAAAAGAAAACTACCGTAATCCAGTGGATTTTTCTATATTTTGAAACTGTCTGACTTCTCTGCGCTCTCCTTCCTCTCAATCTCTTAAAAGTATGTCAAATTTACTGAAAATAAGAGGGCCCAGAATTTTGAAAGGAAAACTACAGTAATCTGAAAAATATTTACAAATAGAACGTCTGTGACAGTAATCCAATTGAATTGAAGTTTTTTTTTGAATCTCTCAAAGCTGTCCGACTTCTCTGCGCTCTCTTTTCCCTTACCGTCATAGAAACGGAAAAAAATTACACATAAAAAAACGAGAGGGCGCAGAGAAGTCATTATTTACCAAACAAAATCCACAATAGTTGAAAAAAAAATGAAGTATAACGCCTGTGACAGTAATCCAATTTAATTAGACTTTTTTTTTGAATCTCTCAAAACTGTCTGACTTCTCTGCACTGTCTTTTCTCTAACCGTCATAAAACTCAGAAAAACCAGACATTTGAACGTTGCGAAAAATGAATAAACTGATCCTTGAGGATTAAAAATTATTTTTTACCTGAAAAATACTTCTCAGCCATTTGTAGGGTCCTTTTACCGTAGGAATTCGCTGGTAAAAGGTCATTTGGCTCGAGTCCAAGCTTCACATTTGTACAGCCATATGAGGCGATCGCCTGGAAATTTGATAATAAAAACAAAAAAGAAAACTTCTGCAAAAAGTATTATTGCTGTGAGATTTTTAGTGGCCCCTACAGTGGTCGAATTAATGGCCACTCAAGTGGTCTATTTAGAAGTCTGAGTGGTACAACTGGACCACTAAAACTACTATAGTGGCCACTAAGACGCAAGGCAATGGCTTATAGGGTTTTAGTCACCACTTTAGTGTCCTCTCCAAGTGGTCCCTAAGGAGCCTCTTAAGTCGCCAGGAAAGTATTCGATCTCTCAATTTCTCAATTTTTCCCGTTTCAGTTTCCATTTTTATGAATTGACGTTTTGAAGAGTGCAGTGCTTGTCTTTTACAGTACCGCTCAAAAGTCTATTAAGTTTTGGTTTTTTGGGGATAAATTTTTTTTGAAGTGCGATATCGATTCAAATTTTTTTCATAGTTTTCTGAGAGAGACATACGTGTTCTGGCAAAAATTTCAAGTTGCTAGCTCAAAGAATAATAATTTTTTTCGAGAAAAAAACGAATTTTTCGAAAAAAATCGAATTTTTTTGCTATTTTCAATTAAAAAAATCATAGCTCAACAAAAAAATTTTTTTATCAACACAAAAACATTGTTAAAAACAATATTCGGGACCTAGTACTTGGTTGCAAAGCCCCTGGCGTCAATCACTGCCTGGCATCTTCTCTGCATAGAATTGAGCAAAGTGTCGATGGTAGACATGGGGATCTGATTCCATTCAGACAGCAGTTGAACAAACTTCTCGTTGCAATTCTTGGCTCTTTTTGTTGGCACAACGTCGCTCCAACTCTTCCCAGAGATGTTCGATCGGGTTCAGGTCCGGAGATTGACTTGGCCACCCCATGACATTGACCCGACGGCTCTTGAACCAGTCCTGAGTTTCAAAACCATACGAATTACTTGTCAATTTTTCTCACCTTGACGAACAGTGAAGTGTGCTTGGGATCGTTATCCCGTTGATAAACACTCCCACGGCCCATGGCTCTCAAGTGCGGCAACACCTGGTTCTGGAGAATGTCTTTGTAGACGTGCTTGTCCATGATGCCGTTCACGCGATGAAGCGGTCCGATGCCACTTCCAGAGAAGGCGCCCCACACCATGCAAGAACCTCCACCATGTTTCACGGTGGGTAATTGGTATTTCGGATGATATCTGGACCCAATCGGTCTACGAACACACTGAATTCCGTCACTCCCGAAGAGGAGGAACTTGCTTTCGTCGGACCACAGAATCTTGTTCCAGTCTTGACGGGTCCAGTTGAGATGCTCCTTCGCCCACTTCACCCTGGCGGCTCGATTCTTTTCAGAAATCAGCGGTTTCTTCACTGGACGTCTTCCCATGATTCCAGCAGCATTCAGACGTCGTTTCACGGTCGAGACGGATGGCGGAGATGGCGAAATTCAAGAAAAACTTCCCGTCTGATCGCAGGGGCGGTGAGTCTTGGATTGGTTCTAGACGTCTTCAAAATGTTCCTATCGTCATTACGATCAGTGACACGTGGTCTTCCAGTGCGTTGGCTGTTAGTAGAGCCATCTGGAGCTTTCTGACGCTTTAGGAACTGAGAAATGCCCGCCTCTGTCACGCCGAACATTCCTGCCAACGTCATCATGGTCAGTCCATTTTGACGACCCACAACGATGGCTCTTTTGTCGTTATCAGTCAAATTCTTATTTCCAAAGGTTCTTCCCATGTCTGAAAAACATGAAAAAAATCATATGGCAACATTATTAATTTTAAAAAAATTTAATAAAAAAATAAATAAAAAAATAAAGAGCATAAAAAAACAAAAATGGAATTCAATAAAAAAATGCCTAAAACGCGTCACAGTCATTGCGGACATGTCTTTGTATACCGTATATGTTTCAAAGTATATTTTACATTATCCCTGAAAGTTATATATAAATCGGATAAGTACTCGCTGAGATATCCCCAAAAAAACCAAAAACTTAATAGACTTTTTGAGCGGTACTGTATATATACTCCTCCATATAATTATAGAGCCACCTAAAAATTTGCTTGTTTCCCTGTTTGAGGCATATTTTTATTTATTTAAGATAACATATCCAACAAATATTCAACTTCTCTTATTGACTTTCCTACACTTTCTTAATTTGGAAAATCAACTTTTGGTCAAAATCAAGATCATTTCGAAGTCACAGCATAATCCGGCTCCTATTTGGAAAAATCGATATATTTTTTTACCTCTGGAGCTATTTTCTTGTTTTACTTAGCTACTGAATGTTGAACGAACACATGGAGTCAAAAAAAAAACAGAGAAAAGAGTCGATTAAAATTTTTTGAAAATTAAAAACTTAAGGTGGCTCCATAATTATGTGGATTGGAAAAACACCATTTTTCGAAACAAAAAAAGGACTTTTTTTGCAGCTGGTTTTCAAGTAAAATTTGTTTTATGCGTGCATTTAATGTATCAATCTTTAAAAACCTTTGAAAGTAGAAACTTTTCCAGATTATAACCAGAAACAGGGAATTAAATTTTCAAGTGGCTTTATAATTATGTGGAGGGGTTTAGTAGAAAAAAAGTTTAATAACTTACCAAATAGGCGACGAAGAGCGTCAAAATAATGACCCTAACGATGGGATTGAGAAGCCAATCAGAATAAGTCGTCTTGAAAAACTGGGCCAAAATGCTGTTTTTCTCGAAGCTTCGGTCTTCGTTGGCGTCTTTGGCTGGCGTCCAGGTTTCTGGAGATTTTTCTGTATCGCTTACTAACTTTTGAATGAATATCATACAGTTCTACTTTCAGCAAACACAAAAAAGTACTACTTTACGACTTTAATCTCTAGAATTATTGTTTTTTATCATTTCAATGTCTGTAGATCAGTGATGCACGAGAAGGGGTCTTTTGATTATAAGACGAGAGAATTTTTCGAAGAAATCTTGGGACAAGTTCGAAAAAATTTCAAAAAAAAAAATTACGTAAAATTAACTGCTTTTGGTGCACTGTGTCACGACTTTTTAACTGCTTTTGGTGCACTGTGTCACGACCAAAACATCATATTTTACGCCATTTTCAATTTTTCTGCTCAAAAATTTTTTTTTTCATATTGAAATTTCTCGAGACGGGATCAGTTTTTTCTCTGCATCTCGAGACCGGGACAAGATCATGTCTCGAAATGTCTCAAAAAGTCTCGAAAAGCGTTTCTCGCATCCCTACTGTAGGTATTTAGATTAAGAGAAAATTTCTCTCCCGCGATTTCAAACTCATATAGCTGATTCACGGCTGGCTTGTGCCATCGAAAAAAGGGTCCTGACACGATGATGCACGAGACAGTGCCTGGATCGTGGAGAGCGCAGACAGGCCCAGCCGGGAATCAGATATAGAAGCCATTTTTTATTGACCAACCGATGCTCTTGTGGATCTTCCTGAACGTGAGGCAGCTTCTATTGGCCATCTCCCTCTTGGAGGTGAAGACCATGACGGCGGCGAAGAACGTCAACTGGTAGATGTAGGTGAAGACGACGGCGACGACGGCGTACATGCAGAACATCTGGACGCTGGGGAAAGGAGTCGCACAGCCGACGCCGAAGGAGATCAGGTCGGTCAGCGACGTGACCGTGATGGAGACGGCCGCGTCGGCGAACGTCTCCTCCATCCGTTCTTCCAGAGAAGCCGTCGAGGGGGTGCTCCGCCATGCCGACAGCAGGATGAAGACGTTGTCCACGCCGACCGCTGCAAGAATATCATATTCATCTTCATCAAATTGATCCTAGTTTTCGGAAAAAGACACCTCCAAGTCAAAGAAAGCCCTCAAAACCCTTTGAATTAGGCCATTTTGGAGCTTTGAACCCTTATTTCTGGAACACTAAGAAACTATGTAAATTGAGACTTTCCGAACCTTTTTCTAGTGAAACGTTAACTGACCTCCTTTGTAGGTAAATTTTTAAGTTGGTCAATTAATCAGTTAAATAATATTTTCCCGTTTCGTGAGTTTTTTAATTCAGAAAACTATAAGAAACAGGATTCCGTCAAATGATAACAGTAACTTTCTCCAAAAAATTTCTTTTCAATGAAAATTGAAAGAAAAAAAGCGAATTTCAAAAAAAGTACATCGAAGGGTAGGTCTCGCAGCGAAAAAAGCAGCCAGTCTTAATAATACTGTAGCAAGTTTTTCACCACAATTTTGAGCATTATACTCCATGAATTTGAACTTTTGCAGAATTTCTTAATAAAAAAAAAGTAAAAAAAAACTTTTCCATCAAAAGTTTCAAAAAATTTGACAAAAAGGTGTGTCAAAGACGATTTAAAAATCAAAAAACATAGAATCTGGACTATAAAGAAGCTCTAGATAGTTTTTACATTTTCTGAATGTTTAAAAAAATTTTTCTCAATCGAAACCATTCATTTGCCAAATAAAAAAATTGAAAAAAATATCCCTAAATCACCTTAAAAATAACCGAAAAACATTTGAAATATCGAGGAGGGGTTTCACCACGAAGAAAAACTGGCTAGCATTGAGGCTACTGTAGCCAGTTTTTCTTCTTTTTGATCGCGAAATCAAGAAAAAAATTCAAACTATTCGTGGGACTTTTTCGATTTTTCAAAGTAATAAAAAAACACTTCTAAATTATTTTATATCGGAAAAAAATCCGAAAAAAAGTTCTTAAAGAGGATAATTTACTTGAAAAACGATACAAACTCATGCCTGTGTAGCTTGTCTGGATATGTTTTACTAAAATTTCGAATTTTTTTCATCGGGAACTTGAGCAAAACTAACCGCCCTATCAGAAAAAAATCTGAAAATATTGATTAATTTGCTTAAAACAATCGTGAAACTGAAAAATTGAGAAAATGGGGTATCGACACGAAAAAGCAGCCTCTTCTTCAGCAACTACTGTAGGATTTTCGCAACGCTTTTCATTTGTTATTCTAACGAAAATAGCAGGTTTTCTGGTGGAAAATCCATTTAAAAAAAATTAAACCACGGAAAATTATCATTTTGATTTCGAAAATTTATTGAAACAGTGTGTCAGAATGCTATAAAAATACATTAAAGTATAATAACCATTCTGATCAGGTTAATCTGAACTTTATCATTAAACTTCCAAATGTCTAGAATGAAACTCGACGTGAAGCATCAATTTTACTGAAAAGATGCCCGGAAATTTATTTCGTAACCTTATAATAATCCAAAAACTTCAGAAACCTTCAAAGCGAGGTATCGCCACGAAAAAAACTGCTTCTTCTATGATTACTGTAGCGTCTAAATGTTTCTTTTCTTGGGTCTCAGAAAAAAAAAACAGGATTCTTGTTCAAATTTTGTATATAAAAGTTGAACGACATATTTTTCTAGCTTCACTTTTTGAAAATCTTCTTAATTATGACTACGAAAAACTATAGAAAAAAATCGAAAAAGAAATAAAAAAAGGCTCATAAGTTCCGCATGGACCTTTTTTCCACTACATTATCAAATGAATGGGGTGACACTTGTTGTAGATCATTCATTCCAGTGAAAAAATTCCCAGGAATTTGTCCCAATATCTTATAAAAATCCAATAACTCCAAGAACCTTGAAAACAAGGTCTCGCCACGAAAAAATCTACTAGCCCTCAGGTTACTGTGGCCTTTTTTTCTTGTCTTTTTCCACATTTATTCTTTCTGAAACTGAGCTTTTTCCGTGAGGATCTTCAATAAAAACAAATAAACGCGGACCTTAACTATTTTTGAACTTTGAAAACTCAAATTATTTTTCTCAGTCCTGCAAATATGATCGAAAACGTTTCTAAAATTCATCTTTCGGAGTCGTATAAAATAATTATACATTATTTCGCAAATCTCATGATAAAGTCTGATTGAGAGCCCCCATTCGTTGAGAAATAATTCCGAGAATCAGCCTCACCACCTTATAAATATCCACAAACAAGAGATGATTTAAGATTGAGGTCTCGCCACGAAAAAAAAGGCTCCCTCTGAGATTACTGTAGGAGTTTTTTTTTTGGTTTGGTAGCCAAATTTGAACGTTTTTCATTGGATTTTTTCAATAAAATCAGTTATACCCTGTTTCGAATGGAAGTTAGTTCTCCTAGAGTTGTCACTTGTATTCTCAACTTTTTAAGTGCTTATAACGGCATAGTTTCAATTTAACCGTGAAATAACGTCACTCGAAAGTAAACTAGATATTTTTTCTGTGAAAGATGACGTCATAAATTTCTGTAGCTTTGTTAAATGACGTCATTGACCTTTTCAGGAAATTTATGTCATTTTTAGAAAATTAATGACACCAAAAATCCCGTTTTTCGCTTTTCCCAAGCCCCATCCCGATCTTTTGACCTTGTTCAACCCAAACTCAAAACGAACTTTTGCGAGAAAATCCGCAAGGTCTGAAACTTTGGGTGGCGGTGTTTGCGGACAAGCTCAACACACAGTCGGGCCCATTCTTGCAGCAACAACAACAACAAATTTCCATGGTCTACCGCCAAAGTTTCGGTGCCAAATATAGGCAGGCCTAACATGAGTGGTCATTTTAGTGTCAAGTTTGGGAGTATCTGAATATTTTGTCAAAAATTCTGTCAGGGTCTAGAAAAAATCTTTTAAGGTACAACTTGAGCAAAATTTCAGTTTTCGAGATATGATTATCTAAAAATTTTGCAACTTTTGAAAGTCCATATAATCCAAACTGAAAATTTTCCCCAAGTAGCCACTTTAGGGAACTTTATCGAGGGACTTGCGGATATGCACTTAAAATCAATAGTTTTCAAAAAAACTTTTTCTCATCCCAAAAAAATTTTTGATAATAATAGTGTAACTCTGTGTATTTGGAAGTGGAATCGAAAAAAATTTTTAGCCTTCATTTTTTTTTAATGTTCAAAAACTGGTAGGCGGAAGACAGAAAACTGTTGTTTCGGATTTCACTAAACAATGGTAGCCTAAAGGCAATTAATTTTTTAATTTTCATCTTCTGACTACTCATAGTTCACAGCTTTTTTCAGAAGAAAAACAAGTTTTCCTACTGAGAAATTTTTCAGTAGCCTCTTAAGGGATTTGGCGTTTTAATAGCCCCTTGGAAGTCGAATTAGTGACCACTTGAGTGGTTACGATTTATTGGTCTCTTAAGAAGTCTAGGTAGCACTCCTAGACCACTAAAAACTACTATAGTGACCAATGAGACGGGAAAAAGTGGCTTCTATAGAGTTGGTTTTAGTGACCACTTTAGCGTCCGTTCCAAGTAGTTCTTAAGGAACCTCTCAAGTGGCCACTATAGAAATTTAATTTCAAGTTTGCTTCTGAAAATCTCTTCCCTTCAACCTCATAGTAGATTCTTATCAAATTTCCGGAAAAATGTCTCATTTCAGAAATTTTAACTCAAGCAAAAGTTAACTCAAGTTACGCTCCTTCAAACGAACAGAAAAAATTGACAATCTTAGGAATTCCATAGTGGTCCCTATAGGGGTCCCTATTAATTCAAGCCCACAAAAGTCTTCCGTGCCCCATACCTTCATACCATGTTTGAGCAAATATTCAGAAAAATTCCAAACTTCACGCAAAAATGAGGTCCCTTGTGAAAACTGGGGCCGCCACTCGAAAAGTCGAGTGCTTGGCGATGGAAAGCGATACTTTGGTGGTGTACGTGCAAAGTACAGGTCATGGTTTGGCTCAAAAAAGCGGCCCCCAGTGAATAGCAACACTTGACCGTGTGATCGAGGCTACTCAAGTGCAACTCACGGAGCTGTTTTTCGACCAAATTTGGAGTATGAAGTTATTGAGGACTTTTGGTTCAAAGCTTGCGAAACAAACCATCGAATTCAGTTTTCAAAAGGACGCGTGATGGAAAAGGCGATTCTTAGTGACCTCTTTAGGGTTTTGACGTTTTAGTGGTCACTATAGTAGTCGAAATAGTGGTCCCTACTGTAGTGGCCACTAAGACGCAAAATAAGGGCTTCTATAAAGGTGGCTTTAGTGGCCACTTTAATATCCACTCCAAATAGTCCTTTAGAGACCTCTTAAGTGACCCTTTTATAGTTTTTCCCAGTTCAGACTTGGACAGTGGTAGGAAAATTTTTACTTTGTTGTAGCATCACTAAAATAGTATAACCTTATAGAAAAGTATTTTGTCCTTGAAACAGGAAGTTATGATAAAAATAATGTTTTCTAGATGAGCAGAAAAATGACCAGCCAGGCATTGAAATAATGGCTTCGATTGAAATCTTTTCCCACCATTTTTATAAAAAGAACAGAAAAAGTCCTAAAATCATTGAAATTTTGTTAAACAAATATTTTCAGAGGTCATTTCTCTCTAAATCATTGAAAAGCTCAATTTTTTCAAGAAATCTAAAAAGTTTACACGATTTCTATATGCAAATTTGCAATATTATGTACTTTTTCTATTTTTCTTTCTCTGAACTCACAAAAAACGATGAAAGGCATCGAATAGGCGACGCTGGTCATGCCGAATCCAAGATGAAGGAGAAGACCGACGGCTGAAGCGATGGCCATGGCTGCCGAGATGACGCCGCCGATGGCAAGCCTAAATTCTTCTTTTTTTATAATTATTTCTTTTTGAGCCACGGTATTTGTCTCGGCTTTCCCCATGCTAGATGACTTAACGGGCGTACCCGTATTGAGCCCGTAGATTTTGAGGTCTTAATTTTGCTTAAACGGAAGAAAAACGGGCACAAGAAGAAACAGGTGCCCCAGCAGCGTTTATTTCGGACATTTGAGATTTAAATGGGCTAAAGTGGTGTGGTAAAAAACAAAAGTTTGATTAGCGGTACTAATACGGGAGTACCACAGGCAGAACCGCCCGCCCGACTGAATAATCTGACAAATATGAGAGTTGAAACGGCAAAGTGCGACATATGTAGCTCATGCGCGTTTTGGCGCCAATTCAAAAATCGCACTAGTGTTCATGGGAAACATCTTCAGTCATTCGACGCCAAAAAATCATTTTTAAAAGGTCCTCGATGTAAATAAATGCAATTTTCAACAGGAAAAGCTTGATTGTTTCAAAAAATCAGCTTTCAGTTTTTCGATGGTTTCTTCCTGTACTTCTTACTGCACTTGCCTGTTTTATTGATAATATATCAATAAGATTTTATTTTTTTGCGATAATCCAACTACATCATGTAAACGCGTCCAATCAAGTTTGAAAGTTCTTAAGAAAAAAAATCTGAACCGCTCCGCAGCCGCTACGCATTGAGCCATTCCAATCTAAACTACTTTTTTTTTCTTCTCACGCTTTTGTAGCGGTCGAGCGGCTTTGTGAAAAGGTCCTATTCTGTTTTCAGTGACAATCAGTGGATTTTAGAGACCTATCCGTCTTCGGTTGTTTCCGATAAAAATTATCAAGCGCTCCCACTACAGAAACTTTTTGAATCCTTCGGTCGGGGTCGAACTTTTGACCCTTCGGATGATGGACAAGCATACAACCTGTTGCGCTAAGTCGCGCTATTCAACCTTTATGTTTCTCATACTATTTTTGGTCCGTTTGTTTTCAAAAATTGCTAAATCCCTAAGTCGGGACCGAACCTGTGACCCTTCGGACAGTAGACAAGCACACAACCTCTTGCGCTAAGTCGCGCCATTCAGTCTTTTTTTTCTCACACCATTCTTTTTCCGTTTATTTTCAAAAATTTGCTAAATTTCTCGGCCGGGACCGAGCCTGTGACCCTTCGGACCTAAGACAGACCCCCAACCTGTTGCGCTATGTCGCTCCATACAGCCTTTCTGTTTCTAAAGCAGTTTTTCAGAATTTTCTTCAAATTTCAAAGCCTTTTTTCCGCTTTTTATCGAGCTTAAAAAATAGTTTGTTTTCCTTTTTCAGGGAGCTCTTATGTGAGATTGCCTGTTACAAAATTTTCATTGAACGAATCAAAAAATTTCCCCAGATGATCATTTCAACATTTATTTTTTGTCCGTTTATTTTCAAAATTTCCATAATCCCTCGGCCGGGACCGAACCTGTGACCCTTCGGATAATAGACAGGCACTCTACCTGTTGCGCTATGTCGCTCTATACAGCCTTTCTGTTTCTAATACTAGTTTTTGTCCATTCATTCTCAATATTTTCTGAATCCCTCGATCGGAGTCGATTATGTCCCTTCGGACCTAAGGCAGTCTGCCCCAACCTGCTGCGCTCCATCGCCCATTCCAGTCTACACATTCAAAACCGCACCAAGGCCTGGACCGTCGCCAGGAGAGAACGCAGCAGCAGGCGATCGTGTAGATGGACACGCAGAAGAAGCACGGCATGAGCATGTCGATCAGTTGATTCCTGTCCCTGGCGCTTTCGGCGGCCAGGGTCTCGTAGGTCCACCAGCTGGCGCGGATCACCGGAGAATTGTACTGGAGAAGGAAGTCGGCGAGTCTGATCTCCCACTTCTCGGCCAGCCAGTCTTCGACTTGGGAGGAGTGTCGCAGGGCGTAGGGGAGCATCATCGCCTTGGCTCCTGGAAAAATGAATTTTCTTCAACTTTTTTAGAGCTTCCCTAAGACTATTAAGCTCTTACAAGGACAATAATTCCACTTTTGGTTCGGAAAACCCTGAAAATTTGCCTAAACCTTCCTTAATGTACTAGGTCAAGTCTCAACCCGTAAAATTTCCTATTTATCAAAAAAAAAAAACCTCAACTGGGAAAATGTTGGCCACTATAGGGTTTAGACGTTTTAGTGGCCACTATAGTAGTCAAATTAGTGGCCAGTTAAGGGGTTAAATATTAGTGGCCACTATAGAGGTCTAAGTGCTACTACTAGACAACTAAAAATTTCAGTGACCACTTTAGGGGTCAATGGATCAACATAACTGATCTAATCTGTTTGTTTAAAAATTATCAGAGTTACTGGAAGGAATATTGGATGAAAAACTACTTAAGTGGCCACTAAATAGAGAGCTTTCATAGTGGCCTCTTCAGTGTCCTCTCCAAGTTATCCTTGGCGAGCCTTAGGGGCCACTAAAAAGTAAAATATAATCCTCGAAACCCCCTAAAATGAGCTTTGAGTTTTTCTTTTCCGAAAAGTACGGAGGTTAGGCCGGTTGAAAAATTTTTAACCTGGAAAATCAAAGAGTTTTGTGAAAAATTTTCCTACCTTGTTAGCTCTATTCAACTTCAAAATGTTAAAATGATCATCTGGGGAAATTTTTTGATTCGTTCAATGAAAATTTTGTAACAGGCAATCTCAGAAAACAGCTCCCTGAAACAGGAAAACAAACTATCTTCTAAGCTCAATAAAAAGCGGAAAAAAGGCTTTAAAATTTGAAGAAAATTCTGAAAAACTGCTTTTTGTAAACATTCCTCTACAAAGCCGCTGTGAAAACCCGATTAAAATCAACTTTTTGAGATTTTTCTGTACGTTTTGATGGACTTTTTTGGGGCTTCGAATTTTCTCAGTACTAATCCCTATATTCACTTAAAACAGAATTTTGGATCTTTGTAATGAAATTTTAATATTACTCCTTGATTTTTTTCAGTATAACACCTCAAAAACCGACCAGAAATCCTCCTATCATCGTCCAACGTGACTCCGCCCAGAAGATGAGTCATTCCGCCGCTGTCGAACTGAATCGCGTCGGAAATCTGGCCCAGCGTCATCTCGTCAATCGATCGGTTCAGGAAAGACCGATCCGAAACCAGCAACAGCTTGAACATCTCCACCAACGGGTTCGAGACGCAGATCTCGTCGGGCCTGATAACATTTGAAGATGACATTACAGATTCAAGGAGGATTTATAAGTCAATTTCATGTTGGAGAGCAATATTCCGCCAGAGCGATCCCTAAAGGGGCAGTCTTAGGACCCCTATAGGGATCACCTTATCTATCTTGCAAGTAGCACAAAAACGGAAAAGCTCAATTCTCTCCGTCTATATTTGAGCTCAAATGATGGTCCCCGAGAAGAGAGAAAACCGTCAAAATGTTTGTCCCCTCATGTCAAACGGCTCAATCTTTTGGTCGAGTCGTTTTTTTTTGTAAGGGCAGTAGTCAATCAAAAGTTCAGATCAAATATACGGGTGAACACTTTTTCTCGCTGATTTTCTTTTTTGAAGAAGAAAAAGGGAAAATGTTTAGTGAAGCCCTTTTAAAAGCTCAAAAAAAGCTTCTTCAAGGGTGAAACTTTTTGATTATATCTCCTATATTTTATATACAGTACTGGCCATAAAAGGTATTTCAAAGTGGTTATTCGAGCATAACTTCTTTAAAAAGTGGCTCAAATGGCTTGAAACTTTGCAAAAATTTTAAATAGCTACGCAGTAACTTTTTCCCAAAAAACAAAACTTCAGAGGTTTCAAAATCGGTCCTAGTGAAGTTAGTGAGTTCTGGAGAGCAGATAAAGTGAGAAAGCTGAAGAAATCAGTGTAAAACTATTTTTGAGGGTGTTTCAAAAATTTTTTTCAACATGATACAGGGTGTTCTCAAAACAAAAAAATGACCTCGTATAGTCCATTTGAATGAGGAGGCTTCAAAACGCAAGGGCCTTTCGAAGAAAAAGTCACTACGCTCTTACTATCGGGTTGGTGAGGGGCTGATTAGGTTTTTTGGAAAGCCGAAGACTTGTTTTACTGGGGAAAAAGTTTCTGGTTCGAAAACGAAGTTTCTTTGAAAATATGATTTTTTTCGAATCTCAAGAGAAAAAAATCTTGATTTTCACGATTTTTTTGGTTTTTGCTCTCAAATCCGGTCTGACTTGAGCAAACAATTTTTACTTGGGAAAAAGTTACTGCGTAGCTATTTAAAAATTTTTGCAAAGTTTCAAGCTATTTGAGCCACTTTCAAAGAAGTTATGCTCGAATAACCACTTTGAAATACCTTTATGGCCAGTACTGTATTAGATGTCAAAACCTATAGAATAAAAACATATAAAAAAATCATCGAGCTTCGAAAAATAAAAAAATCCCCAAAAATTTTTTTCTCAAACACGAGCCGTTTTGTTGAATTCAATGGGGGTTTAAACATTGACAAATTTTTGTGAATACTTCCTGAAATTTCTTAAATTTCAGGTACAAGAGGCTTTTAAAAAAAGGATAAAAAAACGATTTTCAAGATGTATCCGTCATCTTATGTGTTTTGGAGGCAGAAAAGAGGTGTTTATAAATATTTCTTCGAAGATGCTGACTGAATAACTTCCCCCTTTTTTTCTTTAAGACCCCCTGATTCTAGAACAGAAAAAAATTTCTCGCGAAATTCCGAGTTTTTAAGCTTCAAAGTGTGCAAAATACGCAAATTAGTCCAAAAAAGCGCTATTTCGGGCTTTTGAAGTGTCCTAACTCGAAAACGAGATCTATCGCGAGAAATTTTATTCTTGTTCTGGAATCAGGAGGTCCTAAAGAACACTTCAGCAAAGTTTCATTAAAAGTTAAAGGGGAGGGGTCAAACTGCTCAATATGATTATTAAATAAACTTTTTCAACCTGTTCAAAGTTCCTTTTTTCAAATCCCAACGAAATGAACAGTTTTCACAACTTTTCGAAAAAAAAATTTAATTTTTGAAACATTCTCCCTCAAAGATCAATCCAACCCAGCCATTTTTGATGTATCGCCCGGCGGCTTTCGGGCTCTAAAACGTGCATGTTGACACGACAAACAGGTCTGTATAGCTGGCAAGAGTCCAAGCTTTCGGCTTCGACTTTTCGAGAGCCTTTTGGCGGATCCTCCGCCGCAAGGCTTCATCTCGAAATTCTTTTAAGGGGCAGTAGATATTTCGAAAGCTATCATTTTGAGCAGAAAAAGAAAAATTTAGAATAGATCTTGATGTAGAGGTTTCGAATATCTGCTTCAAATTGCTCAAGACTTCTTACTTTCGAAAAAAAAACTGATATTGGAAACCGGACGCGTTTTTTTCAACAGAACAGAAGAAATAACCGAAAAAAGTACTTGTTTTCTCAAAAAATAGATCAAAAAAACAATTACTCTACAATTGCGAACCACTAGAAGTGAGTTTTTTTACTGTCCCTATGCTTGTTGATATACGGATCTATAGAAAAAAACATTTTTTTCTACATTCTTGGTCCTACAGAAGCGATTTTTTTACTGTCCCTGTGCCTTCAAAAAATTAGAATTCACTACAAAAATTACAAGCATAAAAAAACTTTCAAACCCCCCTCCACTACAAAAAAATACAAGCATAAAAAAACTCAAATTCAAGTCCCCCACCTATAAAATTATGAGCATAAAACTCAAGCTTCCCCCTCTCCCAACAACAAAAAAATACAAGCATGAAAGTTCAAGCCCACCCCCCCCACTACAAAAATTACAAGCATAAAAAAACTTTCAAACCCCCCTCCACTACAAAAAAATACGAGCATAAAAAAACTCAAATTCAAGTCCCCCACCTATAAAATTATGAGCATAAAACTCAAGCTTCCCCCTCTCCCAACAACAAAAAAATACAAGCATAAAAAAACTCAAGTCTCCCCCTACAAAAGTACAAGCATAAAAAAACTTAATCCCCCTTATTACAAAAAAATACAAGCATGAAAGTTCAAGCCCACCCCCCACTACGAAAAATACAAGCATAGAAACTCGAACGCCTCTCCCCCTTAGAAGCAAATTCACCCTTCAAACGCGTTTTTTTCTCGGGAAACTAGCAAGTTTAATGTAATTTCAAGTAGATATTCTGATCCACGACAAAAATTGCTACCCTACAGTTTCAACCCCCCTTTTTTTCCTGTCCCTATGCCTTTACAAGGAGGAAGTTTTGCCGAGGAGGTTTCGGTTCAACGACAACGATGACCAAGACGACGACGTCTGTTGACTTTTGGGATGGCTTGGAGGTCGGCGGAGGGGATTACGCCCCAGGGTTTCCCCGGGGGACAACGAGGCTGATTGTTGCGAGGTACATTGGGCATTGTGTCTCCAGCCGCCCGTTTACATTAAAAATAGGTTCAGTTCGTGGAATGGATGTAGTTTGGTACTTGTAAGATTAAAGTAAATGCGTAGTTTGAACATCAATAATTATTTAAAAACAGCTATTTAAGGACAAGGTTTGAAAAAGTAAACTTCATAGGGAAATGGAAATTTTAATAAAATCCACAACTTGAATCAATATCGAGTCCCAGTTTACTGTACGAAAGTTGGGATAATAGGAAAACTTTTAGTGACCACTATAGGGTTTTGACATTTTAGTGCCCACTATAGTAGTCAATTTAGTGGCCACGTAAGGGGTTAAAGATTAGTGGCCACTATAGAGGTCTCAGTGCTACTACTAGACCACTAAAAGTTTTAGTGGCCACTTTAGGGGTCCGTGGATCAACACAACTGGTCCAATATGCTTGTTATAAAATTATCAGAGTTAGTGGAAGGAATACTGGATGAAACACTACTTCAGTGGCCACTAAAACGGAAAATAGAGGCCACTATAGAGAAGAGTTTAGTGGCCACTTTAGTGTCCTCTCCAAGTAGTCCTTGGCGAGCCTCTATAGTGACTACTAAAAATTTTCCCAGAATCGCAAAAAATCACCGAAAATCAAAGAAATCCTCCCGTAAATATCCAAAAAATCGCATTAAAAAGACTGATTTTCAAAATAGTTCCCTGTTCTTCAAAACTCTCAAAAAAAAAAAAACTCACGTCGTCATGTTGGGGTTGAACAACGTGTGAAGAGCCTTGCTGAATTCTGGCGGAATCGGAAATTTCACGCAAATACTCGGATAATTAATCCGTCGGTCTTCTTCGTCCTCCACGGTCAGCGACTGAAAATTTAAACTGATTTTAAAAAAAAACTGAATTTTCCTTTGAAAATGCTACTAACAAGGAAAGTCATTTTATTTTGCGCTTGGGAATTTTTCGAAAATTGGTCAGAACACTTCTTGATGTGTCAGAAGATGATCCTGAAAGTCTCAACCTGCATAATTTCTTAGTTTTTGATAAATAGGGACTCAGCCCGAAAATAGCCCATTTTGAGGCAATTTGAGGGTTTTCACTGACTTTGAGCCCTAATTTCTTAAAAACTAAAAAGTTATGCAGGTTGAGACTTTCAGAACTTTCTTTTAGTACATCAAGGAGTGTTCCAGTCATTTTTCAGGCAACTCTTTTCAGGCAAACCTCGAAAAAAATCTTATTAAAACTGTTTTTTCCAAATTTCTCGCTCTCTTTTTTTTCCTTTTTTTTTAGCAATGTGAAAAAAATCCCAAAATTTATTAAAAAAGTCTCAAGAAACATCAAAGTCATGAAAATGCGACACTTTCGTTTGCTAGGAGTGAAATCTTGTCTTGAAACTCTAGAAATCTAATTAGATTCATTTTTTTCTTGGCTTAATAAGTTAAATAGGAAGCTCAGAGTGTCAGAAATCAGGAAAGTCAGTAAATTTTTAATAAAGTTCAAAAATAATCGTGAATATATCAAAAACCAAAATGTGTTAGGACCTGAAGAAACCTCAAAAAAACTTAATCGTCAAATTTATAAGATCATTTTTCAGATATATGAGCTCCTGGGCGTCAAATCTCTTTCTCATATGGAAGAGGACACGATTAGAAGTTTTAAAATGTTGATTTTTACCTCAATCTGAGCAATTTCAATGGAGTTATGATTTTTTTTTCGGAGTTTTATTTTATTCATTTTTCAAAAACAAATTTTTTTCAGATTGCTAAGGTTCTGAAAATCTAGTCTCTTCTTATGGAGAAGTGACCACATTGAAAATATCACAGCAGTAGATTTTTTCCGAATCTGAGCATTTTGACTGGAGTTATGATGTTTCGAAGTTTGATTTTCATCACTCATTCATTCATTCAAAACTTGCCATAAAAATCGATTTTTTAATATTTTCAAGGAGTCTCAGAATCTAATCATCAGTACGTTTAAAAAAAAAACTGAAAACTTGAAAAAATAGCTTGAAATTCCCTCTAAATCTAAGAGAAACCGACCTGAACAACTGTCCAGAGCTGCATGGCGGCGTGCATAACCAGAGGATTCAGAATATCTTCGTCGTCGTCTCGATGCGTCACGATTATGTAGCCGGCACGTCTGATGTCGTACCTTCAAAAATTGTCGTTCAGAAACCAAAGTAATTTAATTTTTTTGAGCTCAAAGTTTGGTTTACGATCTTTTCCTGCGTGTTTTCACGACTTGAAACTACTTTTTTTCTCTGCGCCCTCTTGGTCTCTCAGCGACTCTCTCAAGTTTACGTGCTATTTTCACGTTTCTCTGACCTCGCCGGTGAGGGAACAGAGAGACGCAGACAATCAACATTTCACTCAAGAAGCTTAGCACAAATCGATAAAAGTGAGAAAAATTCCAAAAAAAAAAATATTATATCAACAAAGAAACAGGGAGTACATATATCACATTAAAAACCTATTATTAATAACACGGTATAACCAAAAAACGACTTATTTTGAGCTCAAAGTTCGTAAACTAACTTATTTCCAGGGTTCCACTCAACAACTGCCTTGAAATAATTTAAAAACCTTTTAAAGGATTTGAAAACCTCCAAAAATCTTTTCTGAACCTTTTCAACTCTCCTAAACAACCCAGTACTTATAAACTCAATTTCTGGCATATTTTGACCGATTTTTGCTCAAAAATGTGGATTTTCTTCCATATTTTTTCTAGTTTTCACCTAAAAATTACCTTCTCGTCGCATAAAATGGATCAGAATCGTTGATATGAAAAAGTTCGTCGAGTTGTTTGAGTTCGGCTCTCGCTTGAGCGTCTGTGGGGGTGTAGAGTTCCAATTCATCCTGAAAGCTAGTCTTTTTCAAATTTCTAAAAGTCTCAATTCATCCATAAACTGAAAATTTGAAAAATAAAGGCTCAACTCGAAGAACGACTGTCAGAAAATAATCAAAATCACCTTCAGAAAGGCCTGTTGATGGTTGACAAGGCCTGTGGATAATGCAGCGCTGATGAACAGTGGAATGATGAAGAAGGGCCATGGATGCCGGACCACGACTCCACTGAAACAGTTTCAAAACTTGTAGAAAAATTTGAATTTATTCAGAACCCTTTTAATTCTCTTTTTACTGTACTTTACAGGAACAAAAATGTATTATAAGACTCTCTAAACATTCATTCTTGTTTATCACTTCCCTTGCACAATTCAAAATCTTCATAGGAAATCAAGCAACCTTTTCCTATCAAAAACGCTAAAAATAACATTGAAAAACCCTCTTCACGGGAAGTTTTGAGCTTTTCAGCATGGAAGTTTGAAAATTTTGTAATTTTTGGGTCGTTTTTACAAACTCTCTTTACATTAAAACTTTGAAGGTTTTCGGCATGGAATTTCGGAAAATTTGTATTTTTCAATGAAAAACGTTTTCGGAGCTCTTTGTAAAAGGTAAAATCAGTACAAATTTAATATATAAATACTTATTGCTCAGATTGAAAAATCTTCAGAAGGAACTTAGCAACACTTTCCAGCCATGAAACTCTAAAATTAGCCTTAAAAACTCTCTTTACATGGAAACTTATGGAAATATTGTAATTTTTTGTAGAAAACTTATCGGATCGTCTTTGAGCGGTAAAATTTCAATATTAGAAATACTTGTTGCTCAGATTAAAAACCTTCCGAAGGAATATGGCAATATGTTCCAACCGGGAACGCTACAATGATCATCTTAAAACCCTCCTTTTGGTAAAAATTTTGAGCTTTAGCTTGACATTTTTGTTTTTCTCAGAAAATCTTTTTGATCGCCTTCAATCCTTTTATAATCTACTTCAAAAGTCTTCAGAAGGAATATAGCAACATTTTCCGTCGCGAAAACTCTCAAACAAGCTTCTGCACGTGCACCGCCCTTTCCGTGTACAATTTGCACTTTTTCGGGGTCGAAAAAAGACGCGAGAGCAAGTCCATTAGGGCCGAGTTCAACTGTTTCTTTTCTTTTCTTTTTTCTGTTCACCTGTAGAGTCCGAAAAGGTGTGCGAAACGTCGTTCCACGCAGTCGATCCTCATCTCATCTACGTCTCATTGGCAGAACAGACCACCCACGAAAAATTCCCAAAAAAGGACTATTTGAGGACCATTGAAAAGGGCGGCGATTCGAAAACCGAATATTTGGGATCGGACCGAAAAGAAACAAAGAACACGAAAAAAACAACAACATTTGGTAGGATACGAGAGGACGATACAATGGTTACAGTCAACAAATATGGGGGGGAGGAGGAGGGAACGCGGCGGTAGTGTTGCGGGAGAGTCTCGACGAGGCATCTCATGTGTCAAATTCGGTATTTGTCGGGATTTTGCAAACAGCCGCCGATGTGCGGCGGCGAAGCACCCACAACACTGTCTGAACTCGCCCTCAGGCGGCTAAATTCGAACCGCGAAACGGGAGAATGTCCTTTGCATGAGCATCGACGGTTTGAAATGAGTTTGAAGCTCAGAAATTCCAGCAAAAGGATTTTTGGGCTGATCAGATCAAGAATTCAAAGTCAAATAGTGCCATTTTTTGAGAAACTATGTATGGACATCCAAAATCACTTTGCAATTTAATAACTCGAATTTTTTTTCACGAAAAGCTTGTGAACTGGTTTTTCAAGTAGTCCGGGAAAATTTGAAAGAAAAAAGGAGATTTGTCTTTTGAATAGGCATGAAAATAAAAGAACTGTAAATGAGCTTGAAACCAAAAAACTCCAAATTTCACAGCAAGGCTGGAGGACCAATCATACATGGGCAAATAAAGAATTCAATACGTCGGGGAGGTGAGAATGGCTTTTAAAAAAAGGTTGAAAAAGAAATATGATTTAAGAAAAAAAATAATAAAACTAGGCTGTTATATTACAAGAGATAGCTTTGACTTTAATTTTGTAAGACTCAGGAGAAGGTGTTCAAGGCTTTCAAGATTGGTCTGCTCATGTATGGAACCAATTTTTTCAAGTAACGTCAAAGATGACACGAAATTCTTGTTGTCAAACATTTTTCCTTTGAAAATTAGCGTTCAAATATAAAATATTTAGTGTCATTTGAAGGGGATCTTGATAGTTTCATAAGCTTCTTTCAAGCTGAATTTCGGCTGTAAATGACTGGAAAATTGGTTCAAATAGGCTATGAAAGGGCTTCATAAGCTTGCCATTGTCCTTCCAGGGTTATACTTCAAGTTCAAGCTGAATTTTGGTGATAAATGGCAAGAAAATGAGCTCAAAAAAGACTGATTAAGGCGCTTTTCCTATGCTTTTCAAGCTTTTTTTTTTCTTGAGCGTGTTCCTCTGACACTCTAGTGTAGTCTTCAAAACTCAAGGTCAGTTTTAAGAATACATTTCTAGAAAAATCATTCAAAAAGACTAATAAAAGCGCTTTGCTGAGCACAACTTCTTGTGATATCCTTCATCCTCAAGCCGATTTTTTGTGATATCTGGTCCGAAAAGTTGTTCTAAAACCCTTCGACGTTCTCCCATAAGCTTCCCTTTCTGACACTTAATAAAGCTATCATCCAAGTTTTGCGTTTTAATGATAACTGACAAGCAAAAGGGGTTTGAAATCGTCAACCAAAGGTGTTTTATTAAGCTCCTTTCTAAGACCTTCTTAGGATATTCTTCAACCTCAAGCCAAATTTCGGTGATACTGGTTAAGAAAAAAGAGTTTTAAAACCCTTCAACGTGCTCCCATAAGCTTCCCTTTCTGACACTTCATATAGCTATCATCCAAGTTTTGAGTTTTGGTGATAACTGGCAAGGCACAAGACGAGCTGGGCGGCGCGTGCGGCCGCCACTTGACTTCACACTTCCTCTTGACTTACGATCAGCACGTCCGCGGACGCTTCTTCACGGTATCAATCGGTCAAGGAGCGGCCGTCTGATATTCGAATGCAGAGGCATACAAACAGGAGAAGCTGATTGGAAAGATATCAGATGGGAAGGAAAAATAATGAGGTTCTTGGTTGCAGATCAACGAGTCCACTGATGGGAACATACGGAGAAAGTTCGGAGAGTTGAAACAGAGAAGTAAAAAAGCCGATTTCCAGATTTGAAGTTTATGATTGTATATAGAAGAGCCTGTTTGAGAAGATCAAGTTCAGCTTGGACAAATCAGATCGAAAATAAAAAAACAATTGGTTGAAAAAAAAAACTAAAATGTTTTGAGATCAGTTCAATGAGTTCAGAAGTTTGCCTCTAATTCAGAACCGGTAGTACTTTTTCTGAGCGTTGAAAGAAGCAGATTCAAAATTTTCATTTTAGCCATGGAAGTTGAGAACAGAAGACCCCAGAAAAAAAAACTCTAAAAATTCGAAAAAAAGAAGGAAATCATGAAAACCAGTCTCTTCTTTTGATTTTCCAAATGGAGATCGAAACTCCTAGGAGTAAAAAAAGATAATTCATGACACTTTCTTGTTGAAAGCTATATTTTTCAACCAGTAGAACCAATCTAAATTTCAATTTAGAAGACAATCATAAAAAATCAGTTGATTTTGGATATAAGGAAGTCCAAAAAAAGCAAAGTGTGAAAATTCGAAAATTTCACAGCAATCAGAGTGAAAAACCGCAGAATTCTGACTATTCTTTCCCCTCAAATACCCCATTTTTTCGTCCAAAAATCTTTCTCGAGCCAAATCCACGACGGAAGATGAAAAAATCACGTCCGGACAGCTCCAGAACATTGGAAAAGGGCTGAACAAACTGAAATCGGATAGTATAATGAAGTGGATGAGCAGAATCAAAGGGAAAAGCAAGGCGACAAGTTTTTTTTTGTCCGGAAGCATCGTCGGCGACTGGACATGGCGTCATTGAATGGCAAATGTTTGCGAGTCCAGAAATATGGAAAAGACACAAAAAAACACACGGGGAGACTCACGGACAGAACAGTTCTTTGACCTACATTTCACGTTGGGTTCCGGATTTTTGCGTCACAATTCATCGTCAAATATGGGTGGCTTGCAAGTGATATTATAGACCGGAAGGCGCATTTTTCGATATTTACAGAGCAAAAAGGCTCATTTCTCCACTTTTTTTTCTGGATTCTTCGGAAACGTATCTATTAGGTAGACCAATAGTTTCTCGCAACTGGACAAAAAAAAGCGATGAAACTTCTGAAAATGTCGGCAAATCTAGAATTTTGAAGTCTTCTGAGGTTCGCCTTTTTTGAAATAATCTATGAGACAGATCCAAGTTAAAAATGTTGCCAATATTTTCGAAATTTCAAAGTCAAAGTTTTATAAGACGTCCCAAAAAGCATAGGTAAAAAAATTTCTAAAGAAAAAAATTCAAAAAAATTTTTCACATTATTCAAAAATTTTTAAAATAATATTCGCCTCAAACTTCAGAAGTTTTCAGCTTCATGAAATTCAAAATATAGTGGTCCACCATCCCGAAAATAAAGATGAAAGTCAAAAATGAGAAAAATAACGGAAGAAAAGATGACAAAAATCGTAAAATGCCGCGAATAGGTTATCTGATAATAATCGAGTTCATCCATCAATCTTTATCATATCATATCGATCTTAAAGAAAAAAATATACAGTCGAAGGAAAAAATATTACCTAATATTAAAAATAAAAGAATTGAGCCTCCCCGCCAGGAATCGAGAACCTTTTTAAATCCAAAAATGCCAAAAAAAAAATCCACCCAAACAAAAGATCTTTTTTTTTTTCCGATATCGAAAAACTCGTTTTTCACCGTAACTTCTGCAAATCTAAAGTACGTTTATGACTCAGGATTCGATTCAAAGTTCTAGATCTGGAAGGTTCTGTCCAGCTCAGAGAATTTTTTTAAATCTCAGGAAGCTTCCTAAAAAAAATCCGTTTGAAGTATTTTACCAAATTCCAAACTTAGAGGCTGAGCACCGCGGAAATGTTGCTCAAAATCCAGAAACAGTAAAAAAAAAACTCCATCGGAAAAAAATTAGGACGAGACTGTGAAAAGGAGGATAAAATAGTATACAAGGCAAGAGGCTTCCTGAAAATCCAACATTCGTCTGGAATATTTTTCAAATACAAAACGAGGCTTAACTTCTTGAAAATCCTGCTGAAAGTTCAGAAACAGTAAAAAAAAAGCGAAGAAGAACAAGACTGCGAAAAGGGGGATAAAGTAGATGAATAGAACCTTAATAGGTAGTTTATGTGTTGTGGAAAGTTCGAAAGTATTTATAACTGCAAAATCCGTTGCTTCTAGTAACTGAAGCCTCTGGAACGCAAAATTTGCTTCAAAGCCTTTAGGAACTCGACTTTTCAAAGTTTATGAAAACATAAAGTCCCTACTGGAGTTTCTACCGAAAAAGAGTTTAAAGAAACAAAAAAGGAACAAAACTACGAAGAAGGGGATAAAGTAGTTGAGTAGAGGCTTAATCGGTCATTTTTTCTCCTGACGTTAGATCTTCTGATTGACACTGTTGAACAGAATTCACTACTGGAGTTACCACCCAAAATCAGAAAAAGTAAAAAAAAGCAACTCCATCGAAACAAAAGCACAAAACTGAGAAGTCACTACTGGAGTTTCTACCGAAATTCAAAAAAAGTCCAAAGTAACAAAAAAGAACAAGATTGAGATAAGGGTGTGAAGAAGATGAATAGAACCTTATTGGGACCAGAAATGCGCTTCAAAGTCTCATAAGAACTCCACTCTCCGAAGTTTTTGAAGACACAAAAGACACTACTGGTCTTACCACCAAAAATCAGAAGCATTAAAAAAGAAGCTCCATCGAAACAAAAGGCCAAAACTGCGAACAAGGGGATAAAGTAGTTGAGTAAAGGCTCAACCGGTCATTTTTTCTCCTGAGGTTGGACGATACACGATACTGTTAAACGGCGCCAGAACTCATTATTAAGTTTTTAAATTGAAATCTCGAAACAAAAAAAGCAACTCCATCGAAACAAAAGGACAAAACTGCGGGGATAAAATAATTATGTCGAGATTTAATCGGTCATTCTTCTTTTTTAATTTTAAGCTTGTGATAGGCTAGAAACAGTTGAAAAAAACCGAATGAATTTATATCCACAAAATCAGTTGCTTTTAGTAACTAAAGCTTCTTGAACCTAAAATTCAGCTTCCCAAAGTTTTTGAAGACATAAAAGACACTACTGGAGTTACCACCCAAAATCAAAAAAAAGCAAAAAAAAGCAACTCCATCGAAACAAAAGCCCAAAACTGCGAACAAGGGGATAAAGTAGTTAAGTAGAGGCTTAATCGGTTGACATTTTTGAGTCGGTTCTCGACTTTCCGCAAGACACGGGAGGGGGGCCGCCGCTGGACAGAAACGAGACACAGTCCGGAGGCGGTTGCGAATTGTGCGAAGAAGTTGTTTGTTCTGGTCAACTTGGCCTCGTCGTTCTCGGTGGGGGCGGAGCCCGTCTCCTCCCTCCAAAAACTCCAAAAAAGGACTTTCAGCTGTTTCTTCTGCAGATTAATAAAAAGAGGGCCCCGCAAAGGTCAGCACATTGTCGTTGTTGTTCCGTTCAGAGGTTGAACTAGAGGGGACGAGAAAAGATCAACTTTTGTTTGAACTCGAACCGTTTTTGTCTTTTTCTGTAAGACTTTGTCTTTGTTTCCTTTTTCGGGCTTGTACTTTTGGACTGCGTTTTGAGATTTCCTAAAAACTCTCAGAGGCTTCTAGGAGGACGATGAAGAAAAAAAGGCTTGAAATTTGTAAATTTTTCATAAATATTTTTCCTAATGCGTACCTTTTTTCTTAAAGCGACCTTCTTATTCAAATCCAGAATACTTCTTCATTATTTTTTTGATTTCTTGATAAAAATTCTGTATTTCCAATGTTTGCGTCCTTTTAGCTTCCTCCTCACTAGCTAAAAATAAATCATTAGAAAAACCGCAACGCGGCCGCGTCGCTTCAAAAGCGATTTTTTTAAGCCTCCGTGATAAAATTTAAAAAAAAAGTCTATTCACATTTTGAAAAAGTGGTCCAAAAATTTGATCAGGGTAGGTCCATCGAACTTTTCCAAGATTTAAAAATATACCTAAATTTTTTTTCTATAAAAGATACTTGAGAGATCTTATTGTTTATTGAGATTTATTTCTAGAGTGCTGTTGAAAAAAAATCGTAGAGCACCATTTTCTCTTATATTTTTCATCTCCTAGAATTCGAAAAAATTTAAGAACTTTCTGAAGTCTAAAAAAAAAGTCAGAACCTAATTCCACTCGAAAAACCATTTATTTCGACTAAAAAGCTTCGAAAACAATGCTTCCCAGGCTTCCGACTACACACTAGTATCGTCTTTCTTTCTTTTCTACCCTGTGCAGGTCACTATTCTTCACGTGGTCTTTCTAATTGCAGGTCAAAACACGGAATATGCTCAGGGCTAACGTAAGAAAAAATTGATGAATAGTAAAATTTAAAAACCGTTTCTAGGATTTTTTCGAAATGTACAGTTACCCTCATCTGGTGATCAAACAGTCATATTTTTTATAACAAAAACTTTTGATACACTGAAAAAAAAGCTAGAGCGCCTGGCTTCTCACAAGGGGGGTCATTTTACTTTGCAGTTCGGATTTTCCTGGCTAGAACCCTCCCCGATGTACTAAAAGAAAATTCTGAAGACCTCATTCTGCACAACTTTCTACTTTTCGAGAAAATTTCCAAGAAAACGCTCAAAATCCATAAAATGAGCTATTCCGGGGCTTTAGACCCTTATTTCTGGAAAACTAGGAAGTTTTGCAACTTGAGACTTTCCGAATCATCTTCTGGTACATCAAGGAGTGTTCTGACCAAATTTCAGGAAGTTCCCGATAGTAAAGTAAAATGACCTTCCCTGTCAGGGACCTCAATCTCAGGCTTGAAACTTCCAAAAAGAACGATCTAAACCGAAATTTACTAATTTTTTTTATAGCTTCTTCGAAAAAGAGTATTTTTTCTCTCAAAGGGAAACCAATTCTTTGTTTTCCTGTTCATAGGTTGAACTATGCGAAAAAGATCAACTACCGTCTTTTTTTGTTTGAACTTTTAAACCGTTCTCAATTTCGCTGTTCGACTCGGCTATTGTTTCCAACTTGCACTTTTGCTGTGGAGAACGGGTCTAACGGTGTTCCCGAAAAGGTTTTTCGAAAAAAAATCTTTTTCTTATTCTAGGACTTTTTATCTAACTTCATATGATTAACGAGAATTCATAAAGATCGCAAATGATCGAAGTGAAACGGAGAAAAACTTTGTCTACAAAAAACAGGAAAGCAAACTTTGAAGCAAGTTCATTATTTTTTATTTGCTAATTTCAAAAACTTTCGATAAATTTTTTTCAAAAAAATGTACTACCTAATGTTTTTTTGTATGGCAGTGAATAAACTATTATTATTATTATTGAAAGAGAGTTCACAGTGCGCTTGTTTTCCAAATTTTCCTCATTTTGATCGAATCTCCCATCTTAAATTTTCGGTTGACGAGTCATTTCATGTTCTTTTTGTAAAGCAAGGACCTATTTTTCGAAATTCTTCATTTTTTCTGTTATATCCACCCTTCAAATAATCGACTGAGTACATAATTCAAAAGAAATTTTATTTTAAGTTACTGGGAAAATGTTTAGTAGCCACTATAGGGTTTTGACGTTTTCAAATCAAATCAAATCAAAATGTTTATCAACCATCAAAATCAAAAAAAAAATCAAGAAAATTTTTAATGGCCACTTAAGGGGTTGAAAGTTAGTGACCACTATAGAGGTCTAAGTGCTACTACTAGACCGCATAAAAACTTAAGGGGCCACTCTAAGGGTCAATGGATCAACATAACTGATCTAATCTGTTTGTTCCAAAATTATCAGAGTTACTGGGAGGGATACTGGATGAAAAACTACTGAAGAGGCCACTAAACAACCTCTATAGTGGCCACTTTAGTGTCCTCTCCAAATAGTCCTTGGCGAACCTCTATAGTGGCCACTAGAAACTTTTCCCAGCACAAAAATTTCTGAAAAACAATCAGAACACTTCTCGATTTACCTGAACGCCCTCCCAGTTTTCGAGAAAGAAATGCTCAATTTTTCGAAAAATGCAATTTTAACTGCACTATAAATCAGAAGCTTATTTTCAAATTTTTAATTTTATCTGTTATATTTTCCCTTCAAAAGAATCAACCAAAGAAATGCCCTTTTTCCTCCGATTTTCAAGTCGAAAGGGGTCAAAGAACTGAAACAGCATGGATTATGTGATAACAAGGAGGAAAATCGGAGGGGAGCCAAAAGCGCCGCGGTTTGCAAACACCGCATGATTGTTGCAGAGAACTTTGCCCTCAAGCGCGAAAATATTTATTTTCCAAGGGTCTTTGCTTCGATATTTTGCTGATTGTATCTTTTTGAGGAAACACGAAACTACATAAAATGCCTTGAAAACTACTCTTTTTATAGAGATTTATAGTATCTTTGCTCCTTCGAAAAGTCCAGCAGAGTTTAGCTGAGAGAATGTAAAAAAAATAATAATGGAGCTTTTTGAACCAGAAAACATGCACAAAAATGAAAATGCTGTTTATAAAAAAGTAGATATTTCATTTCGAAAAACTTCTATCGATTCAGCGTTTTTTTGGGGTACAACAGAATCTTGTCTCATCAACTTGAAAAAGAAAAATCAAATTAAAAATACATTTTAACTTTCCGAGTGCTTGAAAATAGCAATTTTGAAGATGTTCTAGACTTTCGCAGAGCATTTCTATAAAATTTTTCAAGTCCGACGGCTTTTAGTGACCAGTTCTTGAACCAGAACTGTTTTTGCACACAAGAAAGCAAATAAGGTTGTTTGAAGAAGGACGAATGGGGTAATCCATTAGTCTATCAAAAACAGCTATTCTGAGGGAAACGACCAGTTTTCTAACCTAACTAGGGAAAGTTTTTACCCCCAGTTGAACTTTTGATAAAAAGTTCGTTGAAGTGTACTTTTAAGACCTCCTGATTCCAGAAAAAAAAAAAATTTCTCGCAATAGATCTTGTTTTCGAGTTAGGACACTTCAAAAGCCCGAAATAGCGTTTTTTTTTTGCCATAATTTGCTGACTTTGAAGCTCCATAATTCGAAAACGAGATTTTTCGCGAGAAATGCTTTTTCTTGTACTGGATTCAGGAGGTCCTAAAAGTACACTTCAGCAAGCAAAAATTTCAACCGGCGGGGGAGTAAAAAAACGTCCCTTGATAAGAATGAAATCAGGGCTTCAAGAGCTTTTTCCCTAGTAGAAAACTGATAATACTCAGATTCAAGTCAAAAAAAAGCCGAGAACGATGCCAAGAAAGACGAGAAAGGATGAACGAGCCCAGAAAGACAGAATGATTCCAGGGGCTGAAGTTGGAGGCCGAGTGGAGGCCTAAGGCCGCAAAAAAGATGTGCAAAGACGATTTTGACGTGTCGTCGCAACACAAAGACGCCTCATTTGCGAGCCCAACCCAAGGCAAACACCATATTTTATTTTTAATTCCCTTGCAATACGGTCAAGCGATCTGATTTTGGCCCCGAGGGTTATGAGATGTCATCTTTCGATTTGGGATCATAAAGCGATTTAAAAAGAAAAAAAAAATCGATAGTTTCATTTTATTCAACGCGATATTCGTCGGAAGAGGCGCTTTTTCTATTATTTATTCATTTATTTTACTTAATTTGGCGTGAATTTTTTTAAAATTAGTTCAGAACTGGTTTTAAAAGGAACTTATTGATGTCAGGTTCAAAGTAAATTAGGCCATTTCGAAATTCTCCAGGATCCCAAAAATAATATGGCTACCTTTAGACGCCAAAATCCATAATTTTTGAACTATTTGGTAATTTATGCTTAAAATTTTGAATTCGCGCGTAAAATCGCCATCTCGTTGTAGGACCCAATTTTTTTCACAGCTTCCGAAAATTTAAATATTGCGTATTTCGCGAAAATATTTCAAAGGGAAAAGGCGTCAATTTTGAAAAAAGCGTCAATTTTCGAGCCTACGGGCACGGCAACATGCAATAAAAAAATTTTTTTCTATAAAAAAACCTCGAATTTTTTTCGATCCTAGTCGTATAATCTACCTTTTTTTGATCCTTCTGAAGAACGTCGCCTTTTTGAGCCATCAATCAGTCTTCTGAAACAATAAAAATTTCTAAAAATTGAAGAGGAAACAAAAAAATCAGCAAAAAGTTATCATTTTAAACGTTCATACTTTTAAACTGAGTAAGCGTCTTATCTAAAATTTTCGTGAATTCTATCTTCATTTCTATCTTACATCGATCTTTCATGAGGTTCGCTTCCATTCAAACAGGGTTCTAAAAATAAAGCTCATGATTTTTTTGAAAAATTCTTATAAGTTTTTGTAAATAACACGTTTGCCCTAAATTCGAAGCATTGAGAAACTCAATTTCCCTTTTGAACTGATATAACAACAAGTTTGACAATAAAAGGGTAAATTTGGAATGGAAAAGATGAGAAACTGTGAAAAAACATTTTTGAATAAAAAAATTGGAAAATCCCTCCGATGAATACTTCGCATTGGTGCGCACTTTTCCATTTTCGTTGATATTTAATTTTTATCGACTTTTTTTATTATTTCTTATCTCTCTTTTATTGTCTTTGTTATGCCGTGTTCAAAGTAATTTCCGCGAAATGAAAATTTGTCTCTGGCTCTCTAAAAGCTAGTTATATTTTTCTTTATCAAACGATTATTTTGCATTTCGCGGAATCACTTTGTAAACGGCATAAGATTTACGAATACGAAATTTATAGGCTAGATAAGTCTTTTTTTGAAGTTTTTATTGCCATCAAAGTTTTCTTTCACTTTATTTTTTATTCACACTTCTTCTGTGAGCAATTGAAGTAAAAACAGACTTTAAAGAAATATAATTTACATTGAGAAACCGCGAAACCTTCCATCCTGTCAATCAAAGCTGATAACCGGCAATTTTCCCTTCATTTTTGCAGTTCTTCATCGTCGGATAACAGATTGCCGGAGCGCTATCGATGCACTTTACGGCTGGAAAGAGCGCCCACAAACAGTTCCGCAGTGAGAAGATCGACTTCTGAGGAATCCGACATCTCTTCTTTGTGCAACTCGGTGAATTAGAAATTATTTATAATTTGATAATAAATTCCAGATTTCAAATATTGTGACAAAAACGTTCTCGCGAGTTTCTTCAACAGTTACAGCGAGAAATGAGGATTTCTCGCCGCCAGGGGAACCACAAGCCGACCCGGAACGGAACTATTGCTTGGGAAGGTGAAATTCGGCCGAGATTACTTTTTAAGAGGATTTTAAAAATGCAGTCATTTAGAAAAAAAACATTGTTGAATGCTATTTTACATCCACTAAATCCCCAACAGTCGGCTCTTATCACTGCGCCCCTATTGCAAAAAACCGTGCCGCTTTTGCAGTAAACCACACCCAGTGGCCATTTGCCGCCTCAGGCACTGGTGCGCGCACGCGCGGGGGTACTGATTCTTTTTTCGCCTTTTCCACTGAAATACGGTTTTGAAATATATTTTTTATATTTTTGTGATACTACCCAGTGCTCCTGCTCACGTTTTAAAGTTGTTCTTACTTTCAAACAAATTTATGAAAAAAATTGCCGAGTGAAACTTTGATATTTCAAATTTTTTTGTGCAATCTAATTGTTATAAACTGGTGCAGAGCAATGTTAAGAGATGAACAGACATGAAAAAAATATTGAATTTATAACTTTTCAATTAGTTAAAAAAAGCTAAAAAAACAAAAGAGACACCCGCGCGTGCGCGCAGCAGGCGGCGCGCATGCGCACTTTTTGGCAACAAACACGCGCCGTCAGTGCCTGAGGCCCATGAGATGCCTCTTTTTAATGATTTTGAAGAGAGTTTTATTGTGACAAATTTTATAATTACCAAAAAAAGCCTTACGAAACTTTAATAAATCAAGGATCAAAATTCAGGACTTTCGATGAAGCGACAAGATTCAACCAGCCACTTGCCCCAATGCGAAAAGTGACTTTCGATGCACTTCAGTCTGTCCAGGAGGTTTTTTTTTTCAATCGATAAATCAAAGTTATCATATATTTTCAGGTCCATGTCCTTTCACAAAATAGCACGTTTCCCAAGTGCTCCAGCCGTGGGACGAATAATCCCTGGAGAAGGTTTTTTGGATTATTTTAAGAAAAGGGGATTTTTTCAAGATACGGCGCGTTGAAAAAAATTTGCCAAGTTGGCGGATTTGCCCCGACGGGAGAATCGAGAACCCAGCGCAAAAATCGCATGGCTTTGGTTCATATCGAGGTATTTTCAGTGAGAATTGTTTCATTTTAAAATAACTCCGTTAAGTTTGATATTGCCCGTATGTGCCGTACTGAAAATTTTCAGGAACCTTCACATTGTATAAATTTTTCCTCGAATTGAAAAAGCTATAAAAAAATGATTATATGCCGAAATAAATGTACAAACATCTTCATAGCATTAAGAAAATGAATAATATCAGATTTTCGAATTTCTATCAATCTTAGAGAGCGGATCATGTCCAAAAATAGTGTCATAATGAAAAATACGCGAGTTTTTGGCGTTCGGAAGGTTAATTTTTGATTTCGAGTCATTTTTCGTTTCTTTTTCGCTCAAAAACAGCGCAAGGTCTGTTCGGAATTATTCAAATTCATCTCGGGAAAAAGAGAACAATTTTTTGACAATTTGAATTCGAGTCTAACAAGTCAAAAAATTGTGTAAAATTTTTAAGAGCGGTACGAATCCTCCACCGCCGCCGCCAACCTGTCAGATGACTTTGAATCGTGTCCGAGACAAGACTGGCAAAAAGTTGATCTTCTTTCATTTTTTTCAAAAAAACATTAAAATATAAAATTTCCAGCCAGTTGAACATACAATTGGAAATCGACAATCAAATGCAAGCCGAAGAATTGGCTTGCTCATTGGCTCAGCAAATCAAGGTCACTTTCTACATTTTTCAAGTTGAATGGACAAAAATTCAGGCCCATGTGATGGCTCAGGGTGAGAGTTGGACCAGAAAAGAGACGGCATACGATGATTCTTAGATTGATTTTTTTTGACCGAAATGAACGTTTTGAAAAGTTTGGTTTGAGCTCGAGAGGTTTTGAAATCAAATTTTGGAACCCAGAAAATCAATTTAATAATGTTTTTAATGGCTCATTACACCTTTGGACCAAACTTTGCAATCACTACACTTTTTTTCAGACTCTCACACTCGCATTGGAAAAAAAAAAAAATCACTTTTTTCCGCTAAAATATTCCTATATGAAGCTCAATCTTCATAAAAATTTCTGGAACTGGGTTTTTTATTCTCGATATTGAAATCTAACCAGTTTGTTATAAATGTTAGATATCAAAATTCCAGAAACTTTGAAACTTTGAAACTTTATTCAGTCTTCAGAGAAGGTACTCTGCTGAATCATGGAATAATTGAAGAGTTGTTCGTCGGTTTGCGAAACTGTCGTTGATCAAACGTAGACGGCGCGTAGAGCATCTCGTCTTTCTTGTGATAGTAGTAGACGACTTTCGAGCGTTTCCGACGATCACTGCTTCTCCATGTAGAAACGGTACGGCGCCCAGCTTGTCCAGGGCTGACGGGCGTCGGATTAAATCTCAGACGAGAGCGGAAAATGAAGACCGACCACTCGGGTGGTAGAAATGAGATAATTCCAGAAAATTTTTAAAAAGATTGAGCTGCAAACAAGAAAGTTGAGACCAAAAAAGTGTTCGTATCTTTTCTGACCCAACCGTTTTTTTCAGAATATATTGTTGTGCAAAATTCTTGTAAGTCAAACCCTCCTGAACAGTTCTTCAAACTATAGTGCTCCCTTATAACTATAGTGGTCCCCCAGGTAAAATAAGCTCGTGTAGAGGACGAAATAGTGCACCCTAGAGGGGTAAAAGTGGTCCTTGTAGGGGTTTAGGGTCTTACTCCCAAGCCCCCCAAGCTTGAGCGGTCCTTATAGTGATTTTTTGTGAGTTTGGAAAAACTTAATCAGTAAAACCAGATTCATTAATACTCTGTTGACGCTAACTTCTTCAATAATTTCCATAGAAATGCTTCTTCTCCTAGGGTTACAATAATTGACAAATGCTCCCCTATAGTGGCCACCTTTTCAAGCTTAAAGAGGAAGTATGGTGGTCCCTTGAGGGTAACCTACAAAAGCCTCTTTAGTGACCACTCTCGCTCACCAAAGCACGTCTTCCGCGCCTCCAAACGTGGCGGGAGACGCGACGCGGTTCTCAAGCCGCGTCGCAGCCGACAACACTCGTTTCTATCGGCAACAGCGTATCCCACGCTCTTTATTGCTTTTTTCCGCATTATGTTGCTTTGAAAAACGGAATGGACCTTTTGGACCTCTACCACGCGCATGACCTTTCCCTGGAAACCGAGTACGACGTCGAGTTCAAGAAGGAGGAAATCGTCTTCGACAATGAAGCTTCTACAAAACAGTCGACTCCAGAAGGAAAGAAGGTCAAGAAGCCGAAATTCGTCCCCTGGGAACCGTACAAGGCTGCTCCCAGTGCTGACAGGTACTTTTCGTCTTTTTGTTTTGTTTTTGTTTTTTATTTTTGGTTGAGTGTTTATCCAGCTGCTTTGGGTGTTTGGGCAATCAGTTGAGGAACGGTTTTGAAATCGATTTGTTTCGTGTGTTTTTTATACTTTTTTAAAAATTATTCCTATTGCTTGTTTGATGAAGAGCTTCAGAGTTGTTTGTAAGATAAATTTATTGATTTTCCAGTAACTTAAAATTTTTTAGTTGGAGATTTTCATAACTTAGTTCATTCTTCTTATAATAAATGCTATACAAAGCGATGTTTATTTGAAATTTTCGATATTTTGAATAATTCATCATTTATCTCTTGAGGGTCCCATTTGTGGTCTTTTTTTAAATGCACACATTTATCCTTGAAAAAAAGGCCCATTCTTTTTAAAGATCTTCTTTTTTTTCTTTTTTTCTTATTTTTCTTGCTGATCAAGAAAAGGAATCGAACTTATGACCTTCTGAATCCCATCTGGAAGCGAACTCCAATAGATTAAAGTCGCAAAAATATAAAAAAAATCACTAAAATGAGCTATTTTTTTTTAAAGGAGAGGCGAGTGTCCCGAGAAGCTGCCTCAGCTGATCGCCTACCCGAGCGAGAAGGTCCAGAAGATCAACAACAACAACGAGAACGAGGTGGAGACGAAGCGACTCGTCGACATGCGACGTCTCCGACAGGAGCAGTCCATCGACGAAGCTTCTCACACGGATAGGGTCAGTTTTTTTTAGGGTAACTGATTGAAAATTTCTTTAATAAGACCCTCCCCTATAACTTAAAATCACTATGTTAGTCTCTTTTACCTCTTAATTCCTCTTATTCTCTCGTACCTCTTAGTTTCTCTTATTCTCTCGTACTTCTTAGTTTCTCTCATTCTCTCGTACCTCTTAGTTTCTCTCATTCTCTCCTACCTCTTAGTTTCTCTTATTCTCTCGTACCTCTCAGTTTCTCTTATTCTCTCGTATCTCTTAGTCTCTTTTAGTCTCTCGTACCTCTTAGTTTCTCTTGTTCTCTCTTACCTCTCAGTTTCACTTATCTCTCGTACCTCTTAGTTTCTCTTATTTTCTCGTACCTCTTAGTTTCTCTTATTCTCTCGTACCTCTCAGTTTCTCTTATTCTCTCGTACCTCTTAGTCTCTTTTAGTCTCTCGTACCTCTTAGTTTCTCTTAGTCTCTCGTACCTCTCAATCTCTCTTAATCTCCTTAACTTGCTATTTTCACTCCTCATATTTCAATCAATTCAAATTTTTCTAACCTTCCCAAATTTCATCAACGAATACTGAATTTCTTTCCAGGAAATGCGGCTAGAAGACGAACTGAACAAGGTGCGAGAAGAGCTGACGATCGAGAAGAAGCTGAACCAAGAACTTCGAAGGTTAATGGTCGCAACTTTGAGCGATGAGCTCCAGGGACAAGTTGAGGCTCTGACGGAGGATAAGGTCCGGTTGGCTCATCGGGTCGATGAGTTTATGGAAAAGGTTTGTGAAGGAATCGAAGGGTTGGAAAAAATAAAGAAGAAACAGCATGGTTCCAAGGGACTTATGGACTTCAGAGTGATCCATTGAAGGTTCCCCTCTAGGGACCACTTTACCCACCCTTATAGGGAGCACTTTGGAATTACTAAAAAGAGATCCGCGCTTGAAAATCAATATTTATAGAAATAGCTTAATGGAATCAAATTTTTTTTTGACTTTTATCTTTCAAATACTCCCAGTTTCACTATCATTGAGTTTTTCCGATGGAAAATAATTTCCCTTTCCAAAATCTCTTAAATGAAACCCTGATATGCACTAGTAGAAGCTGAAATTCTATCAGTTATTGAAAAAAATAGTATTCAAAAAGTCCAGGAAGTTACCGGAAAAATTGAGCTTTATACAAGAAAAATTAGGATCAAGAAAGTATTTATTTTTTTTGAAAAAAATATTTTTTTAATGAAAAAAATTACCGTTTCCTAGGCCGTTTTTTTTGAGTTTCAACGGTTTTTTTCGAATAAAGTCGTAGCTCATCCCGCCACCCTGTTTTTAAAAATATAAACTTTTTTTGTAATATAAATCGAAAAACCTTTTTCATTCCCAGGCGCCTTCAAAGAATATAACCTATATAGATGATTAACGGCTGGCTTGAGCCATCGAGAAAAGGGTCCTGCCACGAAAAGAGACGAGACAGTGCCTGGTTGGAGGAGAGTGCAAACAGGCCACGCCTTTTTGCGTCCTAAGCTAGCCGTGAACCGTCTATAACAAGAAGAAACGGTTCTTTCAGCTGATGGCGGACAACGAAGAAGCGGAACGGCTTCGGATCGACTGCGACGTTTGGAAATGCAAGTTCCTGGCGCAGTCGATCCGCTGCGACGAGCTCAACGGCAAGAAGGAAGCTTTGCTCAGAGCTCTTCTCAATGCTCAGAGGATCGTCAGGGATTCAAAGTGAGATCATGTTATTTCGTTTTTGATTTCAAGGCTGAATGGTTGCAAATGTGATCTCAATGAACTATCACTTGATCTACGATTCAAGCTCTTTGAAACATTTTTGAAACAGAAAAGTGGCGAAAGCCGCGACGCGGCCCAAGGTCGGAATATCAGACCAGCTTTTGAAAAACACTCAAGTCAGTCATGCTTACAGTTTCAGTATCCGATCAAAAAGTTTTCACGTTTTCAACTAAAAATATTAACGTCAGATTTAAATAAAAAAATTTTTGATGGTATGAAAAAAACAGTTGCGAAAAATTCAAACGGCGACTTTTTCCGATTTTTTTCGTATCGCTAGGGAACTTTCCGAAGAATCTTTTTTTCGACTTTTTCTCGATAAAATCTTCGTTTTAAATCATCCTATATAAAGTAGGTAGTTGGTTCATGATTAAAACACAATGAAATAAGAAAAAAAAAATGTTAATAGATGTTTTATAAACCGAAAAATATATAGGAAAAAAAGTCGGAAAGTTCCCTAGCGATAGGAAAAAATCGGAAAAGTCATCTTTCGAATTTTTGACGGTCTTTTTTTCATCCCACCTAAAAAACACTCAAGCCAGTCATGTTTACAGTTTCAGTAACGGATCAAAAGTTTTCACGTTTGTATTCGAATAATAACGTTGGTTTTAAATGAGAAACCTTTAAAATTTTGAAACCAAAGGAAACCACTGGCTAAAAAAATAATTAAAGTTTTTATCTTTTCAATGAGCGTTTTATTCTTCGCGCGACCACCTGAGATTCAATATCGTATATTCTTTTCATGAATTTGATTTGAAACTTGTACCTTTTTTCGTCCCTTGTGAAGACTGTTTTTCCCCCAAGCCCTCTAGGGACCACTCTAGCGCTTCTAACTGAGCCTACATCTTATATCCTTTTTTTGAACTGAAACTTTTACTGAGCTTCTATATTTTTTTCCCCACAAATCAACTGAATGGCCATCCATTTTTCACTGAACTTCCACATTTTTTTTTTCAAAAAATAAGACTTTACCTTTCCAGCGCGACCACAGAAGAAGCCCTGACCTTCGCCTCGGCGGACCTCCAGCCACTGTTCGCCCGAACTCCTTGCGAAGATCGGGTCCGTCGGCCCGCCCCCCGGTTTTCCAACGTCACCGTCGCCTGCTGCAAATCCTGTGCTGGTCGTGAAATCATTCTACTGTAGGATACTGTATCATACATTGCTTTTTCACTTTGTCTAACTGGTTTTTTTCATTTTCTGATGGTTGTTACTTCCCTTCTCTTGTGATTGTCACTTTTATGGGTACGAGTCAGTATTTTGAATAGCATTGGCATTGATGAAACATTTTTATGGATTATAATAGCATGAAAAAAATACTCATAACATTAGAAAAAAATAGAAAATATTAAAAATCGAGTCAACGATTATTGGTTCTTTCTGGATTCAGTTGAAAAAAATATCATATTTAATTTTTTTGAATTTTTTTGAATTTTTTTTTTTTTTTAATTTTTCTTTCTAGTCATTTTTTTCCACACTGAAACTTTTCAAACTCCCATTTTTCCAGTCCTAAAAAGCCGCCGATAACTACGGTTTAATTTTTTTCCTGGATTCTTTTTTTGAATCTTAAAACTATCAGAACCAACTCTGAAACTTCTCAAAATCGAATTATAAAGTGAGGAAAAAAATGGCCAGTTAGAATAATTTATTATTTTATCTTCAAAATACCTTTAGAACCTTCCCAAGGCCTTTCCAAGGCTTTGTGGCTTTCATTTATTTTCCAAAATCTTCCCAAAACCTTCTCAGGATTCGCCTGGTCATAAAGAGACTAGAAAAGCCATCTCGAATTTTTTTTTAAATTTGAAACCTCTTTTCTAGCCTTTTTTTTCAAACTGAAACTTCTCAAACTCTAATTTTCCAGTCATAAAAAGCCGCCGGAACGGGTATTTTGGAGATAAATACGGTTATTAGGCTGGCGAAGGTCGCGCCGGGGTGATTGTTTTCGGCGTTCCGCCGCGACTTTTTGGCGCCACTCCTGCTTTTTTTCGTCTTTTTTCTGCCTCATCCGCGCCTCGGCAGCTGTGGGTTCTTTTTCGAAACGGCAGGTCAACAGAGAAGTTCTTTGGTGGCTTTTTCTTTTGTTTTATCGAGGTTGATCATTGGTGTGACTTTTCGGCGAGTGAACTTTGGACTTTTTTCTGTTGGTTTTTTTCCCTCCACATTGTAAAATGATAAAAAAGGACTTGTTAATCCAATTTTAAAAGAATAGTTCCTCGAAATTTTCGGAAGCTCAAAAAAATTTTGAAGCGGCTTTCTGAAGAAAAAAAAAATGATTTTGAAGTCCTTAAAAAATTCAAAAAAACTTAAAACTTCATGTGTATTCTTTTGACTTCAAAAGTGGAATTTTCAGGAAAAAAACTTTTTGGGAATCGGTTTTTTTGAAGAACTGAAACCATTCAAAAAGTCTTCTCAAATCGAACATTTTAAGTTCAAAAGATTAAAAATCAGCTTTTTAACAAATAAAACTGATATAAAGTTTCCAGAAAAAAATCAAATACATTTTCAACATCTTAGAAATTTTTTTATCTTTCCAAGGGACATTTTGGGGCACAAAAAACTTGAAAATCGACTTTTTGAAGAGCAAAAATATCAATTTTCTCCCAAAAAAATTCCTCAGAGAGCTTCTTCTAATACTCTCTCAATCACTAAACTCCTGAAAAACACGTCCCACTACTTTTTCTTCTGACTCCTTCTTCCTCGTCTCCCGATCCAATAACCGATTTTTGCGATCAGCTATCTCGGCGCCAAAGACCGGAAACAAAATCGTACATAATGACGATCGGAATCGTCATTTTTTTCAAGAGTCTGTCCATAATCATTTTTATCAGAGAAACTTCCTTTTCAGCCGATAATCTTGCCATTCTGCAACGATTAGCAAGTTGATCCTATTAGTTTTTTTTTTCTCTCGAGTCGATTTCCATATGATTTTTCCGTTTTGCGAAAGCACTTTCAATTTTGAAAATGGAGAAATAAAAACAATTTTTTTGAATCGATTTTAAAGAAGCTTTTGAAAAATCTCAAAAACTTTGAAGAGCGAAATAAATACGATTTCGATTTAATTTGAGAGTTTAAAAATTTTTTTCAGAATCAAAGATAAATAGAAAATCAAAAATCGTAAATTCCGAACTTTCAAAAAAATTATTCTTAGTTTCCAAATCAACCAAAAACCGGTAAAAAAATCTTTAGGAAAGTGGATTTTCTTCCAAATATCAAATTTTTTCGTTTTGGCAAGTAAAAACTGAAAAAAAGTCTCTTCACCTCTATCTTCGTAAAAATCGTCAAACGCGCTCCAGCGAACTAGGTATCTGATTGGCTCTCCCCGCCTACTTTCGATTTTCTTTTGCGGTAAAAACAGAAAAAAAGCTAATATATACGAAAAAAACGAAAAAAATGCTAAAAAAATTCATGAATTTTTCTGAAAAAAATTTCTGTAAACTCTCTCAATTTTGCACGCTATTTCCATCAAATTTAAGCTTTATCGAGAGAAATAACGTATTCCTCGAACTTCAGGAGCTTTCTGTGTCTGTTTCAAGTACTTTTATTTACTCTTTTACAAAAAAAAAATCCTAAAAACCAGCCCAAAACCCCTAGAAACGAAAATTGCAAGAAAAAAGGCCCAGGATCAGCTGGAACGATGCCAAATCGCCTCGCGCGGCTGGCACTCTGCCACGGCATAGAAACTTTTTTCAGTGCGCGCGGATCATTCGCGTCTGACCGTCTGGGGCTCTCCTCGAACTGCGCACTGTCTCGTCCCTCCAGGCCACGCCCATTCCGTTCCTTCGCACAGTGATAACCCAACAGCACCAACCCGTCGGCCATCGATTTTCAGGCCTTTTTTCTTGCAATTTTCTGTTTTTCTCTGGTTTCTACTAGGTGAAATTGATAGTTTTTGTGAAATTAAAGGCTTTCTGCAGCCAATTTCGACGGTAAATCGTGTCGAAGTTGTACTAAAAACGCTTTTTTTTCTTGCAATTTTCTCGTTTCTCGGGTTTTTATTCAGTGTAATTGATTTTTTTTAAATAAACTACATGTTTTTTTATTCGATAAAATCAACAGTTTTTCGAGATAATACAACTTTCTGAAGTAAACTGACAGCAAATCGTTCAGAAATTTCATTCCAATAGCTGAAAATTGTGTTCCTTTTTTCTATTTCTCTGATTAAAATTAATTCTCGCAGTTGATTACTTTAACTCAATGAATATTCAGCTGTTTATCGCCTTATTTAAACTTTTAATGAAACTGAAAGGTCATTTTCGCATCACATATTGTTTCGCAATTCTCAAAAAGCTGTTTGATAAACAAAAAAGGCATTTTTCCGAGGTCGATCAAGAAAAATCGTTCAATTTCTCAAAGAAAAAGAGTTTATCACTCATTTTTAAAACTTAGATTTTCTGCCAATTCGTTTTTTCGTTGAAAAATTAGAATTATTAACTTGATTAAAGAGAAAAAAATTTATTTGAAACCATTTTCTTTTTCTTCTGATTCTTCTCGACTTGGGCTTTTCGTTCATTCCTTCATGGGGTTTCCTTGCTAATTTCCATTCATATTCAAATTTTACTGTAATTTTATTTTTTTAAAAAGTTAGAGTAGTGAAAAATTACCCTGACTGCCAATTTGAATGAAAAAAATTAAAAAAAGAAATTCAATTTTTTTCGTTAAAAATTTTGTTTGAGACATCATTTTACGTGTGGAAAAAGGAAAAATAAACTATCAAAAATTGAGTAAGCTTTTAAAGAGTTTTTCTCTTTCAAGCAGCCTTCAAAAACGCAACATTCGTTCGAAAAACAATTTTTCTATATGAACGAAATTTTTCAAAAACTTCAGCATTATCATTTTTCCTCCATGGAGTACTAATTACTGAAATTTCCATATAATTTACTTTTTTTACTTATCCTCTACTTCAAAATTATGAACTTTTATTCTTATTTTCCATTAAATTTTTTTCCTTGTTTTCACAGCCACAGCATTCACTAAATGACTACACTTTTCATTTCAAATTTATCTTTTTTTTTTCAAAATCATCGGTATTCTCACTTTTTTGATGCCCTTTCCGGCGGCGAAAATCAACTCCGACTTATCAACTATTTGTCAGAATTTTTTCTTTTTCGATGAAGCCTTTTCCAACTTCATGATTCGGTTGAAAAAAAAAATCATTTTTGCCTCTAATTTCTGTTTATCGAATAAAACTACCAGAACCCAGTTCAGGCCATGTCAAGAAAACTTGGTTTTATAATGAATTTCACAAAAATCGCAAGACAAACGATGGACACAAATTTCTTTTCTCAACTTTTTTTTCCGGTTTGAGGATAAGGAAATTTTTAAAAATTATACACTGCTTCCAATAAGTTTCAAAGAAACGCTGTTCTTATCTTTTTTGAGCAGAATTTTTTCTTAGACCGTATGATTAGTTAAGATTTTTAAGCCACCGGCTGGGAGTTGCGGAATAGTAAAAATTCGCTTTTTTGAAGTAAATCTTCTAAAAATCATGTCGCTGTAACGATTCCTATTCAGTCCAGGCCATGTTCCAAGTTTCTAAAAGCCTCTTTTTTTAAGAAGTCTACCCAGTTGGGAAGCTAAGATTAATGAGAAGTATCCTTTTCATACAAACCACCTTACTACTACGGAAAATAGTATACCTCTCAAAACCAAGTCGCTTCAAAGAACACCACCAAGATCCAGTCCGGACCATGTTCCAAGTTTTAAAGAAACGTGCTATTTTCGACTGTCTTCTCCAAAAGAAGCCCATGTGACGGACGGTCCGACGAGGAACGTCGTCACCGGCGATCCAACACATCCATCACCTCCTCGGCCTGTCAGTCGCATCAGCTCCTTCGCTTGTCACCGTCGGCCCGAAAACCTCATGTTTTTTGCTTGGCTCTTCTCCTTTTTTTTGGTTCTTGTTCGCTCCGACTATCAGCATGAGCCATCAAAAGGAGGCCACACATACAGTTTTCGAAAAAAAGAAGAAAGGGGCGGATCCGGCAGTTTGGACCATTTTAAAGCGTCGCCAACCCCTTCTTCCGCAAAGCCTAACTAACTACCTAACAAGAGACCTTTTTTGGCAGTCGATTGAACTTCTGCTGTAACTAGCCTGAAGTGACTACCCTTGTTCCAAGCCAGAATAAACTTCTATCATCATAATTCTTTTTTCTGGCTCCCCCATTCCAAATTTTGCAGGCTACACGAACTTTGAAGGGTTTGAAGCTTTTGAATCCTCATTTAAAATAAAGTCTAATGCAAGAAATTTTCTTTTCTTGTTTTGAAATCAGGAGATCATATGATCTTCTTCAGTTCCACCATGGTCCATCGGCCAATAAAAATCCCGTGTAAAGTGAAACTTGAATTTATTTTCGTCAACACTACCTCGCTCACATGGAGATCTTTTTATCTAGCCCTTTGGAATTTTCTGTAAATTCGCTCAAAAATCTTCGATGGACTGGGAATAAAACCCACTGCCTGTGCAAACTATTATTTTTTTTTAATATGAATTTTTAAAGCTTCAGACCTAACTCTTGTTGAACGCGAAATTTGAAAGTTCATATCCCTAAAACTATAAATCCAAACAGATAACGACCACACGGTTTGATTCACAGTTCATTAAAAATTTATTTTAGCAAATTTACAGGTAAATCTAAAAGACTAGGTAAAAGGACACCCCATGGGATATAGTGCTTGACTTTATCCTTTCCTCCTGTTCTTCTTCTTCCTTTGTACCATTTGAAGGATCCTCAGTTGATTAGCCGAGGTCCTTTTCCGATATCCGTGATGGTCAGTGCACTGGCTCTAGTGACATATCTGTCCCTGTGTGAGCTGCGGATCACAGAGCCGTGGCTTCCCGCAAAACTAACCCCTTGGTTGAGCCGTGGTGGGGATCGAACTTGTGACCCTGTGGACCGTAGATAGGTCCACAACCTGTTGCGCTACAGTCGCATTTTAATTTAATATTAATTTTACGATATTCGTAACAACATCCCTCAAGTTCTTTACTCGTTTCGAAAGTAATTTCGCGGTTTGAGGCGACGCCGACGGCCGCTATGAGCTCCGACGCTTCCGTCGCCAGCTCCTCGGCTCCATTCTTCCCCGCCGACGCCGCCTCCTACGCGGACGCCTCCCACGGACTCATGGTGAGTCAGCTGTTTTTCCAACCTTGGCATCAAGATAACACGAGCCAAAAAATAAATTTACGATTCCATCGTATTAGGGAATCGAAGTTGATTGATTTAGACAACCAAAAGTACAAAATAGGTGCCTCGAAAAATCTTCAAAAAGCTTTTTCAACTCTTTCAACGGGGTTAAAGTTTTAAGAGAAGAAGTCACTGAAACTCCAAAAAGCTCAAGGAGAATCGCTACTTTTTTTAAAAATTAAAAAAATGCTACTCTCTTAAATCTTTCTACCCATTCTCTAAATGCCCATTCAACAGAACTTCCCGAATATCTCCAACATTTTCCAGAGCCTGTACCCCCAAATGACGGCGGGCTACCCGGCCAACCTGCTGTGCAGCATGCCCCCGCAGTACTTCAACTACTCGATGCCGGGCCAGGGGCTTCTCGGACCGGCGCCGGACGTTCAGTTCGCGTTCAACGCGGCCGCCGCCGCAGCCATGCCGAGTCACGCTTATCAGAGTTTGCTGCAACTGCCGACGGTGACTCACGCCGTCAGTCCGACTCCGGTCGCCTCGGCCTCCGCCTCTTCCAGTCATTCGATGACCAGCGCCGTCGACTCTTGCCAGCAGATCGCCCACGTCTTGCAGTGCTACCAGCAGGTCAACTATGTTATAATATTTTGTTCCCTTGTTCTATAGTCTGTGTACCACGACTTGAAATTTCACCAAACGACATTCCGCTGTTCCACTGCGTGCGTACGCGAAGCGTCTTTCGAATCTAGGTAACGCTTCCAAATGGTTGTTATTGCTGTGGCAGCCCATGGAAGTAGAGTACCTTTATAAAAGAAAAAAAGTTAAAAGCGCGACCAAGGTTCGCAAAGGCGCGAAGCGGCACAGCGGAACGTCGTTTGGTGAAATTCCAAGTCGTGGTACACAGGCTATACTATAAAGCCCCTCCAACTTTCATTTCCCAACATGGAAAAGATTCAGGGCGGAGAAGACACCGAGTTCGTCCGCAAAGCCATCGAGTCATTGGTGAAGAAGCTTAAAGACAAGCGGGTCGAGCTGGATGCTCTTATCACGGCTGTGACCTCAGCTGGCAAGCAGCCAACCTGCTGCGTTACTATCCAGGTAAGGATCTCACAAATAGTTATTTTTTTACCGTTTTATTTTGTTATTTCCGTTACTGTTTGTGACTTCATTACATAATGTTTTCTGTTGTGAACTTTTCCACCTTTTTCTGCTTTTCCTTGTTTTCTTTTAATCTTCTATTCACAAAGATATAGCCGATTTGATTGTCTGTCTGCGCTCTCCATAAACCAGGCACTATCTCTCTTCTTTTCGTGTCAGGACCCATTTTTGGGTGGCTCAAGTCATCCTTTCCATTCTCACGATTTCAAAGGTTTCGAACAACTTTTTTATTCTTTTCGCTGTGTTTTTATATTATTTCGAAACTTATCTGCCTTCTAGCTTGTCTTATATTTTTTCTTTTCAACATTTTTCATTATTTCCTTTCATTTTTAAGTTATAACTAATCATCCTCCTTGCTCTCCATACTTAAGCTCAGTATTCTTTTTTAAACATTATTTGAACAATCAGTGGTCTGTCTAATCATATTTTTCTCCTCTCTTGAAAATGTTTCTATTTCTATCCGACCTTATTTTTCTTTAAGAACATTTTTTTCATTATTTCCTTTTATTTCCAAGTTGTAACTGATCATCCTCCTTGAACTCCTCATACTTTAGCTCAATCGTTTTTTTCAGATTTTGAACAGCTTTTGTATAACTTTAGCTGTACTTGTTTTAGCTATTTTGAGCTTTTATTTTAAGATTTTTCTCCTCTCTTGAACATTTTTCAAACATTTTTCAAAGATACCTCGTTCAGCGCTCTCTCGACGGACGTCTACAAGTGGCGAATCGGAAAGGAGTCCCCCACGTCGTCTACGCCCGCATCTGGAGATGGCCCAACGTCAACAAGAACGAGCTGGTTGTGAGTTTCTACAAGATTCCTAGTTATTTTTAAGAAGTGCACAAAAAAAACCTAGTCTATGTCCGAATATTTATCAGTAATGCGCTATTTCCAGTCGAGGATAATTTGAATTTTTGAATTTTTCAAGCTTCAACTCACGAAATGTTCTAGAAACTGGCCCAATGCCAAACTCCATGCGATCATCAGGACCACATTTGCATCAACCCGTATCATTACGAGCGTGTCGTTTCTAGTGGGATGTCTTCTTTGGGTTAGCCCATCTGAAAATAAAAAAATCAATAATTTGATTTGAAGAAGTGAAAGGCCTGAACGTGGAGATGCCGACGGCGTTCAAGACGGCCCAATCTTCGGCGTCAGCCGCCTCTTCTGCTCCAGACTTTCTCGAGATGGACTTTGCCGACTCGGTTCAACACCAGGGTTCGTTTCTGAACATACAGAAATAATTTCGAGCATAAAATGTTCATGCAAAGAACCGTCATAGAGTGATGAACGTAACAGTTTTTTCGAAGGATGAGAGAATACGAAATTTCTCGGAGATTTCTGAACATTTTTTGGTGTTTTCAAAATTTAAGTGTACTCACTGGTTAGTTTAAAAAGTTCAAAAAATTCCAGATATTACGAAAATTTTGAATTTCGCGCGTAAAGGTCGCCATCAAAATGTAGAACCGAACTTTATTTTCACGGCTTTCAAATTATTTGAGATAAGTCGTTTGTTTTAATATTTATATTTATGAAAAAAAGAAAGGATAACTGTAAATGGTTTCAATTTTTGCATGGATCATTCTTAAAGAAAAATATGTCCAATTTGAAATCATCAAAATATCTCTCAACGTTCAGGAAAAGCTCTGTAAATTCCGAAAAAAAAGTCGAAAAGAAAAAAATGATCTTCTTTCGTATTCTGAACTATTTTGTTTATTATTTTCTAACTGTATGCAGTGAATAAACCTATGAAATTGAAATGATCAGTGAGGTCAAAAAGAGAGCGACGCTAGAAACTGGCGCCAAAAATGAACTCTGTTAAAAAATAGAGCAAAAACGCTGATTCCGATGTACATTTTGTAGCCCAAAAAAGAATTTTAAAACCCGCAGTTTGCAAAAAAAAAAAGTTTTAAAAAAGGTTTAAAGCGGAAAAATGAAAAATTTTCTCATCAGGACAGCTCACAGGGGGACTTCTGACTGAGACCATGTTTTCTAGATGTAGTTTTTTAAGCTGATTTCAGATCTAGTTTCAAAAGTTGCCCAATACGTCTGTGAAAAAAGTTAGAGTTTCTCAAAGTTCGAAAATTTCAGTGTCTCTGATTGAGCTTGATTTTGGGGGTATGTAGATTTAGCCCCTCTGGTCAATATTTATTTCGTCACATCAACTTTTTATACTTTTTTCAAACGGGAGTCAAATTTCAAACTTATTAACTTCAGGTTTTGGCGAATGGCCTCCGGGTAGCAGCAAGGAAATTTTCGGATGTGAGGGAAGACCTCAAACTTCTTGGAACTTCCCAAGTTCTTCTGGGTTTGCCAACCAGCAATTGCAGTTTCCGCAAATGAGTGAGTTTTTCTACAAGTTTTATAATTCTTCTTACAGAATACTTTTGAAAAAATATAATATAAAGGCTCTGATTGATATAATCTTCATGAAAAATATGGAAAAGTTTGCTTTTTAGGGGCTAGAAAACACCTTCGAAAAAATCCAGCTTCTCATGTTTTACAAGACTCACAGAGCTTCATACGAAAATTCACAGAATTTTTTTTTGATACCTGAACTTTTTGGGCCTTTTTTAAAGTTAAGTTTGTGATCTCAAAACCAGCAAGATTCATCACAAAACCACCCAAAATTCAATTTTTCAAAAATATTCATTTTTCAGTCGATCTCAACCAAATCGCTGTGCCTCCTTCTTCACAGCGTAAGTTCATTAAAATTTGAAAAATTCTCAAAAAAAAATTTGCAGCTCTGGAACACTGGTGCTCAATAATTTACTATGAACTCGACACGCAGATCGGCGAGACTTTCAAGGTTTTGGGATTATTTTGAAAATTGTTACATTTTTATGATTAAGGCCAGTACGACGAAACATCCAAAAGTGGTGGTGGATGGCGGAATGAATCCTCACAGTGAAAGGGCGGGAAGGTGAGTTCAAAATCATAAAAATAGTTCATTTCTCTCACAGAGAAGTAGCAAAAGTGGCCCCTACGGGGGCTTGCCAGTCGAGTATTGTTATGAACTTTATAAGAAGAAGCATCTCCATGCTAAAAATTAATCAAAAAAAAAAGCTTGGATGGACTTTGATAAAGCAAACTGAAGTTTCTGAGCATCAGGAGGGGTTAAGCCACTAAAGCGACCCCTAGATTTGCTCAGCGTTAGCATTACCGAGAAGTTCCGACAAAGTTTTTTTTGTAGTTCCCTTCATTTATTTGCTATGTAGGGAGCTATAAAAACGTTTTCGGAACTTTTCGGTAATTCTAACCGGACGCTAAGTAAGTTTAGGGGTTGCTTTAGTGACACCACTTAAGTGATCCCTTGAAACGTTCAGAAACTTCGGGTCGCGTCTGGTTTGCGTTATCGAAGTCCACCTAAGTTATTTTTCCTATAGGGGACACTTTTGCAAGCTTCAGGGGCCATTATAGTAGCTCGGACATTGGTAACGCGAAACGGACGTTTCTGGGCGATTCTAGGGTTCCTTAAGAGTGCTGAGGCTACTAAAGTGGTCACTAGAAATGCCCCGACACGTCCGATTCGCGTCCCGTTCGCGTTATAAAGGACCGAGAGGCGAAGAGGTCCCTAGAGGGGAATCTTCATAAGCCCCTATAGGAACTATTCTGATATTTTGCATTATTCCTTTTGCGAAGCGATCTAGCTTTGCCTTGGATATTTCAGAAGCACAAAAAAAAAATCTTATTACAGATTCTGCCTGGGAGCCTTATCCAACGTGCACCGGACCGAAGCCAGTGAAAAAGCCCGGATTCATATCGGATCCGGGATCGAACTGCACGCTCTACCCGACGGAAACGTCACACTTTCCTTCACGAGACCTTCAAACTCGCCGCCAAGTCGGTGCAAAATCTTTGTCCGCTCGGGATTTCTGGACTTTTGCCACGGGGTCGAGTACGGCAGTAAGGTTAGTGCTTTCGAAAAAAATCGAGTATTTTTTTCGTTTTATTCGAAATTGTATTTTTGTGAGGGGGGTGGAGCTTTGGAGAGAAGATCAAAAATTATAAAATTTTTTTGAATGATGATTTAATAAATCATACTTTTTTTCAGGTTCACCGGTTCACCGCCTCCAATCAGACGACGACGGTTTGAACAACTTTTTCAAACTAAATGAATTCTTTGATTTTATAGGTATTCGACTTGAGATGGGCCTTTATGCAGATGAACGCGAGAAGTAAGACTTCAAATGAAGCTGTTCGAGCTCAAGCCGCCGCGGTTGCTGGATATGTTCGCGCTCCACAGGTTCTTTTTCGTTTTTTCGACACTTACAAAGTGCAAAAATTGGAAAGAATCTACTTTAAAAAACCAACATGATGATAATAATTAAAAATTCATTTGTTTTAAATTTTGAAAACTGAATAAAATCAAGTAAAGTGGAACCTAATTGGTCATAAAAATTGAAATTCCAGTCAATAAAAAGTATCTAAACTCAAAAAGACATCTGAGCGATACTGGATCCACTAAACGTAGTTTCTCACGCTTAATTCGAATATGTGTCCAAAAATTGAATACGACTCTGAAAAAGTTCTAGGCCCTTGAATTTGAAAAAAAGGATTTACCAAATCTGTAGAAAATTTTTAAAGCAAAGTAACTTTGAAGATTCATATCTTGATTCAAGAATGTTTGAACGAAAAAAATAGTCCTAAAAATATTCAACCGTGAAAGAAGGTTCTATTGCTAAGAAAAACTTTAAAAAGTCGAAAAATTAGAAAAAAAAACTGCCAAGAATATTTTAAAAAACCCCGTTAAAAAAATGTATAATTGTTCATTTTTTTAGAAACTTTTTATATCACCTAACTGTTCTTCTGAATTTCAATATGGTCGCAAAAATTTTTTTTTTAATTTTAAATGGTTGAGAGGAGGAAAAAAGTGTATAGGAATTTTTTGCTCCTCAAAATCGAGTCTTTAATTATTGTAGTTTCGAAATTTTCCACAACCTTTTGTAAATTCAGAACTTGGAAATTTTCAAAACATCGGTTTTTTTTCGATGTCAAAAATGATATTATAAGTCTACCCTTCTAGGCTTATTAGACTCTGCAAGGCTCGAAAGTTTGATCGGTATTTAAATATTCTGACGGCGCGACGCCACACACACATACGGAATGGATAATTGGTTGCACACTTTGCCCGGAAATCATATTTTTGAAAAGAAAAAACGACGCGATTCAGATGTCGCTGAACGTGGTGCCGGACAGCGGCGTCGACCGGATGCGACGCGATTTCTGCACGATCGCGATATCGTTCGTCAAGGGTTGGGGCGATCAATATCATAGGAAAAGCATCAAGGTGAGGGAGAAGCGGAAGAAAAAGAACTTTGAAAAGATCAGTGAAAAGAACTTATTAGTCGAGTTAGTCAAGTGTATTTCGAAATTATCAGCATTGATAATAATAATAAGTTATTAACCCCTAGAGGGTTTATAAAATGCAAAAGAGGACATTTTAGAGTTCAAATGAACCTTGGAAAAAAAAGAATCTGGTTCATTAGCGAAGAGGTAACCCTTTGAAGAAGTTCTATTTTGAAAACGAATCAAGAAACAAAGTCAAGCCCAAAATCCTAAAAGCTCGAGGTTTTATACTCGGGGAAAAACTGAAAAGCAACTTAGTTTGAATCTCGAAAAGGTTGAAGGAACAAAAAACCAAAAAAAAAAAACGAAAACGAGAGATCAATGGCGGCCTGAAGAGACGCCAGAGAAATGAATATCTCTTTTTCTCTGGCGTCTCTTCTGATAGTCGTTGATCTCTCGCTTCATCTTAGAACTCTCTTTCTTTCTAAATCAACCTATAATTTTCTTCTTATGAACTCCAGAGTGTTCCCTATAGGGGCACACTTAGGGGTTCTTAGATGGTTCGTTATGGGCCTTAGGGGCTCTTAAAGGGTTCCTTCATAAGACCACTTTTTGTGGGCTGTTTTCCCTTAGAGACCGCTCTGAAATTCTTCAATAAAAAGTTCCAGGAAACCCCGTGTTGGATCGAGGTCCAACTCCACAGGCCCTTGCAACTGCTCGACCAGGTCTTGAAGTCCAGTGCTCCAATGTGAAAAACTCCCGATTTATATAAATATCTATACATAAACCCGCTCCTCACATTCTTTCTTCACTTTTCCCTACCGGTGTACATTTCGATTTACTTTCACCTTGTCCTTCTCTTCCCCCAGTGGCCATATGTCCGTGCGAATAAATTTCTTTGGAATGAATTGAAAACGGCATTTTGAGCTCAATTTGGGTGGATTTTTGAAAAATGACAGCTTCTAGGTGCATTGAAGTTGACTGGAATAAACGGGAAATTTATTTTTCTTTTTGAAAAAAAACAGACTTTTTCTTTCTAATTCTGTAGAAATTCAACGGAAATTTAAGAAAAAATTAATCTTGTAACCCTTACAAACTTCGAAACCCTAAAGTGATCCCTGTAGTGTCAACCTTAGGGGGGGCCCTTGAAAGTTCCCCTATAGGGAGCACTTTTTTGTCCCCTTGAGAGGCTGTTTTTTCCCTAATCCCTGAAGGGACCACTATGGCGTTTTTCCCAAGCAGTTCGAAACGAAAAAGTCCTTCTTTCTGTCGAAAAAAAATCAGAAAATTTCGAAATTTTGAAATTTTTCCCCTTTTCATATTGCTCTACGAGCTCTCCGTTTCTCGTAGAAATTGGTTTAACTACTAAAAATTTTTTATTCCTTTTTTTAAAAATCGGATTGAGATCACGCGAATTGGCTTTTCTACCGTACTTTGCGTGTACCTGGCCGATTAAAAAACCCATTTTTCCTGTTTTTAACATACAAACCCAATTTCTAACGATCTGAATATTGGTTTTTCAGTACCCGCTGAATGGAATAAGTCTGGAAAAATGGTCGAAAAGCCCAAATTTTAATTTCAAGCCTTCAAGGATTAAAAATTGCCTGTCTCAATTTTTCAATTTTTCCTCTTTGAAAATGAGAAAAATTCCATTTCAACACGCTTCTCAATCAAGCGAAACCACTCAAAAAGGAAGAAGAGGTCAGTCCCTTTCGGGGTAAAAAAAGGCGAGAAACTGATCGTCCGTCATCAATTTCCCACAAGTCTCATAACAATTGGCTCGTCGAACACAGCGCGTAAAAGGCCCCCAGGCGACGACGGTTTTACCCAAAAATGAGCGGAAAATAGGAAGGAGTTGCTCCGTCGAGCAGATTCCAACGACACCCTCGAGAATTGGCAACATCGGGCCACGCGGCGGCGGCGGCGACACTTTTGATTCACTCGAACCACTTCAAATATGCAAATCTCGACGGGCCAACTACATTTATTAGAACATTCTGTTGGGATGAAAAGTTGAAGCTTGAAATGGACTGACACGCGTGTGCGTGCGCGTCGCGGTCGACTTTCGAAAAAATTGTTAATAGTGAAAAACTTCAGGAAAAGTGAGCCCTATTTTTGTCAGAGGCCTTCCGGAAGAGGCCTACAAGGTCTACGATGGACTAGGAAAATTTTTAGTGACCCCTATAGGGTTTTGACGTTTTAGTGACCACTATAGTAGTCAACTAAATGGCCACTTAAGGGATTAAAAGTTAATGGCCACTATAGAAGTCTAAGTGCTGCTACTAGACCACCAAAAATTTTAGTGTCCACTTTAGGGGTCAATGGATCAGTATAACTGGTCCAATCTGTTTGTTTTATAATTATCAGAGCTACTGAAAGGAACACTGGAAAAACTACTTAAGTGACCGCTATAGAGGTGGGTCTAGTGGCCACTTTAGTGTCCTCTCCAAGTAGTCCTTGGGGAGCCTCTATAGTGGCCACTAAAAATTTTCCAGAAACCTGAATTTCAAATTTTTATAACATATTCCGGAGGCGAGCGGATCGCACATCAGTAGTATCAAATACGAATCTCATTTTCCAGAAACTTCTTAAATATCATTCGAACCACTTCAAATATGACTTCATTTATTAGAAAATTTTGTTGGGATGAAAAGTTGCGTCTGAAAACTTGGAAGCTTGGAATGGCTCAAGACGCGTGCGTGTCCGCGTCGCGGTCAGCTCTTGAAAGGATGATCATGAAAAAATTGGCAAAAATAAGAGGCGATTTTCTTCACAAGCGTCTACAGAAAAATATGAAGGTCAGCATTTTTGAGTGTTGTTAGACGCGTACGCGTTTGCGTTGCGGTCCTTTCAACAATTTTTTGAAATGGTATTATTTAATCCGATTTTTTTAGTAGAGCTTTTTCCCCAGAAGATTCTGTTCTTTTCATTCCGAAACCTGTAACTTCCGAGCAAAGATTCATTCCAACTGCAAAAAAAGGCCATTCTGAACGGCTCAAAGTAAAGCGGCCATTAACTTTGCGTGGCGTCGGGAACGACCCTTGGGACTCGGCTTAATTATTAAAAAGACCTTCCATCGCAAGAAGTTTCAAAGAGTCCGTCGAACGATTTTGAAAAAAAAAGTTCAGAGCCATAATTATCACCTTCAAGGGAGGATATGTCACTTTATTTTCTGGAATTCGCCCAGAACACTTCTGGATGTACCAGAAAAAAAGGATTCTGAAAGTCTCAACATGCAGAACTTTCTAGTTTTCGAGAAATAAGGGCTCAAAGCTCAAAAATGGCTGATTTTACCGGATTTTGAGGGTTTTCTTGGGCTTGGAGATGCTCTTCTGGCACACCAGGGAGTGTTCTCGAGATCGAAAACTAAGTTTTTTTTTTCATTATCCGTCTGACAGTCCATATGGATTCTCATAAGGCTCTTAACGTTAAGAAAAAAATTCAATTAAAACCGACACATATGTTCCCAAACTCTCCCTACATCTATTTCGTGAAATTTAGTACTTGTGTGTGAGAAATAAAACATTTTGATTTGAAAATAAAAATGATTTTTTTAAAATTACTGTGCAAAGTTGCTCTATGGGCAAACTTATTATAATCGTTTCGGAACAATTCTAGGGATCACTTAAGAGAGTTGGCCCCACTAAAGTGATCCCTAGAATACTCAGGAACGTCCGGGGTGCCTCACTAAGGTTCGAGTTTTTTTTTTTTCATTTTTCAGTTTTGAATTTTTTGAAAGTTTCCAATTAGGATAGGGCTGTTAAATATTTATCACAAAATGGTTTTTTTCATTCAAAAGCAGAATACGGTAATCAACGTTCTGTACACCGTTTCTTCGCTGTTCTGGCGGCTAGTTGAATTTACTTTTTCAGAAAAAATTCAAAAATTAGTGCAATATTTGTTTCAAAAATGACTTTTTGGGTTAAAAATGGACTACGGTAATCAACTTTCTGTACACCGTTGTTTTGGCGCGCGAAAACAAATCACTAAAATTTTACTTTTTCAAAGTAAATTTAAAAGTTAGTGCAATATTAGTCACAAAATGATTTTTGGGTAAAAAATAGATTACGGTATCCAACTTTCTGTAACACGATTTTTTGGCGCAAAGTCAAAAATTTCTCAAAAAATGCGACCTTTCTGCGATTTCGAACCCGGGAATGAGACTAAAGATGGACTTAACATCTCAAAAACCATGTTTAAATTGAAAATAAGCCTTGAAGGAACATTTACGGAAGAAGGAAGACGTCGTCCGAGAATGTCTAAAATCCAATCAAAATACTGCCAAGTGAATTATGGGCAACACAATAACGGGTTCAGGCCCACAACCGCCTGATGAACCTTGATAAATCGAGTTACCGACCCCTCGAGCCTCAAGCCATTTCTGCAGGAAAACATCCAAAAATATGATAAATTGAATGTTTTTTTTTCTTCCTGAAAATTGTTTTTGCAGAGGTAGATAAGCTCGGGAAATTTCCTGTAAAAAGCCGCACCTATAAAAACATTTTATGGGTTGTTTTACTACTGCGGACCTCGTCGAAAAAAAACATTTCCAATGTCTTTTTCAGATGCTTTCAGGGCGAGAAGGTTGTTCCAGTTGTGGAATAGGAAGCTTTTTCAAGAAGAACTTTGTTTTCTTGAAGAAATTTTTTTTTTTGAAAAGTCTGCTTCAAACGTCATTTATAAAAGCGTTCCGAGTATTTTCAATGATTATCTTTTGAAAAAGAAAAATTTTTACAGCCTAAAAATATAACTTTGAAAAAAAGTTCTGTTCTTCTGGAAGGTCCGAAAAAAAGAAGGTTGTTCCAGTTTCGAAATGGAAAGCTTAGAAGTAAAAAAACTCAAAGAAAATTTTAAAAAGTCAAAAAAATCTAGCTAAAAGAACCCAAATCCTAGGTAGTCCCAGGTATGACTATTCGGAAAAAAAAAATTTCTGCTAAGGGTACTAAGAAATAGCTTGTCGAAAATGTTCAGGAAAGCTCAAAAAAGGATTTTCTCGGTTTTTTGATTTTCGTAACGTCTACTGTTATTCACTACATCATGAAAAACACCAAAAAGTAACTTTTTCCACAGAAACTCCAAAAGACTTCGTTTTTGAGCTTTTTTTCAGTACATTTTCTAAAGGTATCATATTCGCAATTTCTTAAAAAAACCACTGAATTTTTTTAAAAAGGAGTGAACGAGATAAATTAACTCAAAAATGGAAAAATCATATTTTTTTAAAAATTGTTTTGAAACAGTTTTCTAAGTTCCCTGTTAAAAAAATGACTTCAAGAAGGTTTCAAAAGGATTCCGAACAAGTTTCAGGATAAGATTCCAAGAAAAATCAATTTATTTAAAAAAAGGTTAAAAAAATTCCTTATAAAGAGAGGTTCTAAAGAAAAACCAATCTCCTTCTCCAATATTTCCAAAAAAACCTAATTCCAAGATCATCATCTCTTTTTACAAAAAAATTCAATCTTTGAAAAAAATTTCGATGTCTTTAAACTTTCAAAAGTTCTGCTTGCTCTATTTCTTCCTAAGGCCTGAATTTAAAAACTTTATTTTTTTTCAAACTACTACGTAAAGCTAAATTTACTCTCTACGGACAGCATACTTTTGAAAATAGACTTCCAAAGAAGTTCAAAATTCATTCCAACCATTAAATTTTCAGAAATCTCCGTCCCGAGCTCAAAAGTCCTGTTTGGGACTTTTGAAATCTCGCCTTCCAGGTGCTGAAACTCTCTGGAGAAGTCCAAAAAAAAAGCAAAAATCGGAAAAAAAATCGGACTCTTTTCCAACCATCAAACCATTGATGATGCCAGTCCCAAGTTCAATGTTTGTCCCAAGCTCAAAAATCCTGCTCGGGACTTTTGAAATCTCCCCTTCCAGGTGCTGAAACTCCCCTCCACCTCTGGAAAAGTCTCAAAAACAGGCAAAAAAACGACTTTTTTCCAACCATCAGACCTTCGAAAAGTTCAGTCCCAAGCTCAGAATCCCGCTTGAGACTTTTTAAATCTCTTTTCTAGGTGCTGAAACTTCACTCCATCTCTGGAAAAGTCTCAAAAAGCGGAAAAAATGGGCTCTTTTCCAACCATCAGACTTTTGAAAATTTCAGTCCCACTTTCAATGTTTGTCCCAAGTACAATGTCATGCTTGGGACTTTTGAAATCTCCCCTTCCAGGTGCTGAAACTCTCTGGAAAAATCTCGAAAAATGGAAAAAATTTGGACTATTTTAAACCACTAAACTTTCGAAAGTATCAGTCCCAAGCTCAAAATTCCTGCTTGGGACTTTTTAAATCTCGATTTCCAGGCTCTCAAACTCTCTGTAAAAGTCCTTAAAAACCAGCAAAAACGGGCTCGTTGCCGTGCTCATCAACTTCAATTCTAGTGAAGCTAATCCGACACCCGCGAAAGCAAAGCGGGAGTAGTGAGATGGGGGGCGTGGCGAAATGGCCATCGAGAAGCGGCAGAAAGAAGAAGAAGCAGAAGCAGAAGAAGAAGAAGAAGCTTACAAGTGGGCAAAAGAGAGAGGAAACGGGAGGAGGCAAATGGGGGCGTGGCTCGGTCGGTCCGTTTCATTCAGTTTTTCGTCGCCGCACATGTAGTCGATGCGCAGCTGGACATGTCCGACGATCGTCCTGCTGATCGCGGTGGCGGTACTGCCCGGCAGGACCCGCGCCGCGCCCGCCATCTCCCTCGGCGACCTCGACGGCCCCGCCGACGTCTGCTATCCTGAGACGTTCGTTTCTTTTTTTCTTCTCCTGGTATTCTACTTTCTTTAACCTATTTTGAAGATTTTGAAAATAACAATCTACAAAAATCCGAAGTTTTTGAGAAACAAAAATCCAGAAAAATTCGAAATTTTTTCCAAAAGTCCCTTCTAGTAGGGTAATTTCGCTTTTTTCCAAAAGTTTTTTGAAACTGGACCAGGACCAGATGAAGATTTCGATTTCCCATACTCATTTTCACGGCCTTTTTTTCTAGATTTTACGAAAATTGGCCAGAAAATCCTTCAAAACTGTCGTTTCCAAGTAAATAATCTAATTAACAGCTTTTCGGTGATTTTCTCAGGCCTCTGCTCTTCAAATTTGGAAATTTTGACACTTTTATGACCACTTTCAGTTCTTTAAAATTGATTGAGCAAGTCTTTAGTGAAATCTCAACTGAAAAAAATAAAATTAAGACCTTCTTGAGATGTTTAAAGGCGCATAGACAAAAAGCTCAAAAAAAGGTCTCAGGACGGCTGGCAACTTTTTTTAGGATATTTTAGGTCATTTTAAGGTCATTTTTAATTTTCCTTATATCTTTATAACGAAAAAAATAATATTTTCAAAAATAGAGAACTCTATTTTTTCAGCTCAGAAGTTACTCCGCAGAAATTCAGTACCAAAAAAAAATTTTTTTTTGATTTTTCAAAATGGAATGGCTCACTTTTGACCTGATTAATTTTAATTTGAAAAAAACACGATTTAAAAAAATTTGGATTTTTTTCGATAAAAATGGAGGAAATTCGAAACAAAAATCATTTGAACTGTAAAAATCTGTTTTTTTGACAGGGCTGATAAAAATCTCATTTTTTTCATTGATTTTTTTCATTAATTTTTAATTTTATTCGCTCACTCGGATAAGTCGCGAAATGTCTTTTTTTATCCTATAGATTTTTTTCAAATTCGTCCCAAAAAAAGCCTTCAAAAATAAGCTAGCGCAGTTTGAATACTAATAAAATGCCTCAAAAATCTAATTTCTCTTTATTCTAGAAGCATATTCCAAGTTCTATCCTATTCTGACTTGAAAATAACTCTTTAATTATTTTTTTTTCTGGAAAAAAAGCATTTTTTTAAATAATTCTAGAAATTTACAAGAGCTTTTAAACTAAAATCGATAAAAAAAAAACTCGAAAATCAAAGTTCAAAGCTTTGAAAACGTTTCGTAACGTTCAAAGTCCGACGATTCCCTCGGAAATTGCTTCCAAATGTCGTAAAAACCTTTTCTAACACGGTTCCTAAGTGAATTAGGTTCAGTTAAAAAGTGCAAGGGAGTCCCGGGGGCTTCTCTCGGGCGTTATTTTCTAGTTCTTACACTTTTTACAATTTTTATAGCATTCACTTGAGATGGGTACCCCAAAAAAATTATATTTTAAATTCCATGATTTAAAAATTAACATTAAGTTCTCCCATCTCCAGTACTCCATATCGTAAATATATTGTAAAAAAACGAATTCTTTTTCGCTATTAAATCTTCATTGAAACAGTAAAGTCACGTTAAACTTGAAATTTAACAAGAAAAATGAACGAATTTCTTCCTACTATCCAATTTTTGATATTTTTTTCGCAAATGGCAAAAAAAGCTTTACCTTTATTTAAATCAACATCGTGAAAGGGAAAACGTGAAAAAAATCTTCCAATTGTGGAGAAATTTTCTCAAAAAAATCCCAGTTTAAATAAATTTTTTTAAATTACGAAATTGTTCAATGGACTTTTGTACTATTTTTCTCTAAAATTCAGGTTTTAGAAAAAAAGAATTAAAATTCAAAAATATGTTTAAAAAAATTGACAGAAGTTCATTTAAAACATTACCCATAAAAAAATATTCACTGAACTTTTTTTAAAAAAACTTGTAAGAAAAAAATTTACCTAATAAAACTGTTTCAGTCAGATTAAATAAGCAAACCTATTAATTTTACTCAATTCCAGTTTCACAAACAATCAGTATCAACAAAACTTCCAATTTTTCCTCGCAAATATTATTTTTTGCAAGAGTCGACTTGTTATTGCCATCATTTCTTTCCGCACGTCTCTTTTTTTTTGATTGTCATTTCATAATTGTCTTGTCCAGCTCGTTTTATTTCATGTGTAAGCAATAATTTTTTGAAAACTTCCAAGAAATACCCAATTTTAGAACTTGAGAACAAAAAACCAGCTGTTCTTTACGTTCCGCGTGAGCCAAAAGAGTTTTGGGAGCAAAAAAATGTGTGAAAAATCGGCTCAACCTCTTAACTCAAGTGCGCTCCACGGCTAAGTTCTTTGGACTTTTTGTGTTGGTTGATTTTTCTAGGAAATTTTCGAGAAATAATTGGCTTTTTGGAAAAATCTTACTGAAACAAAGTACGAAAAAAATTTCTATCAGTGAAAAATTGAAAAAAATATTAAAGAGGACCTTTGACAAAACTTGAAAAAAACGTTTAAAAAAACTAAAAATTTTTTTCCAAAAAAATTTGAATTTTTTTAATCGAGAAGAAATGAAAAAAATAAATCGAGCTCGAACCTATCGCCTAAAAAATCAAAAAAAAATCACGCATTGGTATTTTATAAAACTACTGAAACCGTGAAATGATGTTAAAAAGTGAAAATAGTCAAATTTTTTTTTTCAAAAGATTTTTCTGTTGCACTTTCATTGAGAATTAATTGAATGAAGTCAGAAAAAAATTTGATGTTTCAATAAGATTCGTCTAACTTTAAGTCTAAAAAGCCGATTTTTTTCAGGAGAAATTTTTTTTATTTTGTCATTTTTTTATCGATAACTTCCAGGATATTTCTTCGACCAAAACTCAAACATTCTCATTTTTATAAAACTTAAAAAGTTTTTTTATAATTTGATAAACTCCCAAAAGTTAATACCTTTAATTTAACCTGTTAACCTGTGACTTATTTTAGTTTTAACAAAAAACCAGAATTTCGAATTTCCAATCGATATGTCCAATTTTTATCGAAAATGAACATTTTTAGAAGTTGACTCTCTCACAATGTTCCTCTAGCCCATCAAAAAGACTTCTCGCCTATTTTCAGGAAATTCTGAAGTTTTAATTGAAATGACCTCCTTGTAACGAGGCTATTTTTAAAACTCAATTTCTCAAAAGAGCCTCGTTTCCTCCACTTTTGCTACTTCTCTCAACGGAAAAATGCAACGTTTCGAAACCTCGTTACATTTTTTTTTCCCCCGCAGTTAACTAGTGCAATTTCCCGTCCATTTCCGAGACAATATCCCTGAAGGAAAAAAAAGCTGCGAGAATGTGTGCTCCGTTGAGAAAAAGTGGGAAAAAAGAGCCGAAATTGCAATCGGAATGAACCGGCAAACTTTGGCGACGACGGGTTCTTTTTTTTCTGCCTTGCCCAATTTAGACTCGTCTTCTCAACTTGTTTTCTCGCAGAAAAAAAAGCTGCCGTTCTTTTTTCCATATTTTTGCCGAGGCAGAGGAAATTAGGAGATTTTTTCCGGGGGTTTTGGAAAACTCAAAATTGCGACTTTCTTTCAGGAAATTGAAAAAAAAGCTTCTTCTATACTATTTTCTTTTCTAAATAGGAAAATTGTGTACCAAAATGCTTCTTGAGCTTGGAAAAAAGCCCTTTCAACAACTAAATGGGAGAATTTTTAGTGGTCCCTATAGGGTTTTCTAGTTTTAGTTGCCATTATAGTAGTCAAATTTGTGGCCACTTAAGAAGTTAAAAATTAGTGGCCACTATAGGGGTCTAAGTGCTACTACTAGATCTCTAAAAATTTTAGTGGCCACTTTAGGGGTCAATGGATCAACATAACTGGTTCAATCTGTTCGTTTTAAAATTATTTACTGGAAGGAATACTGGATGAAAAACTACTGAAGTGGCCACTAAAACGGAAAACAGTGGCCACTATAGAGGTGGATTTAGTGGCCACTTTAGTGTCCTCTCCAAGTACTCCTTGGCGAGCCTCTATAGTGGCCACTAAAAAAATTTTTCCCACCTGCTCCAAAAAAAATTTTTTAATTTTTTTCATATTTTGCTAGAGTCTCAGATTAGATTTGTACCTTCAAAAATACACTTGAAGTTATTTTAAAAATTCTTTTTTTTAAATCTTGTTTTAACTCGAAAAAAACACAAGCAGTTTCAAATTTCACACGATTCAAGTCTGAATTTTTATAAAAATTTTTTTCCCTTTTTGATTTCTCTCTCACTATTCACTTTGTACGCTGATGAAAAAAACTTTTTACATTTTTTTCTTTTTTTGCAAATCGCTTTGCAAAAATTGAGCCGAATGTAAGATGAGAAGCTAGGGAGGGATCTTCTACAAAAAATGGCATTTTCTTTGAAAAAAAAAATCGGTCAGTGTTCCAAAAATGAGAAAAATTCACTGAACTTTAACCAGGGTCTTAAATTTGAATATAACTGAGACTCACTTGAAAAATTAACAAATGGAGAATAATTTTCGGCTTCTTTTTCTAAAAATTCAGCCCAAAATTGGCCTTTCCATCTTCTGATCCCACTTTTTTCCATTCCAACTTGTGTTCTATTTTTAAAATTTCCGCCTCCCACTCGAAAAATATCAGGAAAAGCACGCATAATGTCGCACTTTTCCCAGTTTCTCGAAGCCACATTGAAATTGCATGAAAAGGGCTCGAAATAATTGACTCCTCCAGGGTCAACGTTTCAAACTCGCGTGCCAGGGAGACGAAAGCCCGAAAAGAAAACCATTAATATGACGTCTTCCGATTTTTTTGAGCTTTGTGTAACATTTTTTTAGAGGGGGTAAAGGAAAAAGGTGGACAATTTTTTTGAAAAAAATTCTCTTTTAAAAATTCTAACCTTCAGATTCGACATGAAATCTCTGATAGATTTTTTTGAGCTGTTTTGTCTTTCATAGGACTTTATTTAGGGGGGTCGAGGAAAAAAACTAGAAAAAAATTCCAAGAAAGGTTACGATCTTTCCAAAAATCCTCTCTCGAACTCCTTAATTTTTTTGTTCCAATAAAATTCCTAACCAAGCTCTTAAGATTTTTTTCAAAAAAACTTCCCAAACACCATATTTCTATCCCAATTTTCCTCTCAACTTTAAAAATTATACTTCAAAAACACAAAAAAACCAATAATTTCTTGAGAAACTCCAATTTTCCAATCTCAATTTCAAGTCCAATGCGAATTTCAACGTTTAGCCTCAAGTTGAGGGGAAAATTCGAAAAACACTCGAAAATCAGATGTAAAAAGCGATGGAATTGAATTTGGCGTAAAGAACGGGCCAACGAACGAAATGGCCCGGAAATTAGGCAAGCCGCCAAACTCAAAAAAACTCACAACACATCCAAAAATCGTGGATAAGAAACAAAATATTATAGGAAGTATTGAGGAGATTTTTGAGCAAATGAAAAAATTTAGAGAAATCAGTTTTATACAGCAATATTATTTTTTTGCTTTTTATATTTCAAAGTGTAAGAAAACCAATAACTTCTTGGAAATAATCAACTTTTTTTGAGGGGGCAAAGTGGCCCTTAGTAGAGACCCTCCAAGGGTAGCCCCTATAGGGACCATTCTGGAATTCCTAAGTACTTGGTTAATCAAAAGCTCATAGGAATATTCCGAAAAAAAGTCCAAAAAAAATTTTTTTAAGCTGTAAGGTTAAAATAAATAATGGGCCTAAAACAGTGCAGAAAGTGACTGAAAAGGTTATTTCAAAGAAAAAGCGTGTAATGAGAAAAAATAAGTTTAAAAACCAGTTTTGATACATGGGAATAAGCAAACCATGACTTAATGAGCCCTAAAATTCCCCTTAATCGATTATTTTGAAATTTCAATGGAATCGAAGGACGGCGTCCTACCTTTGAGAAGTTTTAAAAATAAAAATGTTTTTTTTTTCAAGTGTAAAAAAAAAATCTATACAAAGCGCGCTATCATGCTGACCCGGGGCTCAACTTTTTTTCAAATATTTCAAAAATTTCCAATTTTGGCGTACCTCTAATCCCTCGAAGATCATCGAAAAGCATCACGTCTTCTATTTTTCGGCGCTTCGAACCAAAATAGCATCTGAAAGTTTTTTTCTAAATTTTTCGAAAGTGTACAAATATTTCGAGACAAAAAACCGACTAGAAAGAGATATATTGATTAAAACACTTTAGGAATCACTTCCCGAAGTAGAAATCAGAAATTTGAGAAGGAAAAAAATCAAAAGAAATGGGTGTTCACAAAATTCTTTTGGGACTTTTTTAAAGGACTGATAAAATTTTTAGTGACCACTTTAATGTTTTGACCTGTTAGTGGCCACTATAGTAGTCGAATTAATGTTCACTTAAGTGAAAAAAATTTATTGGCCTCTTTAGAAATCTAAGGGGACTTACTAGGCCACAAACGCAAAATAGTGGCTTCTATAAAGGTGGTTTCAGTGGCCACTTTAGCGCCCCCTTCAAGAACTCCTTGAGGAATCTCTTAAGTGGCCACTAGAGTTTTTCTCAATAGCATGAACAATTTTTCTAAAGCCGGTAAAACGTTTATGCTTATTTTAGCCGTGGAAAATCTACTTTTACTGTTTTCTTTTTCAAGCTTTCTAATTTATTTCCATTCTTCCTGCATTCATCTTTCTATACGATCCATTTCTTCATTACAAACCAAATTCCTTCAAAAAATTCCTCTGAAGCTTCCGTTCCAATCAATTAACAGGAGCACAAAAAACACTTCTTTCTCAAAAAGCTTCTTCAAGTTTCCCAATAAATGTTATTCGACATGTCCGTCCGACGCCGATTAATTGGTACGGAAGGCGAGAAAATATTCAGGCGAGCCTGAACGAAGATTTGCTCATTTTGCTGCCCCTTGAGCTCCTTTTAATTATTTTTTTCCCGCCTAGGCTCTCAAAGTCTCTGGGGAGTCACAGGATACCGTGTATTCTTGAGGTCTTGACAAACGTCTTAATTAATTTATTCGGTTTATGTGAATTCCTACAAGGGAGGTCATTTTACTCTAATGTTGGGATTTTCCTGAAATCCGGCCAGAATACTCCTTGATGTACTAAAAACAGATTCTAAAACATTCAAACAGCACAAGTACGAGTTTTTGAGAAATAAGGCTCATCGATTTTTTTAAGCCCAACAAAGTTGAACGAAACGTAAAAATTTCAAAGTTTTCTTCAAAGAATATCGAACTTGAGTTGAATTATCATATACCATGAATGTTCTTTCACAACTTATCCAAAGGAATACTAAATCATTCGTGCCGATGCTTCCCGTCACTCATTTTTCACTCGAGCAAAGATTGTTAATAATTAATGACTGTAATTCCGCTTCTGACGGCTTCTTTCCATCCTAATCAAAAGTCAGCAAAAATAGGGAAGTTACAAAGTTGAAGAAGCAACGATAACGAATGAAAGCGGAGAAAAAACATATCACAAAAAAAAATAAAAAGCTTAAAAAATGCTGCACTACAAAACGAAAGATATGGAACTTAACCTTTCAAATGACAAAATAATCATTCTAGAAACTTATAGTTCTATATATCTCATTCAGCAAGGCGAAAAAACTTTTAAAACGAAATAAATAAAATAAATTCGCCTTTTTTTCGCGATGATTTGTGAAATACGAGCAAATGCGCGCCACTGCACAGATCGATAGATTTTGTCTCGCATTTTGTTTTTCATTAAAACTTTCTTTATTATGATAGAATTGGGTTATTATTTATACTATTCTGAACCTTGTATGAAAAGGAGCAAATTTATGCAGCTTTTATACGAAAAAAACAAGGAAAAATAGCCCAAAATAAGCGGGTTAGCAAAGTAAAAAAAGTTTTTTTAATCAGTTCCCCTACAATATTTGTATTTTTTTACTTGAGATTTTTTTGGATCAAGTTTTCGTATTCCTTGTTAAATAGATAATTTTCAGGTGTTCCGTACCGCAAGAAGACACATTTTTTTCTCGTACGCCGCGTGCTGTGATAATGAATGCTGCACTCGACTCCGCTTCTGGGTCTAGTCAGTCTTTCAATTATTATTTTCGACTTACTGAAAAAAAGTGTATCCTAGGTTTGAATTTTTTTTTAATCTCTAGCTAAATATGCTAAGGAAAACTTATCTTTAATTAGACTTCAGAAAAAGCTTCAGAAAGAAGACGACATGAAAAAAAGATACTTCGAAACTTTAAAGGAAAATTGAAACGTATTGGCCACAGGCGAAAATTTTTTGGGGTTGATTTAACATAATTTTTTTGATATTTCACTTTGGAACAGATCTTCGGCCGCAAAAATTGAAATATAATGTTAAAATTTGAGAACACCTTTTTTTGTTGGAAATTCAATCAGGAAAGCAAATACAGACGGGGTCGAATTTCAGGTTTTACAAGGCTTTGAATCTTTTTAAATTGAGGTGAAAATGTTATTTTTTTCTGAGGCTTATGGAGAGTTCTCTTCTAATAGAGAAATAATGCTTTGAAAAAAAGGTTTTAGAAAAAAATTATTGAAAAAGCCGAAAAAAGGTCTTGTTGAAATTGAAAAAAATTGTTGGCCTTTTTTTGAGAATATTTAAAGGAAGCTGAATTTAATATAAACTTATTTCCATTGTTTTCTCATCAAAGCTTGAATTTAGAGGCTAGATACAAATAATTTGGAAAAAAAGAATCTACAGTAGAAAAATCTTTGTGTTTTTCAGTTTTTAGATAACTCTTTCGAGCCTACAAAAATTCGTGCACCCGTGAAAAATTTTTTTTTTACTTTTTAAAGAGTGAAAAAGAGGATAGCAGAAAAAAAAGAGTCAATAATAGCTAATTTAAAGGCCCAATAGGTTGATAAAAAGGTCTAAAAATGCAGATTAAAATTTTCCCTTTTTAGGTAAATTTATCGGAAAATATGAGATTTAAAGGTTCTTAACGCTTTTTTTTTCAAGTCTTAAGGTTTTTGGTCTAGGTTTAAGTATTTTACTCTTAAAACTTAAGGTTACACTTTCACGAAAAAAGATTTTCCAATAAAGAAAACCATTTGCAGTCCGGCCAGCATCGCCGCGATCGGATTCATCGCGGGCGCCTTCTTCGCCCTGTGTTTCCAGTGCCGCTGAGGCCTTCCACTTCGACATATTCTCTTTGGCTTTCAACAAAACTCCTCACATTATCCATTTCTCTTCAATAAAACATCTTTTATTTGGTTTTTTTTTCTTTTTTTTTCTCCTGACGCATAATTGAAAAGAAAAAAAGATCACATACATATATAACAGAATCCGAACCATTCTCTTATATCACGATGTTTTGTGAGAGGACGGAAAAATGGTTGCTGAGGTTAAATAGTTGCAGGAACACAGGACAACAATTAGCGGGAGAGCCAAAAAAAAGGGAATAAAATATTTGAAAGAAGAAAAAAACAACAACGGTAGGTAGGACGCGATGAAGCTTTGAAAAATAACATAAAACAGGCTAATAAAAAAGGCCGGATAAAAATCTCTGTAGCGTTTTTTTTCGTATTCAATTGAGAGGTGGGGACAAATCAACAACTACGAATCGTTCTAATCACAGATTTTGCTCAAAGAAAACATAATTGAATCGAAAAAAGAAGAAAAAAATCCCTGCCTGAGTATCAAAAACGCGTTTAACTACCAAATCTAGCCGATAGAGTGGAATATATTAACAAAATATGTAGGTATTTTTGTTTTTTGTTTAGAAAGGGGCATGGGAGCCCCTAATCCGGTTCATAATTTACAGAAGGTCAAGTTGAAGGGAAGCTCCGGAAAAAAATTTGATTTTTTTCTTTGGAAAAAAATAATTTACGAGGAGATTACCCCTCAACTTTCCCCACTTCTTTTTCTACGGGGACTCGAAAAATAAAACAGATCACAATCAACATTGCAGAGAAGTAAGAAGAAAGTCTCTAGACGAATATGTTCGATCAAAAAAAAAAAAGAAGAAAAAGAAGGGAAACCGTATGGTACACATAATAGAGACGAAAAAAGAAACTGCGCGTGCCGGACGTAACGGGAAACATATGTATAGAAGGAATATATATGGGGAAAGGCTACTGGCTCTAGAACGAAACATTTCAAATCTTCGTTGAGGACACGGTGCAGGTGGAGGAGGGGCAAGAGTTACAGGTAGGATTCAAGGTGAGGGGATCATTTGCAAGCTTCAGAAAAAACTTAATAAACAATAAAAAATAAAACCTAGAATATTAGAAAGAAGCTCACAAGTTGACTGGGTATATGGAAAAAACGGTTGGGAAGAAAGAGTTCAAATTTTTTTATCAAATTAAAAAAATACGTTCTATGGGGTTAAAAATCGCACTGTGAACGCATTTCCGTCAATTTTATTCTTAGAGCTAAGTTGCAAGTTCCAAAAAACTCAAAAAAAAATATACAAAACAGCTGCGAAAATAAACAAGAAAAGTGCGCTCCAATGAAAAATGAAAGATTTCCAGTTTTTGTCATAAAAATTTGTTAAAAACCGGTCTAAATTTTATCAATGGAGCGCACTTGGCTCAAACTTCCCAACTCTTTTCTCATATACCCAACTTGAAAAAAAAACCGAAAAATAGAAAATAACCCATTTCGTTTGTACAAAACTCAAACAGATATATTGTTGCAAAGACGGAAAGAAAGAGAGAAAAGAAAGAAAGAAAAAAGAGAAGACTTCACGGTTTTTTTTGGGGGGAACGACTCGTGTTTTTGTGGGCGGTGTGTACTGTTCGCAGATTAGATAAAGACTATAAAAAACATTTTTCAAAATGTACAAAGTGCGTGAGAGAGAGACTAGAGGACGGGCAAAGGACGGAGAGGTCAGACGAGCAGGTTGTCGTAGCTCGAAAAAATGTCGTCGAATTGGGACGATGAGTTGCCCGCCTGGTTTTGCGTCTGGTAGTACTGACTCACTTGATTTTCCTGAAAAGATATAAAGATTGGCTCAATTATGTTCTTTTCTCTCTTTTTTAAACACTAAAATCAAATCTCAACTTGCACAAAAATATAATTTCACTCTGCAAAAAGCCTTTTTCACCATTTTTTGTTGATTTTCTGTGAAACTTCCGCCTTTCTTCCTATAGTCGGTTTACGGCTAACTTAGGACGCTGAGTGGGCGTGGCCTGTCTGCACTCTCCACCAACCAGGCACTATCCCTTTTATTATCGTGTCAGGACCCTTTTTTTGATGGTTCAAGCCAGCCGAAAAATCAGCTATACTAATAGTTCATTTTTATTTTCTCTGAATGATTTTTTTATGAACTGAAAATGAAATCTAAAAATTTCAAAAAAAGCTTATTTTTTTCAAAAAAAGAAAGTCCAAATTTATTCTGGAAATGGTCTATTTCATTAATTTTTTTAATGTTTTTTTATGATACTCTTAATCCCCTTTGTAATGATCATTTTCAACGGAAAAGAAAGTCCAAATTCACTAAAAATACTTATTTTTTTAAAAAAACTTGAATTCGTTTGAACTGGGTTTTTTTAATTTTTTTATCTGAATTACAACGGATTTAATTGAAAAAAATTGAGCAATTTTAGCACGAAAAATTTTTTTATTTAAAACAAACCCAAGTGGTGAGGAAATCTGTAATGGTCGTGAGACCTGGCCTGGCGAGCCTTTCATGGACGACATTTTGGAGGTCGTCGTAGAAGTAGGCGTCTGCAAATTTTGAGAGGAATCGTGGCCATTATAGAAGTCTAAGTGCTACTACTAGACAACTTGAAATTTTAGTGGCCACTTTAGGGGTCAATGGATCAAGATAACTGGTCCAATCTGTTTGTTTTAAAATTATCAGAGTTACTGGAAGGAATACTGGTTAAAAAACTACTGAAGTGGCCACTAAAACGGTAAATAGTGGCCACTTTAGTGTCCTCTCCAAGTAGTCCTTGGCGAGCCTCTATAGAGGCCACTAAAGATTTTCCCAGTATAGCATAAATTTTGAGAGAAAATGAAAATTTGGAGTATAGGACAAAAGCGCCGATTCCAAGAGCGCCGTTCAAATTTAGCGCCAGTCCGCAATGCGCCGTCGCGTGTATGCGCCGTGTATGCAGACGCCGCTTTCTTTTTGCGCCGAGTCCGTTTGCGCCGAATCGTTTTGCGCCGTTATTTCAAACTTTTATTTCTTCGCTCTTTTTATATTATTTTTTTAATAATTGTTTACTACACATTCATATACGACTCGAATAATTTTCGCGCCATCCGTTAATGATGAGTTTTAGGTCCACTTTGGTCCAGGTAAAATATTTTTTTCCCCTTTTTTTCTTTTTCAAAGAAAAAAATAAAAAAAGCAAATATGCTTTTTCTGATCTCGAAAAAAATACAGAAAACGAAAGGAAAAAGAGAATAGATAAAAAAATTATTGCTTTAAACGACATATTGAGTGATTTTTTTGTGGTTGCAAATTTTTCTGCGTTAGGTAAGGCAAAGTTTCAATTCTAGCAGACGTGAAACAGCAGAAAATCGTTTTTCGTAACGTTGAACTCATTTTCTTGAAACAATAGTTCGAGTTTTTTCGAAAATGCGGCAGAAAAGTCCATATTAACAGATGGCGCGAAAATTATTCGAGTTGTATATGAATGTCTACTACACAAACAATAAAGAATGATAGTAAAAGAGCAAAAAAATAGAAGTCTGAAATAACGGCGCAAAACGATTCGGCGCAAACGGACTCGGCGCAAAAGAAAGCGGCGTCTGCATACACGGCGCATACACGCGACGGCGCATCGCGGACTGGCGCTCAATTTGAACGGCGCTCTTGGAATCGGCGCTTTTGTCCTACACTCAAAATTTGAGCTTCTTGCCCATAGTGGTTTGAAAAAGCTTGTTGAAAATTAATTTATTTATTATGGGGAATTCTCGAAACTCGGATATTACTATTCCAAGAAGGGCGATCCGTTTTTGATCAACGACAGTTTTGTGAAAAAACGAAAAATCTTCAAATATCCCATTTCTTCTCTAAATACTGAATATGTGAATGTAAAGTGTTTTATATTCTTTTTTTATTGAAAAACTAACCCTAAATCCAGGGCCGCCCGATCAACAGTAACAACGCCGGCGTTTGGATACATGGACGGGACGACGAGCCGAAGTGGCGGGACCGGCTGGCCACCTTCAAGAAGAAAATATGAAATTCCACCGTTTCAGAACTATTTTATTAACTTCAAATCGGCGTTTCCATTAAGTCGTATTTCCATTTGTTCGTAGAATATTGTCCTTATTAGACCTTTCAGGTTTCATTATGAATTTTCAAAGTCTTTTTTCTTACTCTCCTCGAAAAAATCTACTATAGTCCTTTTTTCGCTACTTGAAAGTGCGGGACTTCTCTGCGCCCTCCTCGTCTCTCGACGACCTTCTCTTATTGACGCGCTATTTTCGCGACCTCGCCGGTGAGGGAACAGAGAGACGCAGACACTCGAGTTGCAGTGGATGGAATACAAACTTGGAGTCGCGGTGAAAATTCCCAAGAAAACGAGAGATTCATCTTACGCGCTCCATCGGTTGAAATTCTGACAGAAAAATCAAAAAATGTGTCGTTTCGGCTTTTGCGCTCCATGGATAATTTTTTTTCAAGCAGTTCTCAGATCATATTGGCAATCGAAAGAACCTGTTGGATCAATATATTTACATTATTTTTCTACAGTACCAACACAACCGCTCATTCTTAAAAACCTTAATAAATCGTAAAAAATTCTCTAGCAGCAAAACTGCGGGATCGTTACGGAATCCGAAAAATATTCATTATTATTCCCTAAAAAGGGTCTATAGTTCGTTAATCAGGAAGTTTTCGAGTGTCTGCGTCTCTCTGTTCTCTCACTGGAAAGGTCAGACAAACGTGGAAATAGCACCTCAACCTGGGAGGGTCGTCAAGAGAGGAGAAAAGCCCAGAAAACGCCCTTTCAAGTCCCGAAAAACGGACTATATTAGACTTCATGAATGGCGAAAAAGCTCAAAAACAGGCAAGGTGTCATCATTTCCAATATCAGGTGTTCCCTTACGCAATCGGCAGGTGATGATGATGGAATGGACGTCTGGAGACTCTTGGTTGGGGTCGATCTCGAACCGTGAGGCCATCTCGTCCAGCTCCCGTCGCGCCATGTCCGACAGAGTCGCCTTGGCGCCGGTCGCCATGGGCGCCTGCATCAGATGCGGCGGCGGCATCCCGAGAGATTCCATCGGGGAGGGCAGGATGTCTTCGACGTTGTAGAAGTCATCGATCGGACCGTCCAACTTGCCGTCCCACGCGTCTGAAGAAGCAAAAATTGAGACTTTTTCGACAAAAAGGCAACATATAAGGGGTCACATGTAACGGAATAACCATTGAAAGCTTCAAAGAAGAAAACTAGAAAAGAGCTTTTTTTAGAGCTATCGGTCCAATTTTTTCAAGAAAACTTAAACCTAGTTCGGAAACCAGGAAAAACCAAGATTTTTCCAAAAAAAAATTTATGGAGAATTGAACCTTTTTGGCAAAGCAAGTGCGCCCCCTGGCTAAAAATCTTTTTTCAGAGCCGTATCGAAAAATTTTGCAAATTCTTTTTTCTAGTTCCATGGAGCGCAAGGGCTCATAAAAGGCTGGTAATTCTGGTCATTTTTTCCCGTTTTGAAGCTATTTTATATGGCTATTCTGCCGCATGAATTTGATGGGGTGATTCATTTTTGCGGCTATTTTCCACAGCTTAGGAACGCCAGATTGTTCCCTACAGTGGTCAGTATAGGGGATAAAAAGTGAATTCTAGAGAGGCAAAATTAAGGTGGTCCTTATAGGGGTTCCTAACTCTTAAGTGTTCCTTCTAGGGTTCTTTCAATTTTTTTCGTTCAGGGTTGAAAATTAAAAAGACATTTTTTGATGAAATTGGATCGATTATTCATATGTTGATATTTCTTTCAAAAAAACGCTAATTTATTCGGTTTTCCGCTTGCAAATGCTTCTTCTCATAATCCCCTAAAGTGACCACTTTTTGAAAGTCTAAGTGTTTCAACAAGCCGACTATCATACTCCCCTAAAGGGACCACTTTTGTGAGCTTCAACATGTCCCCCTTTAGAGAGAGGCAAGGTGGTCCCGATATTTTTATTTTTTGAAAAATCTAAATTTATGAATTTTTAGAATGGAAATGCTTCTTCTCATGGAGTTTATAACAATGACTATTCATATAAATAAACGACTAGTATGCTCCCCTAGAGTGACCACTTGTTTTAGTGCCCCCTGTAGAGGGAGGTCAGCTCTTTAGTGGAATCCCTTGCCCCTCTAGGGACCACTCTGGCGTTCCCAAGCCTGTAACACATAAGGGGGCAGGTAGAAGCGGTTACTTTGCTGCGGAGGCTGCTGCTGCGCATGATGCATGGGCGGTTGTTGGGTCGAGGCGATGGAACTCGTCGATGACTGGTTCGAGGCCATGCCCATCGAGCCCAGCGAGTTCTGCCGCGTGTGCGCATCTTAATTAAGCGTTAATTAAGCCGTGTTTCTGGTGGAGGTTAATGGGAAAAAGGGTGTGAAAAGAGGGAAAGAAAGGGCGCCGGGAGAAGTTCGCATTTTCAAGGGATCTATAAGTTCTTATTTCTATTCATTCCTTGATTCGTCGAGGCTTTTTATGCTGTGTTCAAAGTAATTTCGCGAAATGCAAAATGATCTGTGACTCTCCAAAATTTAGTTATATTTTTCTTTCTCTGACGGCTATTTTGCATTTCGCGAAATTACTTTGAACACGGCATTAGTAGAATCTTAACTGTTGAATAAGCTTGTCATTTCTAATAAACGCTTCAAAACTCGACAAAACTTCTTACAATTGTAACTTTTTTTCATATCATTGCAAAAATTTTGTTTAGGTTGGATCTAAAGAACACTTTCAAATAAAAAAACTTCACTTCAATTTCAACTGAAAAAAATTCTCATTTTTTTGCCTTATTTTCCCCAAATTTTATGTCGTTTCAAAGTGATTCGGCGAAGAAAAAATAGCTGTCATAGAGTAGAAAATAGCGGCCACTATAGAGGCTCGCCAAGGACTACTTGGAGAGGACACTAAACCCACCTCTAAAGTGGCCACTATTTTCCGTTTTAATGGCCACTATAGAGGTTATCTATTTAGTGGCCACTTTGGTAGTTTTTCATCCAGTATTCCTTCCAGTAACTCTGATAACTTTGAAACAAACAGATTGGACGAGTTATGTTGATCCATTGACCCCTAAAGTGGCCACTAAAATTTTTAGAGATCTAGTAGTAGCACTTATACCTCTATAGTGGCCAATCATTTTCAACCCCTTAAGTGGCCACAAATTTGACTACTATAATGGCAACTAAAACTTGAAAACCCTATAGTGGCCCCTAAAAATTTTCCCAGCAATTTTGAATTCACTTTGAACACATCTTCAACTAAAAATCAACTTCATAGTTCATTCTTTCTTCAAATCTCCAGATTTCAGGGTTTTTTCAAAGCGACTTCAAGCAAAAAATAATTATTATTCCATTTATTTTCTAGTACTATCCCCCCAGAAGCAATTTTCTTCTTGCAAACGACACGTGTCAAAAAAACTACACCTCCCCCTCGTATTCGAATCCAAAAAGAACAAGAATCGCGCGGCGTTATTTTTTTTTGGACAGTGTAGGGGTCATTTGGGATGATTTTTTTGAGAGTACAGTTGAGATTTTGAATAAAAAAATTTTTTTTTGTAATGCTCAAAACCTTTACTAGAAAAATTATAAAAAAACAGAAACTTCTCAAAAAAACCAAAAAAACACTGAAAACGGCTCTTCGCTTCGAGACCTAGAATAAATTTGTCTGTGCTCCTTTAAACGCTCCCAGCAAGGATTTTTTTGAACCGTTTATAACTTTTTTTCAATCAAAGTCTATAAAAATCAAAAATCATCCTCAGAAGCTTTTTCTGGAAATGTCGACAAAGAAGCGCGGAATCTAATCATTTTATGTCATGATATCAAAAAAAAATTGCTTATCACTAAATTTCCAGTTTATTGGAAAATTCCTGACCATCTCCTTTCAAAGGGGATTAAAAAAATCGAAAAAAATGGAAAAATTCTCGAAATTCGGGTTTTGAAACTAACCTATGATATTAATCTAATGAAATTTTAAAAAAATAAAAGAAAATAATTTTGAAAAATTTTGCTCTCAAAAAGTGGTAGAGAAAAACTTCTAGGGAACAGAAAAAAATAGGGAAACTCAGTGGAAAAATCGAAAGAAATCATCGGAACGTCGAAAAAAATTGACCATCGAAAAATCAAAAAAATTTGAAACTTCTTGCGATCCCAAGAAATCCAAAAAATTTCCTGTGATATTAATCATAATTTTTACCGATTATTCGAAATATTCAGTCTTCTCTAAGAGCTCGACTTTCATTTTAAGCATTTCTGGACCTTTTTCGATTTTTTCTTTTCAAAATTGTACTCCCAATCATCATTCCCTGCCACAGACGACGGAAAAAAGAGGACAAAGTTGGTTGAGAAGCGAGAAAAAAAGTAGTGAAGTTATAGGCAGTAGAGTAGCTGTTTTTGAAACCAACTAGGTACGCCGTAGGGCTTTGGCGGCGCGTTCATCAAAAGGGAGTTTCGGTTGGACGGCGGGCCTCCCACGGGCGAGAGGGCGGCAGTACCTGGTCCTCCGGCTCGCGAGTTGGGACCGCCCGCAGCACCGCCGCTCAGGGTGCGCATGTTGGCGCGCATGGCCGGCGACGGATACGGAGCGTGTCGATGGCCGCCGGTGGGGGTCGTCGCCGTCGGGGATTCGTGATGCGGCATGCCGTTCTCGCCGCGGTAGACGTTGTGGATCGGCCCCGGGCCGCCCATCATCATCTCTGAAAAAGTAATTTTTTTAAAATCCTTGAAACTGTGTTCAAAAACTGCAGAGCATCTTCAGTTTGGTGCTACGACAAGAGCGAGGAGTACTGTATGCGGATATGCGCATTGACTGCATACACTTTGTGTGTTTACACTTTCGTTGCGTGACGTCAGCGGGTAGGACATCTCCGGGTTTTTGTTTCCGAGTTTTCTTTTCGAATATTTTTCAATTTTTTTTTTCTTGATACTATTTTTATCGTGCAAATATCATCGAGAAAAATGCAAATCTTGAAAAAAACAAAAAAAAATTGAAAAATATTCGAAAAAAAACTTGGAAACAAAAACCCGGAGATATCCGACCCGGTGACGTCACGCAACGAAAGTATAAACACGCAAAGTGTATGAACGCAATGCGCATACAGTACTCTCGCAAATGGAAAACTCGCTCTTGTCGTAGCACCTTCAGTCTATTCAAAAACTGAAGAAAATACTGGAAAAGTCAGTCGGTCACTTTTTCAAAGCGGCTATTTTTTTTATTTTGAATTTTTTTCAGTTCAAAATCATTTTAGTGTCCAACATGCGTAGATTTCTCGATAAAGCTTCGAAAAACCAAATATAAGCGGCCCAAAAATAGGATATTTTGCGTTTTTCGCAATAAATTTCATTTCAACCTTTTCAATTTTACCTGAAATCGAAAAATGTTAAGTGCGAAATCGAATTGATCAGAACTTGAGAACATTTTTTTGGCAAAAAAATAATTCAGAAAAAAAGGAAAATTTTTTAAAAAATATTTTGACGAGAATTTTCCGAAAAAAACTGACTTCGAAACTCGTCATATGATGAAGAAATAGGTACTTTATAGTTGTTGAAACCTTCATAAAGCCCAAAAAACTTTTCAAATCTTGAAAACTTGAAATAATAGGCGTCAGAAAGAAGTGACCGAACCGACGACCTTTCCAGCATTTCAAACATTTTTAAAAGGCGCAGACCCGGAATTTATTGAAAACTTCTCATCGCCATTGATTTATTCTGTTATTGAAACGTTCTTATGATTTAGATTAAATTACTTTTTATGAAAATGTTCAGAGATGAAAAAAAAATTAAAGGAAGAATTTTTTCGATGATTTTTTATGAGATTGAACAGTTTTTTTTTTAATGATCAATTGAGATCTTTGAAAATCGAAGAGAAAAAAATCTTGGATGACCTAAATAACGCATGAATCAGATTTTCGTTCAAAACCTTTATTAATTTTTGGTTATGAATATTAAATTGAGTAAAAAGAAAATTTCTAAGTGATCGATAGAGCTAAAAATGGAAAAGTAGTCATTTCAAGTGTAGTAAATGCTTTGAAAAATTGCGAAAAATCAAATTTTCGGTCTAACTTTGCCACGGAGTTGAAAAATAACTCCAAAAAAACTTTTTCTTTATTGATCTTATTTTTAAAAAAGGACCTTTTTTTCAGGGGTATAATAAGAAGAAGAAGGCTGATAAAAGGGTGAGAAAAATGAGATTCCGAGAAAATTTTAACGCTTTTTTAGAGCTCATTACATATAGATTTTATTTTTTGAAACCAATTGGACTATGCAAAATAATTTTTTTTTTGTCAACCCTTGAGCTTCTTCCTTTGAATAAGCGCTCTTTTGCGCATTTTCATCTCGATTTTCCAGAAATCCGTACCCTGGGACATCATCCTCTGCTGGTGCCACATCTGTTGTTGCTGGTGGGTCGGCATTTGTTGATGGTGCATGTAATTGTTGTGGGGCGGGAACCCTTGGTTGTACTGTCCCGGGTGGGACATTTGCTGGGGATCCGAGCCGTTCAGGACGGCGTTCAGGCCTTCGACCATCGGCTGGGGCTGCATCGAAGCCGAGGAAACTGGTGGAACACTCGCACTTTGGGCTCCAGCCTGCAAAAATCGAAATGAATTTTTGAATGAAAAGTAGAGCTTTTTTGTAAACTTTACTGACTAACCAGGGAACGTTTTTTACACGTCCTTTAGGACCCCCTGATTCCAGAACAGAAAGAAAATATCTCGCAATAGGTCTCTTTTTCGAGTTAGGACACTTCAAAAGCCCGAAATAGCGCTTTTTTGGCCTAATTTGCGTATTTTGCACACTTTGAAGCTCCATAACTCGGAAACAAGATCTATGGCGAGAAATTTTTTCTTTATCTTTAATCAGAGGGTCCTAAAGTACACTTAAGCAAAGTTTCAGCAAAAGTTCAACCGGGGGTAGAAAACGTTTCCTAGTGAGGAGCGTTTTTACGTTTTTTTGTCCCAATTTGCATAGATTGCGGAAAAAATGTCCCTAGTGAGAAAAGTTCTAAAAAAGACGACTCGAGAAAAATTACGGTGTCAAAAAAAGAAAAAAATCGAAAAAAATGGTCAAAAAAATAAATTTTCAAAAAAATACATCACTTTAACTTTTCAAAATTAGATCAAAAAAACCGAAGCTCCGGATATCCTCAGTCGTCAATAAGCAGTTGCAAAAAAAGCAAAAAAATCTATTTAAAAAAATTAGAATCAGTCCTCGGAAACTTTTAAAAGCGTATCTGAATCAACCACTTTCTCGCTTTAAAAAAAAGAGAAAAGCTCTAAATTTCAAAAGAAAAGGCTATTTTTTGAACGTTTTTCATTGTAAAATGGAGGAGAAATGGTCAAAACTACTTCGATTTTCAACTGCGAAAAAAATTTCATTCGACTGGAGTTTTTTTTATATGATTCGCAAGACGAAAAAAATGCAATATATATATATATATATATATATAAAACTTTTTTTCTACCGTTTTTTTGACTTTTCTTTCGCGAATATGCTTTCTCAAGTCAATTTTGCTGAAGTCACAAATCATTATTATAATTTTAAATAATAGATTTTTTTGAGCTGTCGAACGCGGAAGCAATGTCAATTTCCTCCTTAAAAAAAGCACATTTTTTTCGGGTTTTTTTCAGGTTAAATTTTAAGAAATTTTTTTCAAAAAAAGTCAAAGTATATCTATATCGAAAAAAATGCGGGAATTCGTCCATCACTAAAAACTTGGGCAAAGTCGGAAGGATGGATAATGACCTCTAAAAGGAAGAGGCTCAAAAAAGGCAGAAAAAAGGCCGCAGAAAGGTTGCAAAAAGGCTTCAAAATAGGAGCAAAAAGGTATCAAAATGAGAGCAAAAAGGCAGCAAAAAGACTCCCTTTATCGATCCTCTCATTTTTCTGTGATTTTGAGATGGTGGGAAAAGGGAGAGGCAGCAAAAATGGTGCAAAATAGCCAATGAAATAGCGCAAAAAGGCAGAAAAAAACCACCCTTTCCGACTTTGCCTATGACTGTAGCGTTTCCAGAAACTGACCAAAAAGACAGCTTTTTTCTGGATCCACATCTCCAAATGGTTGAGGTATTCGAGGCTGACCACCCTCCGGCCTTCCAAAACGCCCAACATCACTTCGAGCTTGTGGGCCGCCTCGTGGTTCCCGCCACGACGGCATTCTTCGGACCGTAACCTGAGAAATTCTTGTCTCACACTGAATTCAGTCTTTTCTGCACCTCAAGTTCTCGCAGTTTGGCCTCAACATCCTCAACTTGGCCTGGTAGGTCGCCTGATCTTGGGGATTGTCTAGGACGCCCTGGGCTCCGGCCATAACTTGAGGGTTCGCTGAGCCGGGCATCATATGTCGCTGCATTTGGTGGGGGTATTGGGGCTGGTTGATCAGGGATTCCAGTACTGACGGACCTCCGGGAGGGCCGTTCTGAGGCGGGCCACCGTAGATGTCTGAAAGTTGAATCATCTTAATAAGAGAAACTTTTTTTTGAATTATTATTGAGAAACGTAAATGATCAATAAGGCTGTAAATATAGATCTTCAAAAAAAATTTGACAAAAAATAATCCGTAAAAAACCTACTCAGACCTTGGTAACGCGAACAGGGACACGAATCGGACGTGTCGGGGCATTTCTAGTGACCACTTTAGTAGCCTCAGAACTCTTAAGGGATCCTAGAATCGCCCAGAAACGTCCGGAGCACGTCCGTTTCGCGTTACCAATGTCCGAGGAGTGGTCGAATATTTCCACAAATGTTCAACTAAGAAATTTTAAAGAGTCCACTTAAGGGTTTTGACGTTTAAGTGGCCACTATAGTAGTCGAATTGGTGGTCATTTAAGTGGCTAAAATCTAGTGGCCCCTCTAGAAATCTAAGTGGTGCTACTGGATCACTAATAAACCCCTAAGTGGCAAGTGGCTTTGGGAGAGGTGACTTTTGTGACCACTTAAGGGTTTTGACATTTTAATGACCATTTAACTAATCGAAGTAGTGGCCACTTGAGCGGCTAAAGTTTCCAAGACCAAGTGGTACTACAGGACCGTTAAAAACTACTATAGTGACCACTAAGTCGCAAAGTACTGACTTCTGAAGAGATGTTTTTAGTGACCTCTTTAGTGTCTTCTACAAGTAGTTTTTGATGAACCTCTTAAGCGGCCACTATGGTCTTTCGCAGAAACTTCAAAAAAAGAAAACGTTTTGGTGAATCCCAAGAAAGATCGAAGTAGTGGCCACTTGAGCGACTAAAGGGGCGGCATAGCTCAGCTGGAATAACTCATTTCTAACGTCCGCAAGGTCGTAGGTTCGAGTCCCCCCGAGGTCGACCAAGCCCTTCATCCCTCCGGGGTAGATAAAATTGGGAGCTGCATGCAGCGAAAAGGCTCAATCTCTGCCATCGGCCTTTGGAAAGCCGGCACCGTACTTCTTCCTACGACCTCTCTTGTACCTGATGTCCTACGAGCGAAATTCACAACTTCTCTGCCTAAGCCACAGCTCCTGCCGCCGTTTAAACACAGTTAAACCAATGAGAGTCGATTGCACATGTATTCTTACATTGAAGATGCAATAAACAGTTTTTTTTAAAACAAGAAATAATCTCAATCAACAGGTTTTCCACTCAATAATTTTGATTATATGGAAGTTCTGCGACAGTAAACTCATTTCGAAGAACTAACTGGCTGGTCCGGGCTGGGGTCCGCCCCATGCTTGCTGCGGCGGGTACATCTGCCCTTGGTTGTCCCATCCTCTGCCGTCGGCCTTCTGCTGCTTCATCCGCTGATCGTAGGCGTTGTGGCCCGGATGATGACCGGGCGGGCCTCCGGGCGGCCCGTTCATCATGGCGTACTGACCGTAGCCCATACCTTAAAGGAAAAGCTTAATTTTCTAAAATAATCTGGAAAATTTTCTTTTTTCTGTTTTTTATTCTTATCAAAGAGCCAAAAATCGCTTATTTCGGACCAGTTTGGCCACTTTTTTTTTTTCAAAGGCTGGGATTTTTCAAAACGTACCAGGTCCCTGTTTCATGTGATTTCCAGCGGCCCCGGGCGGAATTTGCGGCGGCGGCTGTCCCATTTGTGGCGCCGAGTTGGCCGCTCCATTGTAGGCGTGGGGATTTTGTCTGGAAATGCCGTCCGGGGAGGGGAACGACGGGGGCGCGCCTCCGTTCAGAGAGAGGCCGTTTCCGACGCCGATCGGGGTACTTGAAGCACTGCCAGACTGCAAAAAAATGATTTGATACGGGACTTTTTTTCAATTAAAGAAAAAAATCATTATAATACCAGAAATATGTTGATCTGGATTTTTAAATTATGGAATCCGGGATAAATTTTTCTCTTGCAAAGTGTTGAATCACTGTCGTTCCTCTCAGAACCAAACTACACCCATTTTTTGAATTTTATAAGGGAAATTCCCGTATTTTTACTGTTCACACGATATTTTTCGACGGTAAGCGCGAAAAAAAAATATAAGAATTTGAACTGTTGGAAAATTTTAAAAAAACCCGAGTTTGGGAATTTCCGCCTAATGAGCCTTCCACTCGCAACAAAAAGTTGCAGTTTTTCAAAAAAAAAATTTTTTTCCTGGATTTTTCTGGATCTCATACTGTGTTTCTAGTGTGCATTTATTACTGAAAACTCAAAAAAAGATCGGGCACATAGATATTTTTCGTTAAAACTTTTATAAAAATGCACTGTTACAGAAGGTTTTCATCGTAAAAAAAGAGAAAAACCAAAAAAACCCCGGAAAAATCGCGAAAAAATAAAAATTTTAAGCGAAAAATCTACCGATAGTCCAAGAAAAAAACCTTTTCAAAACGTTTGGAACAGGATTTTTATAACAAAAAAGTTTATTTCTTATTTTTTTCAAAGCTGAAAGTGAAACCTAATCAAAATGTAGTATTTTTGAAGGATAATTTTCTATTTTCACTAAATTTTTTCACTAAAAATATCCTTCAGAGCCAAAAAAATAAACTTTAGGCTAAATTTCTGTCTTACGAACGCAAGAGAGAGCTTTTTTCGATGATAAGCCAGCTTGATAAAGAAGATAAGAAACAGGGAAGTTGGGGACATTATTTGGAGAGGCTATCTTGATCGGTTTACCTTTTTGCCTATCGTTGCATTATATGATCTCTTTTTAATCGGATTCTTATCTTTGACCACTCAACTTATATTGTTTGTCTGCAGTTAGTCGATTCTTTAAAAGTGAAGAAAACGAAAATGATTTTTGAACAGTAGCCAGAAGGAAGAAAAAATATATACAACTTGTTCGCATTCGAATATTCATAATCAATTGGTTCCAATTTAAAAAAAATCGAAAAATAATGAAAAATAAAAATTTTTACTGAGCTTGGTAACAGAAAACCCGAAGTTCATTAGGAAAAAAACTGTCATTAAGAAGAATTTTTTTACAAAAAAATTTCTGCTATAAAATTGAAAAATCAACTTTTTGAATCATAAAAAAATGACGAGAACAGTGGGATTTCTACATGGACAGGTACCAAAAAAACACGGAAAAATTTTTCAAAAACACCAGAAGTAAGAAAGACTTCCAAAAAAAATAATGAAAAAATAAAATTAATAAAAAACATGATATTTTATCTCAAAAAAGTCGAGATTTGAACCGACATCCTTTAATCGAATAAAATATTATCGAGTTTTCTAAATGCAGTTTTTTGTTTCTTCGTGGACTCGTCGTTTTGAAAGTCCTTATAAAAATTAAATAGTGAGTTTAAAAAGAAAAAAAACAAAGGAACGGGAAAAAAAGCGTGAGAAAATCATGTTGAACTGAACAATAACATGAGAAAAAAAGGAAAATTTCATGGAAAAAAGAAAAAATCGAAAAATTCGTCATCACGAAATTCTCTAATATTTGGTTGAAACCATTGAATTTTTAGTGATAATGAAATACGCAGTTCTGAATCTTCGTAAGCTAGAGATCACTTTTAAATAAGAGGGTGTTCAAAAAGAAACGCAAGCTGTATCATTTTTAATGGTAAAAACTTTCGAAAAAGAAAAAACTCGCTAATTTTCAATTAGTACCATTAGATCTTCAGTAAAAATGCTGTATTTAAGCTTCAATTCTTCGAAAGCTAGAGAGCACTGGTAAACAAGAGAGTGTTCAGACAAAAAATTCCTGCTCTTTTTGAGCTCTATCAATTCTACTGTTACAAACTACAAGAAAAAAACAAACCGGGGGTTGTCCGGAGGCTTGCGCAGTGGAGACACTGGCGGTCTGTTGGTTGCGGGCCTGGGTCGGCTGCGGATCGGGCGGGACGGCGCCTCTGCTGGGCGTCGTCGACGTCGGCAGAAGTCCGCCCGCCGCTGTGCACGGCGGACTGTGGAAATGCGACGGGTGGAGGACGGACGGGACGGCCGCCGACTTGCTGTTGCAGTTGATCGCGTTGATCACCTTCAACTCATGTTTTTTTTCCGATAGCTGTCTCGTATATATATTTTTAAGAACTTCGACATATATATTTTTTTGTTGAATAATATATTGGATATTACTTTTTTTGGGAACCATTCGAAAAAAAGTTTAAAAAAATCTGAAAAAATCCTCGGCTAGTAATTTCCAAGATTGTCTTACAGTTCCATTTCGCAAAAAAACAAAAACTATGGAACACAAAAAAATTTGAAATTTTTTTACTTTTTCCTTTTTTTATGGAACTTGGCTGACAGAAACTGAAAAAAAAATCTGTTCTTACAAATATTTATGAACTAATTTCTATTTCATCACTCAAACTATCCAAAACAAAAAAATAATTCCATCTTTCAAAAAAATGTTCTCCAAACTTTTAATGAACCAAACTGCGCAAAAATATTATGTTTACATCAGGAATTGAAAAAAAAAATATTTTTTTATATTTTTAATTTTTTTCTAGAAAGATTCAAGCTGATAGGAGAGATGGACGGACCGGAAATTTTGAATTTAAAAACGGAAAATATTCTTCTGTTAAACGCGAGAGTACAAAAATAAGCAAATCTTTTGAATTTCATAAGTGAAGTTTATGTATTTTTCTCTTCAAATGGTAATTTTGGGCAATTAGAAGATAAAAAATGATAATGAGACTGTAAAGAATCGAACAAAAAGCATAATTTTGAGAGGTGATTTTGAAAAACGCAAAGAAATATTTTTTTATTGGGGAGCGTAGATTTTTTTCGGAAACTCTGAAAATTTAAAAAAAGCATATATTATAGAAATTATTCTTAATAACGGCACTTATCAACTAAAACGACGGAAAATACGAAAAAAGACAAACCTTGGCGATGGTCCGCATGTACTCATCCTTGGTGCCGCACTTCTGGAAGACGTACTCCTCGACTTGTCGGGCGTCGCCGGGCACGGGCAGATTCGGGGCGTTTTGTCGGTTTCGGGCCAGTTCGGGCTCTCTGCAAAACCTACAAGTCAAGGAGATAGAAGGCGCCGTCTGGAGCCGGAGGAGGGACATCCGGCCGCGGGAAAGAAGCAAAGGAAACGCACAGCCGATTGATGACGTGGTCGCGGAACTTCTGCGATGGCCAGTCTTCGTCCGTCATTTTCGTGTATGCTGCAGATTATTTCTTGATTTTCAGGCTTTTTTCCTTCCTTTGTGTTCCCAAACGGTGTATCCTCTAGATTTTCAAATTATCAAGCGAATTATAAGTATTATGGGCTTGTAAGATAGAAATTTAATGACAAACAAGATAAGAACTAAACAAGACCAGAAAAAAATCGAGAAATCTACAAATTTTTTTAAGATTTTTTTAGCAAGTTCTAATCATAATATCACCACATAGAAAGTCGAAAAAAAGGCTCACAATTTAAGGGAAAAAAATTATCGACGGCTTGTGATTTGCGGGTCGCGGTTATCGCCGCTCCCACGCCTTCTTGCTGACCTCAAAAATCGATTCGAAAGCAGTTTGGAGAGGAAAATGGTATCAAATCCTTTCCCCAAAACACCAATCACGCTCGGGTCTCACCCTGAAATTCGAATTAAAATTGGAAGAAAAAGCGATTTTATGGTACAAAAATCATTCAGAGAAACGTTTTCAAAGCAACATTATAATCAAAATTCAGATTTGGAGATCCAAAGAAAAAAGCTCTTTAAAGGAAAATTTGCTTAAGTGATCACTAAAATGTAAAAGCGCCACTAGAAAGGTCAATTTCACATTTCTAGTGATCAGTTAAGTAAAAATTCCCTCTGAAAAATGGAATTTTGTCTATTCTCAAGAGTTTTTTTATACAATTTTAGTTGAAAAAAAGGAAAAGAGATCAAAATCAAAGTCCATACATTACGAGAACAGTTGAAAACACATTTTCTAGGTTTATGAAAAATGTTTGAAACTGTAAAAAATTAATTTGGTTCAATTTAGGTATATTATTCAAACGTTTTCTTTTCCTATGAACTCATATAAAATAGAGAGAATCGGAAATTATTTCAAAAAATTTAAAATTCGAATAGAAGCTTGAAAAACCCGTTAAAGCGAAAAATTGTGAGAATTTTCTTTTCGAAACAAACAAAAGGTATTTCTGACTCATATGGTCAAAAAAAGTGAAGGAGAATCTTTTGTTGAAAAAAGTAAAAAAAGCCAAAAATAAAGTAATTTAGGAGAACTGATAGATGAAATTCAACTATAAGTATTGAAAAAGCTAGAATTAAACAATTTTAAGAAGGAAAAAGTTTGAATTCATAAAATATTCAAAGAAAGAGCAACTTTTAGATCTTATCGAAATCAAAAAGGTCAAAAAGTCGAAAAATGAGGTAAACTGATAAAAATTTTGATCAGAGTGATGTGCAAAAAAGAAAACAGGAAAAATGAGCAAATTCGCGCTAATGCTAAAATTTCGTTCAGGAAAAAATTCTCGGACCAACGAAAGCCGGACATTTTTGAGCGATTCTAGGGGCCACTTAAGGGGGCCGACGCTACTAAAGTGGTCACTAGAAATGCCTTCGATTCGCGTTAGCGAAAAATGGTTTGTTCAGTAAAATTTGACAACGGAGTTTAAAGGCGCATGGTAGAGTTTGTAAATTTCTTATAACTTCGTCCTGCGCCTATAAAGATTGAGAAAATCAAGGAGTATACACGAAGACATAAAAAGAAACACACGAAGACGGAAAAAAGGCGATAAGATATCACTATCGAATCAATGGATCGATAATAACGAGTAATCAAAAATCGGGAGTAGAACACAATAATTTATTCGCAATTCAAACAAGATCATCAAATGTGAGACTGGGGGAAAAAAACAAGATATCGATTGAACCATGTATTCAACAAGAGGGGGTGGAAAAAAGCCAAAGAAAAGAGCCTCCGACCGTTCCGACGCGCCTGAAACACTTTCTGTCAACAGCCAAGCCTTATCACTTCTTTTTTTTTTGCTTTTTTCGAGGCCCTCAAAACATCCTCAACGGACGCACCTTTGTCCGCAGAATGTTTCCTTTCAAATGATAGCGAGAAAAAAAAATACAGTGTTCGGGTTTTTTGGAGAAAATTCTTGCAAAACTTCGTAAATTGATCATTTTTTCAATTTTCGCTTCAAAGGAACGTAATTGAATTTGGATAAGCTTCTGCCAGCCATTTTTGGTTTTAATTTAAGCCATAAAGGGACGCAAAGAACCATAGAAAATAGTTTTAACAAACTCCATTTACTAAAAATAAAAAATTGAACTCTACTGCTCATTATTATATTTATGGATACTTCCTGATAATTATCCTATTTTCAAATTCAGAAAAAGATCAAAATAGTGGTCCCTGGAGGGGCAATCTTAGGGTGCCATAAAGGCTACCCTCTCAGTCAGGAACGCCAGAGTGGTCCCTAGAGGGGCTAAGAGCAAGACTTTCCGTAGCCCCTAAGGCTACTCCTACAGGGACCACTTTTTTATCGTTCCTAAACGTGGAGAAAAAAATACAAAAATAACTTCCTTTTAGATATAAAATCGCATTTTCGCAGTTTTATGGCAAAAAATCTGTATTTACGGTAGCTTTTTTCACTACTGTGCTTTGAAAAAATTTGGAATTTAAAATTATATGATACTTTTTTGAATCGAGGCAGCCAGAGAAGCCATTTCTCCAGTGTTACAAAGAAAAATATTCGAAAAAAACTCAATGAAATAAGATAAAATGTTTGATACCAACTTATAAGAGCTCAAAATTTTTCGCGAAAGCCCTCAATTTCCACTCAATTGCTCAGACTTCTTCCTCCCTACCAATCATTTGACTTTGCCTAGGCTGTAATTAATCGGTGGGCCAATTTCGAAACATCCTTATCATTTGCGGACGCGACGTCTCGAGATTATGGCTTTCCGCGGCACACTCACAAAAGCATATAATTTTGTGGAAAGCACAGAAATTGCCGCTGAATGATGCAAACCGTATGATTGAAAATCGTGGAAAAAAACTGCTGGGATAAGAATTTTAAAATGAGCTTCAAAAAAAATATATATAAACCCCTAACGAGGAAATATTTCCTTTCATGGGTGGAAATTTCGCCTAAAATTGGCCAGAATACTTATTGATAAAGCAAAGAAACATCCTAAAAATCAGCAAACTCTTGAAGAGAGTTCCAGAAAGACTCTTCTCAACGAATTTATTTTTCTTTATCTTTAGAAGATCTTGAACCTCAGGAAAAACATATTATTCCTTGTATGAAAAACGTTGAACTAATGTCATGAAAAATCACTAACTTTATAAACTCATCTCCCTTATGAATTCAATACTGTACAGTACTGACCGTAAAGGTCTTTGACCCAACTGGACATTTCTGAGCAGTTCTAGGGGTCACTTAAGAGTACTGACGGCACTAAATTGGCCCCTAGAAATGCTTAGAAACGTCCAAATTGCATAACCAAGGTCCGAAGTACTTCAGGCGCAATATATTATTTCCCAAAGCTAAAGCCGTTTGCTCAATTCTAACTGTGTGTACGAACTCTTTTTACTTTTTCCCCGTATTACAATATTTCCAATAAGTTTTCACAAAATTTACCCGGTCACATATTTTTTCGCTCTACTGGGAAAACTTTTAGTGGCCACTATAGAGGCTCGCCAAGGATTACTTGGAGAGAACACTAAAGTGGCCACTAATGTCCGTTTTAGTGGCCCCTATAGAAGTTCTGTATTTAGTGGTCACTTCAGTATTTTTCATCCAGTATTCCTTCCAGTAACTCTGATAATTTTAAAACAAACAGCTTGGACCACTTATGTTGATCCATTGACCCCTAAAGTGGCCACTAAAATTTTCAGTGGTCTAGTAGTAGCACTTAGACTTCTATAGTTAGGGACCGCAGAGCCACGCCCACTTCGCTGTTCAAAAAAGTTCGTCATTTTCGTTGCATTTTTGGTTCTTTTTTTATATTTTTAAAAACAGTTTTTCTTGTACCGATTTGGGAAAAAATTGAGGGAAACATACAATCGGCTATGCTTAACAATCCTACATAAAAGAAAAATAATGAGAAAATAAGAAATAAGAATGTATGAAGACAGTTTTTTTAAAAACGCATTTGTGGCCGAAAACGGATAAAAAAATCCCTGTTTTTTTCTTGAAAGTTTCTGGGCAACTTTTTTTATTCTTGAATATCATAAAGCAACTGAAAAACGCATATTCCGGCAAAAAAATAAAAAAATTCTATGGTTGGCCTCAAAAAAATAACGCATTTTGAAATTCACGATTTTCGAAATTCCTTATTTTCGAAAAAAACGCAATCGATAATTACTGATTATATTTTTAAACGGTTGTTTGCAGTTGTTTGCAAATTCTAAAAAAATAGAAAAACTAAGCTTTTTCATCGATTATATAGTTTATATGAAAGCTTCCGTTTTTTTGTAACGCTTTGAAAAACGGCCAAAACGTTCTGGGCAAGTTTTTTTATTTTATAATATCAAACATTAGACATTTCTCTACAACATATCAAAAAAATAAAAAAATTCCTAGGATGGCCCGAAAAGTATGGTTAATTTAAACGCTCGAAAGTTATTTTTTTAAAACTGCGCGTCGCTGGAAATCTGCAGACACCGCGAAGGCCACGAAATTTTTTTCGAAAGCGTGAAGAAGGTTTTTAAACAATTTATGTATTCTATTCAAGTTTTTCTCATTTTATTGTGGCTTTATAGTTGCTTTTTTTACTCATTTCATAATTGGAATCTTTTTTTCCTATATCATTATATCCATTATAGCAGCGAGAAAAGTATTAAATTTCGCTTTTACTCAACTTTTTTTGAACTTTTTCGGAATGTCAAGTAAAGAATTCTAAAAAATTGTCTACGTACACTCCATGTAGACGCACGAACTTTAGAGAAAAATAAAAGAAGTAGAAAGTCAAAAGTAAAAACGCTTTCGCCCTTTTTTTTTTAAAAAACTCTCTGAAAAAGGACTTGGTGATTATTTACATATTTTTCAGTAAATTTCTTAGTAGACTGTTACATTTTCAATTCGGTTTAATGCTGTTCGTCCTTCGCAAAGGTCTATTTTGTCGGTTATTTTCTTTTTTTACAAATGCATTGAAACCTTCTTCAAAACTCGCTTTTCAGCAGCGTGAGTGCTTGAAGAGTAGGCTGATATTGAAAAAGAGCAATATTCAATATGAAAAACTCTAATATTTCATTTAAAAACTTCTAAAAAAACTCAAATAAATATGTTTTTCGAAACGTCTCCTGCGTGAATTAACGCACAGCAAGGAGCGCGCGGCATCTATAAACACGCCCCTTTTCCTGCGACCCTGACGAAAGTTTCTACACAAAAATGGTTCCCCCGATTTCGCCACTTTTTTGCTTATAACTTTTTTCATTTTTCATATTTTTCTTTTCTGTTTTCGCAGTTAGCTCTCGATTGCCATCAGCTTTCTTTTCATATAGGTTTCAACTTTATATCACTGACTTTGGAAATTGGCCTGCGGTCCCTATCTATAGTGGCCACTAATTAGTAACCCTTTAAGTGGCCACTAATTTGATTACTAGAGTCCACTGAAACGTCAAAACTTTATAGTGGCCACCAAAAATCTTTTCCAGTACTGATTGATGAGAAATCGCACTAGATTCACGATAAGAGCACGTGAATCTTTAAAAAAAAAAAAGCCTTGAAATCATAATTTTTATCAATTCAAAGTGCGTGTACACAAGCTTACATTTCTTCCATTATTCCTATTTCCTCAACAAATCCTCCCAAAACATACCTCGATCACTTGAGGAACAAGGTCTCCTCGTTCCTCTTCTTGCTGACGAACACGCCGGGCTTCTGCTGGGCGTCGGGATGGTTGGCGAGGTCAGGCGGGCATGTCGAGACCGGCGAATCCACGAGCAGCTGTCAAAAATTCCCAATATTATCATATCAGAGGGAAACTTTATGATAAGCTAAATGGGGAAAAAAAACGCTTGGATCGGCCAAAATGATTGGTTTTGTTTCATCGACACACAGCCACGTACTTGTTTTAGGTCGTAAAAGACGGCGTTATCTTCTGGTGTGAGGAACGTGATCGCTTTGCCATGTTTGCCCGCGCGTCCTGCAATCATTATATTCAGATTTCGAGACATGATGGAAGTTTCAGAAATATGGTAAAAATCGAATAAAGAGGATATGAATAAAATTCGATGGTCTTGTCGAAAAAGTACAGATATTCAATTTGGAACGGCTTTAAACCTCCTTGTCAGGTGTAAAATGGTAGCTTGATTATAAAAGTTTCCGTTGCGCGCAAATCGTTTTCTGGTTGGGCGCAATTCCACTACGAAAACTGCGGTTGAAGAACAAAAATTGAGGAATTCTTCATAAGTTCGAAAAACTTTGGTCGGATGGGGAATGGATCAGTGCGTTGCGGTCAAGTCGCTCCGAGGTCGGGTGCAACTTCCGTGACTCTTGGAGCCATTCCCCGACCAGAAACAAAGTCGCGAAAAATCGAAAAATTCAGAAATAGACCAAAAATGGACATAACATATCCGTATTGGTCATACTTCTTTGAAAAACAATCGGAAAGTCCCGGTCGCATCGAGAATGGATCAACGCGTTGCGGTCGCGCTGCGGTTCAAGTCAGAGCTTCAAAAGAAGAGTGTTCGGGAGCGAAAGTCGCTTCAAAGTCGGGCGCACTTTCAATTTAACTTTCGCAACTCTTTGAGCCATTCCGCATGCGACCAAGGCTATTCAAGTCGTGACAAATCGACTGAATTCGAAAAAGATCGAAAAATAGACAAAAAGGCAAGGTATAGATAGGAAGACCATGTCTATAAATCGAAGAATCAATCAAAAAATGGCGAATTTCGAAAATTTATTGAATATAATTCATTCACAAGAGCTTCCAGGTATCAAAAATGTGCTCATATCTCAAAATAGTTCTCCAGAAAGGTGTCCCGATTAAACTATACTACGTATCAGTGCACGTGATAGCATGCAGAATGGAGATTTTTTTGGCCGGTAAATAATGGAGAATAAACCTTTTTGAAAAATTTAGTAGCTTCATTTTTAGCTTGAGATGATTTTTATGGATTTTTATAGACTTGTAAATTTTTTTAAGTAAGTAAGTAAGTAAATTTTTAGATCCCTTTTTTTCTTAATATCCAAGATGAATTCCAGAAAAAAAGAACTTTTTTTAGCTCAAGTACTGGTGAATTTTTTTCAGGATAAGCTTTTTAAAAAAATTAAAGTTTAATCAAATAAATTAGAACCCAATACTTCATGAAGTGTGAGTTGAAGATAAAAAAGGTCTAGCACCTTCAAATTTTAAAATTTCGTTTAAAAAACAACTTTCCTCTTTCAGAAAAAATATTAATAGCTTTTTCTTTAATCTGAACTAATTCCGATATAAGGTTCGAGAGCGACAAAAAAGAGCAGGGCGAAAAGAGAGGGTCGCCGAGAGACGAGGAGGGCGCAGAGAAAAACAGCATTTTCAAGTAGAGGAAAACGGACTATACAGAGTAATTTTTAAAAATCGATGTCAAATTAAAAAAAAAAGTTAAGCCCTTCTCTAACGTATAAAACTACAAACGGCTTCATTTTTCCTATTCAATAGTAATATCCAAAGAGACAAAAAAGTGACGATTTTAATCCGACTTTTCAAGGCTTCCCGTGGCGTATTACGCAAGGAGCTGCGTGATTCAATTCTTTCGGAAAAACCATCAAAAAGCTCCATTTTTTACGCGCAAAAGAATGACCCTCAGACACGCAACTATTAAAAAGAAATGAAAATTTGAAATAATAAAAAAAATCTCGTGACAAAGTGTAATTTTAAAAGATAAAAATGGTAGAAAAGGGCCAAAATATTGGAATTATCAGTCAGGAAAGTGCTTCAAAAAGTCCAGTTGTACTGAAAATCATAATCTAGAAAGGAAACGAAGGAAACAAAGAGGGATGAATAATAGAAAAATTGCACCTCGTGATGGAAAGTACAAAAATTTGAAGCGAAAATGAGGAAAAGAGGCAATAATCCAGAATCAATGACATGCGATATAATCTCAGGATCTCATAAAATTATTAGAAAATCCTTTTTTTTCCAAATGGCTGTGAAGGTTGTCTATTGTAAATACTCAAAAAAATATCAATTTTGGTAGGTTACATCGTTTTACTAAACAAAAACCTCGATTTTGCTTCAAAAAAACGCCTTTTTCTTTAAAAAAATTTCAATCTAATCAGAATTTAAAACGTAGAAAAAAACAAGGGAAGCCAGAAAAAAATTATTGCAACCAGCTTTGATCAAAAAGACGTCATTTAACGAATCAAAAACTCATTTTGGAAACTGAAAAATCGAGAAAAGTCCTGTGAAAAAGTTAAATATAGATTTTTTTCAATAAAAAAATTACCAAGTAAGAACAGAAAATAAGCATAACTCAATCTATTTCTACTATAAAACCAGGAAATTCAAGTGAAAATAGGTTTTTTGGACCATGAATATTCCGATTATCTACCAAAATTCAAAAATACAGACTTCGACGAGCTTCATGAACGCTTGAAAAATAAAAAAATTCGGCAACCTTCACAACTTTTTCTGCAGAGAGACCCAAAAAAAAGACAAGAATAAACACGGAAAACCAACAAGCTACCAAAAGGAAACCATAAAGATTGGCAAAGACGAGGAGAGACAGGAGCTGTGGTTGAACACATAATAGGGGCAAAAAGGGGAGCACAAACAAGGGTTTCTCGCACTTGGGCGGCTGTGTCGTGTTTGCCGACGATGGTCAACAACTAACACAAGGAGAGCAAGAGGGTTCAGCCCTTGGACCAAGTTCTTTTCTTGAAACATCAATAGACAAGTACAGGAAAATTTTGAGAATATATTTTTTTCAGTTTTTAAGGTTGAGAATTCTTCCAACTCACGGGAAGAGACTTTAGTGGCCACTTAAGAGGTTTTTCAAGAACTACTCGGAAATCGCACTAGAGTGGCCACTGAAACCAACTCTATATAAGTCAGAACTTTGCGTCTAAGTGGCCACTTAAGGCGTTCCTCAATGACTACTTGAAAAGGACACTAGAGTGGCCACTGAAAACAGCTCTATAGAAGCCACAATTCGCGTCCTAGTGACCACTAATTCGACCACTATAGCGGCCACTAAAACGTCAAAACCCTAAAGGGGCTGCTAAACTTTTCACATTACCTTTCTTTTTTTCAGATCTTGTCTCACTAAATTTTTTCTCTGAACATCGAGAAACCATCAAAAAAACCCTTTTGAAACAAAAATCCGGTCTAAAAGAATCACTATCGAAAAGACAAGAGTAACTTAGAAAAAAGAAACCAGTTCTTGACGATTCGATCGATTTCATGAAAAAACTTCAAAGGGAGGTACTTTTCTCGGAACTGGTTCCAATTAAAAGAAAAACTAGGGTTCAACTCTTTTTGATCAGTTTTTTGCGAAAATCAAAAAATCAAGAAAAAACCTTTTTTTTTTTTGCATAAACGCAGACTTCTCTCCATATAAGTGCAGAGAAAAGATCATTTCGATCAATTTCCATTCATTCATTGTAATAATACGACAAAGCCGCTTATCAAAAGAAAAAACGTGTTCCTTGTTGGGTGCAAAAATATTGGACCTATTGGTCAGAGCCTAGGTTTAGCAAAAATTCCAAGTCAAATGTACTAAAATTTCAATTTTATTAAAATAAGATGGATGAAAAAAAAAACTAGCACAGTCAAAAAAACAATGAAAACTGAATCAAAAAAGGGATATATGAGTCAAAAGCTGGAAAATACAAGTTTGGGCCTGTAAAACAGTTGAAAAATATTCTCTACCAAATTTGCTGTGAGGAAGTCATACTAAAACATTTTACAAGGAAAAAAATGACGTGAAATTCCACAAAATCGCCAAAAATTTCAAAAAGGGTGTGAGAATAAGACCTTCAAGAAGTGTTGTAATGAAGAAAAACTGCTTCAAAATAAGCCTGAAGCTTCAAAAAATCAAGAAAATGTCTCTAAATCGTCTGAAAAATTTCTCAATAGTTCAACTATTACTATCTACAACTTCCAACAAAATTTCAAAATTTCTAATTTCTAATAACTTCATAATGATTAAGCTGGATCGTCTCAGCTCCTATAAAATACGTCGAAAAATCTCAAAACTCCCTCAGAAAACACATTCCAACCTGGGCAAAAAAAACCGTTGGATCAATTTTTCTTCCGCGGACAACGTCACCGAAAACAATAAGGCGCAAAAAAAGAAAGCCGGTTCGGGGCCAAACGCGAAGAAACAACGTCGGGGCCCGCTAGGCAAGGCAAGGCGACGTTCTGACCAACTAGGATAATGAGGTAGAAAAAGATGAAGATGAAGGAAGGAGAAGTGGGAGGAGAAGGCGGGAGAAAACAAGGAGAAAATTGGATTATGATGAAAAATGTTTGGAGAAGTTGTAATCCTGGGGAGATTATCTCGGAGGAAATGTTTCTTGATAAGTTCAATACGGAGGAATGACCGGAACTCAGGAAAATGGGATGAAACTGAACTGGAAATGGGAAAAGGTGGCGAAATAAAGATTACAAAAAATGCAAAGGTAAGGGCTTTTTTTGAAATTTTTCTTGTCTCTCCGTTTATGAACCGTCAAATTAAGAACCTTCAAGCTTTTCAAAACGCTTAAAAAGACAGAAAAAACCTCTTTTCTTTAAAAAGAATCCCATCAGGGAGACTGAAACGTTAAAAAGTGCCACAGAAATAATTTTATCCTTCCATTTTCTGCATTAATAAAGTGCTACCACTCCCAAAATTTGTTAGTACAATCCTCATGTCTGCTAATTTTTCTGAGCCATTTGTTAGTCTCGTCAAGTTATCTTCTTCAAAAAGAACACCTCTTTTAAAAATTCTTTGATCGATTGTGAATTGAAAGACCCTCCCCCAAGGTGCCCCACCCCCTTCCTTTTTTTAGCTCTTTATCGCGTCGAAATAACCTTTCAAAATAATTGAGTTCGCTATAGTTAAGCCAAAAAAATATTTTTTTCAAAAAAAATATCCTCCGAAAAATTTTCTCGTTTCTTCGCCGAAGAACCATCAAATAAACGACTTTTATGCTCCAAAAAGGTCCCAAAATGACGGAATAATCAATTTTT